CTTAGCAGAATGAAGAATACCTGTTAGAAGAATACATCATCTCATTATTTGTTTCTGATGATAAATCTTATAGGAGCTGCAGTGTTTTTACACACACATTCACAATAATATGAACATAATGTTAGGCAACCTGTTAGGCACCCCCTAATAAAGCAATTTCACCTTGTAATATGTCATACTGCTCTAATGTAGTCTACTTTGCAATTTGTTTTTGTTTTGGGATTCCTGTGCCCTCCCAAACATTGTTCACAGGCCTGTCTGCCATTTAAAAAAAATGAGCAGAGAGACCCTGTGGATGAGCTTGGTTTCCTCCCAAATCTAACTCCTCTTGGGCCTCTTCTCTCTAACACGGTAGGCCTCAGTACAATAATAAGGTACCAGATTTTTCCACAACCATGTAGTTTATTATAGACACAAACCTCTGAAGTCAACTTGTCCTAGTGGATCCACAAAGATTGGTGAGCCTTCCTTGTCATAACCATAGAAACCACCAGGATCATACTTCAAGAGAACCTGAAAATAAATCAAACTAATAATAAACACAGATATTTACCGTATATTTACAACTTATAATGCTCACCTCTGGAGGATGGTATGATGACAAAACAGAATCTAAGTCAAACTTTTTCCTTATCCAAAGACTCTATATTCATTGAAATAGAAATATTTTTTTTACGTCATGTCACATGAAGGTATTCATTACTTAATGACAATTTCCTTCATTTTTACCTGGCGAAACATGTCTTCTGCTTTTTGAGCATCAAAATCAGTAGCTATTGACATAAATATATTCAATAGGTTGGTAATTAAATATATATAATAATTGAAATCTTTTATTTGTTGTTAACTGCACAATGTTTGAATAACCCTAAATGCACATAATTCACAACAAGTTTAATTGATTTACAATGATCTTATTTAGTAGAGAAGAGGAAAACTCATATGCAACTAGCCATGATGCACCTGAATCATGTTTATTTGGTTAAAATGTTTGCATATGACTGTATCATTTGGGGTGGCACAATTCTTCATTATTACAATCCCAAAATCAATACCACCATGTCATTTTAATTCTTGAAAAAAATGTACCTTGAAGCCATTTAATCAAGAAATGGTCATCATGATGATCCTTCAGATTGCTTTGGACTTGTTCCTTGAACTTAAAATATTACAGTTGATATATTAATAGTAAGTATAATTACAGCTGTTTGCAATAATTCTGACCCCCTCTGCCATATTTCATATATATCAAACTGACCTTAAATATTATGGGATATCATGACTGATATATTTTTTGAGTTGCCCAGAATGAGTACTTTCTCAAAAAAATATCAGCATTGGTATCCCATAATTTCTAAGGCTACTTTGATATATATGAATATTAGTGTAGGGGGGTCAGAATTATTGCAAATAGCTGTAAATATAATTAATATATACATATTATTATACTGTCTGATGAATGCATAAGCATGAAACTTGGAGTAACAGCAAATCTTGCCTAGCTTCGTTATCACATATTATATAATTGTAATAATGATGTCTACATATTAATAATTTCTGATAATTACCCCCTATGAATGCCTTTTAATGACTACATGATGAAAAATTATCCAGTCCATAATTCATGAAGTCAGAGTAACTGTTCTCTGGCAGTGTATAACCATTATACCCATTTCACTTAATAATACTACGTTCTCTGACAGTGTATAACCATTATACCCATTTCACTTAATAATACTACCTGAGTAAATGGGTTTTCATTTCTTTGCTCAGTCAAATCATAACAGTAAATATTATGATAATAAAGTCTCTATTTTGACACAGAAATAATATGGAATGTATTGCTTAACAAAAATTCAAAATATTATTGAGAAAATGCATTATAATGGAATTTTATTGTGACCTCCATGGAGCCAGTTTGAATTTACATTGCTATGGCCTCTCATTAGACTACTTCAATCACAGATTGGATAATTTTTGCTGTTAAAGATGAAAATTGGAAGACAACCTTACTATTCAAATTAACAATGTTTTCGAAATAATATGTCATTATGTCATATTCAAAATCAACCCCTAATCTACAGTAAGTCATCATATATTCTATGAACAGGGGTCTCTAAAAGAGTTTCTATTTATTCAAAGTACTTTTATTTATAAATATTTGATGAGCTGCCCTTTAGGCATAAGACAATCTTTTGAATTTTTAAGTCACTGTCTGTAAAGGAGAGAAAATGCATCATTAATGGAAGCATAAAAGTTATCCCACTTTTAAATATTCACTAGCCTGAGAATTCATTTGTCTGAAGAAATGCAAGCATTTTCTACTTATCAGATTGTACACTCTGGGTTGACAGTTAAAATCTTCAGGATTTCGAAGGAATAATTGTATAATTGTAGTGGGAGTAAAAGACTGTATCCAAATACTTCAAAAATTAATGCGGTTTTCTCATTATTTGAAAACCTCACCCATGATAACAATAAAATTCCAATATTTTCGAATTCAAAGAAAAAATGATCTTGAAGTGGATTCTTTGACTTCATTTTCACGATAGAGCTAACTGATTTTGGTGATCTAGATGGAAATATGTTGATCATATACTTGAGGTTAAGTTAAAATTAAATTTATCTGACCTTGTTCAACGCTGCTTTTTGGTTCTCGTCCAATTCTTCCTTGTTGAGGATCATTTCTTCACAGATTTTAATTCGCTATAGACTTCTTATGTTCACTGTTCGGTATCTAGTCCTCAGGAAATCTACGAAAGGTTTTTCGTTCCACGAATGGTGTAAATAATAAGAAAGCACTCATGCAACAACAAATTGGCGCGGTTTGAACTGTCAAAATGCTCCTTGTCAGCGGTACAAGCACCCCGTGGGGAGATACAGGGGGGAGATTCTGTATGTTGAGAATATCTAAAAAATATATAAAATATCCACAAACAGATATTGTTATTTTTCTTTTTTACTTGTTTTATTTTCGAACTATCATAAACTTTTACACCAAAAATGATAGAATGGCATAAAGCCATAAAAGTGCCTTCTTTATACCTTCGGGGGAGGGCTGAGTCAAGTTTGTTCGGTTAGTTCATATATTAGCTTCATTTGGGCATATTGAAATTTCTTATCTTTTGCGAAAACATTGATCATGAAATGCTCGTCAAATGGAAGCAAAACCCATTATCTCAGCATTTTAATCACACATAGGAAAAATATTAAATCTGTATGATTAAAAAGCTAAAAAAGATGGAAAGAATTTTCGGAATGAAATTGCGCGCGAAAACCTGGGCGCGTACCGCGCGCACGTTCCACATCAATCAATTCTTCACGTTCAACGATATAAAAATAATATTTCTCGCTCTCCAAATTCTGTATTTTTTTTTTTTTTTTTTCTTGAATTGCATGAATTTTTCTCCAGAAGGCAGATATCGATTCTGAAGAATACTGAACTAGATCAGATTACGACTTATTGAATTTCACTTAATAAGTGATTATTTACCGGAGTCAAAGAGGACAAGACTAGAAATATCGTCAGAACTAAACGACAAACCGTTCTTTAGTTTATATAATCTTCAGAATGTAAGTATTGTTATATTGACGAGGGATGATGAATGTTTTACGGCATATGTCGTGACCTCGAGCATTGACGCTTCTGACATTTGTAAGTTGTTTTCATACAAGGGAAGTCTTAAGATTAGCATGGCTTTTATCTCCACAAAACGGTTGATATCTGAGCAAGATTAAATAAGTCGAGGTAAAGAAATGATTCCTAGAATCATAATAACTCAAAACAAAAACAAATTCATCTAGAGATTTCGTTCCCTGAAAGCAAGAGTGAGTCAAAGGATATCCATCAAGTGAATTGATTGCTCGCCGGCAGCCATTAATAAGTTAATATTTTTTTTCAGAATGCACCTGGCGATTCGATTCAATAAGCTTATTTCTTAGGTATAATATCATATGTGTTCAATCCATGTACAAAATATGAATTACATTAACGACATTTTATCAAATTTACAAGTAAAAACAGATCAATAGATGAAGGCATCTGCTCGCTAGTATGATAGCAGCCTACATTATGTCGTTGTTTATGGCAAGTAACTGTCAGTGGATTTCGGTTACTATGTGGGCAGTTCATTATATGATTCAGGGAATGGTATTTAATAGTACTTTGATATACATAATTGAACTAAAACCAACTGAAAAAGGCAAGCGTCTGGATAAGAGAATTGTGGGTAATCTAGGGTACTTTGTCGTGGGAGTTCATTTTTGTTCATTTCTTCGTGCATTCATACTTCAACTTAATTTTTTTCGGTCAAATCTAACATGTAAAACACAAGGCCGCAACTTATTTGTACGTTAGTTCCCATTCCCCCTAGCTGTTGCCTTTCTTATCTTCCTTGATCTATTTTAAGCAGTTTAAGTGTTCCCTAGGTGTTTTGGGTTGTTAAGGGTGCTTATCGAGGAAAACATCGAAGCAAAAAGAGTAAACAGTATGCTTTCAAGATACCTAAATTTAGAAAATAAAAAAAGTAAAACAAAAAATAAAAGCAAAGAGAATGGGTACCTTTGATGGGCTATAACCATGTGCAAAATGCATATGGTGATTCTCCTGCTATGCTGAGTGTGACACTGGAACTGCGAGGTAAATCTGGCACCGGCGATACTGAACATGCAGACATCAGCCGGCGCTCTTATACTGTCATTCCCCACGCTTAACTCTCTACGTTTTAGGCTTTGGGATTCCTGTGTTAAAAATTGCAATTCACTGTAAATTAAGCTTATGTGAAAAAAAATCATATGTTAGACAAAGACTTTATTGAAATAGGAAAATTATATTCCAGAACATAATTTTGCTTTACAATTAGAACTCACAATAAATTTCACAATAATTATGCACACATGAATATTCATGTTGAAATCATAAAGGTCTCTTTGTGTAAACATTACGGTCGAGTGGTTCGTACGGAGTCCCTTACATTTGTTGACAAATACGTTACGAAGACCGCGTGTATTTGAGAGAGACTTCTCTAATTCCAAGTGCGTCTCAGCACACATTTAACATAGCTTCATTCATTTCAGGGACAATAAATCCTTTGAAATGGCCGAGGGGGGTGTTGATGAGAAAAAAGAACAGTCCTCTGAGGAGAAGAAAAGCCCAGCAAATCAAGCAGCTGAGGCAGAGACCGAGAGCGAGGCATTGAAGCCGAGCGAGATGGAAAGTGTGGAGTTGGAAGAAGCTGAAAGACCATCAGCTCTCTCGGCAAAAGACATCAAACGCGAAAAGTTCAAAATCATGAAGAATATGCTGATAGTTAGTTTTGGCTTCCTGTTCCTGTTCACTGCTTTCCAATCGCTTCAAAACTTACAAAGCAGCTTGAACCCTGACAAGGGACTTGGCTTGGCTTCCCTTAGTGTCATCTATGCTGCACTGATTCTATCTTGTATGTTTGTACCTCCTTTCATGGTAGGGAGGCTGGGATGTAAATGGACATTAGTGATTTCCATGATTGGATATGTCTTGTATACGGCAGCAAATTACCATGCAAGATGGTGGACACTAATACCAGCTTCTATTATTATTGGTATGTACAAATCCTACTTCTACTGTCAATGGTATCTTATCAAATATATAGCTAGTAAGTAGAAAATGATACCTGGAAACTTCACACGAAATAAAACAACACACCTGTACACCCCACGTGGCTGCCATTGTAAGATTTCTTTTGATACTGGTCTTAAAGCTCTTTCTCAATTTAATTTGAAAAGGAAAGGCAAGATGCTTTCTGTAGATTTTACACTTGTATCAACTAATCCTTTTTTATACCCGAAAAACTATTTTATAAAATCATAGTTGATTGGCCTACGCCATAGATAGTAGAGGGTTTTCCTCTACAAACTATGCCTACGCTAAAAGTTTGCAACGCAACGTCTTGCTTAGTGCTCGGTGCTTTTTTAACAGTTCGAAATAGTTCGATATGAACTCTTTGGTGGTTCCATCCCTAAAATATTCTTGGCATCTAATATCAAGTGGCGTTTTTTGAAAGCCATGTAAAGTATGTCTCATGAAGGTTCTATCCTACAGTGAACAAGTGAAGATAACAACTTTTTGTAAATCTTTATGACATTTTGAACATTTTACAAGGCCTATTTTTTATGCACTTGAAAAATACTCCATACTGTCAACAGTGCCACGTACGTTAAGTGAATTTTGATAAGCTTATTAGCACACCTTATTGTTGGTTGTCGTGACATTTATATTGCAGACGGTCCATATGAAATTAATTACTTCCATAATCAATCAATTTTATACCCTACTCTTTAAACATGTTATATTTAAAGTGTGGAAAACTACAAACAGGGTGGTGACTACAAACATTATTTCAAAGCAGTCTTGAATAGAGGCAACATCAGTCCAGTCCCAGACCCTAAGCCTGTACCGTTGAACTAGAGCGGATTTCGTATGAGTGGGACACCGTTACCGCACGGTTACAGCACAGTTACCGGACCTGGCCTGCACAATTTTGGTGAACCAATGGGGCACTAGAATTTGGTTACAGTACGATTACGGTCACAGTACAGCTAGTACCGTCCGTTTCCCACTCATACGAAATCCGCTCTAAAAGGGTCCGCAGAAGAACTTAATCCATACACATGCACAGCATCATCCAATATGAAACAACCAGGAATTACAGACATTATTCAGTGCGCAAACCACAGTACATAAATACCAATTTTGTATGATCGTTTAGCAGTATTTTTTTCAATTATTACGCGCATTCATTTATTTCAACTAAAATTCTATTCACTGTTACAAAATAATAAAATCACAAATATACGCAAATATTTGAAAGTTGAAACTAATTTCGATACAGGACGTCGATACGTTTTATGATTTGATGATGCATGTGAAAAAATAATTAACGGTATGCTAATGACCAAAATGGACCACATATATATGCGGTGTAATCCAACGCATGCGCACGCAAGTTCTTCTGGACAATTTTTCCCTCGACCAACAGTTCAACGAACCGGGCTAAAACGTTTTAGGGACTGGACAATACCGACATTCAACTAATGCAAAATCTTCGCGTGTATATCACAGTGGACAGTTTGAGAATAATTTGCTTGTCGAAACGGTTGGATTTTTCCCATTTTAATCCCTTTCATTTTCTATATCCTCATGTTTTTGTTTAACCAAAGAAAGAACTAGGAATTCCCAAGTGTCCTGTTAACAATTCCAAGCATTTAATGCTCGACAGTTCAGTTCAACACTTCAAAACGAGATGAAAGTCGCGTGGCACATTTGAGGAATACTCAAGTCTTATTTATCATTCTAAACAACATGTTTGTACTCAAGTCTTATTTATCATTCTAAACAACATGTTTGTACTCAAGTCTTATTAATCATTCCTAACAACATGTTTGTACTCAAGTCTTATTTATCATTCATTGTACTCACCAGGGGCGTCAGCTGCTCCTCTATGGTCCGCAAAGTGTGCCTACMTTACAACCACTGGTATACGATACTCAGAAATCAACAAGGAAAGTCATGACTCGGTCGTTACACGTTTCTTTGGTATCTTTTTTCTTATCTTTCAAAGCGGGCAAATATGGGGAAATCTCATCTCATCACTTGTTCTTGACTCTGGTAGCCCGGATTACTTCCGTCCCGACGCAGGGGAGGTATGTGGGGTACATTTTTGCGCTGAAGTGAAGAGCAACCTCACAAACGTTACAGATACACTGGCAAAACCTGAGTACAGTTTGGTGGTGAAGCTACTAAGCATCTATCTGGCCAGTGGAGTGATTGCAGTACTACTTGTTTTGTTACTACTGGATAGACTTTCAGGAAATCTTTCTCGTAAAAAAGATTCTGTATCAGGAGTCAGTTTGCTGCTTGCTACCTTCATGCATTTGAAGGATCGTCGTATGCAGCTTGTTTTGCCCATCACATTCTTCAGTGGCATTGAACAAGCGTTTATTTTCGGAGATTTTACAAAGGTATTTATGTAATGTCCATTTTCTAACTACAAACACTTGCGCTTTATTCGTACTAAATTGTCACCAGATAGTGTTTTAGGAATCTAACAAACCGTGTTAACTATATTGTCCTCAAGCATTTTATGGAATCGATGAAAGCAATTGCAAACTAAAATCATCCAAGAAACACATTACAGCATAATACACCTTTGCGCTTATGGGAACGTTTGTGCATTTTGTGAGCTCGTTTCACCCAATTAAAAGTAGTTATTGTTAACATCTTTTTTATAATTCCCGTTTTCTCATAGGCATTTGTTACATGTTCCCTTGGAATACACAAAGTTGGTTTCATCATGATATGTTTTGGTGTCAGCGATGCAGCATTTTCTTATCTGTTGGGTAAATTGACCCAGTATACAGGTAGAATGGCTATATTTCTTAGCGGTACCATCGTTCATTTGACTGCGTTAATCATCATGTTAGCCTGGAGCCCCAGTAGTGACCTTCTCTGGGTGTTTTACATCTTGGCTGCTCTTCAAGGCTACTGTGATGCTGTATGGCAGACGCAGATTAACGGTGAGTTATTTCTTTTATTTCTTGTTGAAATATCGTCCATTTTCAGAAACTAAAGAGATCGCTTGGGCGCTTTCCATATGTTGTTCATTTTGAACTTGGAACCCTTCACTTCACTGCCATTCCTGGTATGACCAGTTTCCATTCTTTCTTGCAGCATTATATGGTATCTACTTCAGTGATAACCAGGAACCAGCCTTTTCCAACTACCGTTTGTGGGAATCACTAGGGTTTGTTGTTGCGTATGCTTACTCTAATGCGCTGTGCGTTCGAGTCAAGCTGATTATCTTGATTATAGTACTGGGTATTGGTACCATTATGTATTTAGCATCGGAGTTTGTTCACAGAATAAGAGTCAAAGAACTTTCTTTGGCATCTGAAGAAGGCGAAGCTAATGCTCTTAAGCCTCTTTGAATTAACGAATCAATTTTAATTGATGAAGCAGTTGAACTGTACGACTGAGACCAGTGAAGGTCAAGCTGAGTGCAGATGAAGCTAAACATTGTATATGTATAAAATGTTTGGGCTCGTATTTTTAAGGGGGGGAGGGGACGTGACAAAAAGAAGAATACAAATGAAGGAAAATGAATTTCATAAATCTGCAAGACCAAAAAAATATTGTTTCTCTGTATAAATGACACAAGACAATCTTTCAAGACGAACTATTTAATATATTTACATACGTGTTTTAAAAACCAGCATTAATTTGTTTGTCGGGGTTTTTTTCGGGGGGGGGGGAGTGAGTGGTACTTTTGAAGCAACTAATAATGTTATCACTAAAATTTATCAATGTAATCTTTTTTTTGTCTAATAAACAATTTGCACGCCCGACCTAGCGATTATTTTATCTTGAAGGAGTGAAATACCAGTTTTTAGTGAGAATAATGATATGGGATGTAGTGGATGAAAATCATCAAAGAAGAATCAGGTTGATCAAATTCTGGCTTAGCAGTCTGTCCAAAAAAATTATTTTAGGAATAAAAATTATACATAAGTACAATGTCAATTAAAAATCCGTTTGTGAATCGCAGAATTTCAAACTAAGTTTCTGGTCTAAGCTAATTGGAGTTCACCATGTATTCCAGTGTAGACGGAGTTTTCACGATGTTCGAATCACGGGATACTCAACTTTTTCTGTTGGACTAGTTTACAGTTTTGTGTTAGTTTCTTTATTGCATGTGCCAATCTCATCACATACCCATCTATCTTTACTCTCATAAACCTGTTCCTCGTTTGTAGCTTGCTCTTCCTCGATATTGTTGAAGTAGTTCTTATCCTCATCATCAGCGATGGAGCAGGTTGAGTCTTTTCCATTTTTACGCACAAAACTCCAGAATTTCTTTTCGTAACAAATCTCGAGAGCTTTTTTATGTACTCTGCTTGATTTGGGAGGACGTAATGGCGGTCGTTCTGGTGGCTCGAGTCCTAATGCTTTACGTCTCTTAAGCTCTTCTGGAGTAATTTTCTCAAGGAAATTAGATGGAGCCCAACCAATAGAGAGGCTCTGGGTACGAACTAGCCACCAACCCCCATCGGTTTGCTCCAGGACCTGTACTGACTTGCCTTCTTGGAGGTTTACCTCTGTATCAGAATCCTTAGTGTAGTCCCCGATGGACAAAAACACGTCAATATCTCCACCCACTGGAGAGTCACTTCTTTGTGTCATCACTTGGTAGTCATCCATGTGGGACTGCTCTTTATCATCAGTATTCTTGACATCTTTGTTCAGCAAACCATCATTTTCAGATGTTTCTTCAATTCTTTCAGAATTTTCGTCTTTAAGCTTACCCTGCATTGTATCTGTGTCGGAAGGAGCTGATTCCTCAATATTTTGAGCTTGTTTCTTTTGTATTTCGTTGTCCTTATTTGTCTCTTCCTTCGACGTCGCGCCGTTCTCTGAAGTCTTTGTCTTACTAAAATCCAGCTCTACAAGGTCTCCATCTTCGTCTCTGCGTCGGCGCATGCGCGCGTTGTCCTTTTTGTTGTGATACTCCATATTCATGTAAGAGGGACCCTGCTGGACGTCCTTTTTACCACTGCGACGTTTCGCAGGCTTTTTCTTCTCAAAGTCGAAGTTAACATAAGAAGGAGAGTCTTCATCAGAGGAATCAGAGTCGTGCTTCTTGTTATTGTTGAATTCGATGTTGACATACGATGGCTGATCTTCAGGTCCCTCCTGTATGACATCGTGATGCAGTCGGCGTTTAATCGTACCTTTTCGAGCAGTTGAGATTGACTAAAATTTTAAAAAAGATGAAATTGTGTTTAGAAGCATAATTGGAAGATCTGTTTATTCGGAATTTCGAAGAAATGTTTGTGCTATTACCATATTAGGATTCCACGTCGTTCGTCGATCTAAAAAAGAAATGATAATAATAATAATACTTTATTTCTTAAAAACGCATTTCAAAAACTCAATGCTTTTTACAAATACTATAAACACATATAAAGAGTCTGTAATTTAGCATAAATGCCGGCGGCAGAGTTATACGGCTTGCAATAGTCGTTCGCATCTCTTGCGCAAAAAATGTCATAAAAGTGCTAATTTGTTTGTTACCAGTAATTGCAAAGACATTTCTCATGTTATTCATAACAGCCTCTCTCTCCATTTGACGTGTATAACCTGTAGTGGAGGCCAGTACATGAAGATGCATACAGGGAGCCCAACCTGTACCCTTCTCACTACTGAAAAATACATGTCATAACTTGTTAGTGTAAGTTGTAAACTATTGAGGGTGAATCGGGAAGAGACTCGGAAGAAGTTAAGCTCACCTGACAAACCACCACCCATCGACATTTTTTTGTTTGACTTGAAGTATCTGTCCGACCTCTAAAGCCACTTCATCATCATTGGAAGGCTGGTGTGATCCCAAAGCGAAGCACATTTCCTCTAGAAAATCACAAAGAATACATGATCTTTATTAATGGCATCCAACTACTTCCAGCTTTCTTTCTTTTAAGTTATTAGTCACAACATTTTCCTCATAAGGAATTAAAATCTTAATGATAGGGGAAATATGCAGAGCATTCTGACAGTTGCAGTCAAATGAGGCTAGGCGTTCAACATCGTCAAACTTAAGACAAACACTGATACCTTCGCCTTCAGCAAAGACTTGTACGACTTGGTGATCCTCGTCTTCACCGTCTCTTGGTGTTAAGAAAGAGGCTGGTACCCAACCAAGGTCACCGTCAAGGTCAACAAACCACCACCCTGGTAAAGACAATTGATATTTACAGCAGTTTAGTGCTCGTTTTATAGGGGTAGCTTTTGGTCGGGGATATTTATAGGTGTTAATGACTGTTCACCGAAGGTCGTGATCATGGGAGCTCACTTACCGTGTTCACCCATAGTAATGACCTCAACAATGTTCCCTGCCTTTAGGCTTAAACCATTCTTTTGTGTCTTTGTGTAATCACATATCGCCACATACTGTTCCAGTAAGATAGGCTCGGAAATGTTTAAAGCATCTAAAAGTCAAAAATATGACATAAGGATATAGGGTCCCTTTGCTGTAGGCCATGCTGTACGGCTTGTGATATACTTACATCCCATTCGACGCGTTCCTCTTGTTTCTCCTGCACTGTAATCACGAAGACTAAGGAAAAAGAAAACGATTTAGACGTGACAATATATACGTTTTTTGTTCTGTACTAGTCTATCAATATACGTCACATACTCATTAGTCTTGGCGAAATGGAACGTCATATCTTCCGGCAGAGGACGGAAGAACTCGAGGACCGCATCGCATTGTGAAATAGATCTTGGAAGATGGATTAGCGACTGTGAAATATATACAAAAAATTAGCTAATTCGTTGGCCTGCCTGAGATGAGTATTTTCAAAATATAAATTCTAGTATAGCTTTATACCTTGAGAAATTCGTCCACTTCCCTCATTTTAGTTAACGCTTTCTTTTGTGTCTTGACTCCAAGTTTTCCAAAGAGTGTTTTATCTTGCGTAAGATGAATGAAAGTAATTAAACTCATTGTTTCACTACAGTACGGTCTTAGATGATTTTTATAAGAATATTCTGGTTCATGGACGCATCCTGCATGTTATTGTTACCTGGTAGTAAATATCCCGTCCTGTTCTCTGCGTATTCATTCTTCAAGTAGGTCAGAAACTCTTCTAATTTCAGCAGTTTTAACTACAAAAATCAGCATGATATATTCGTCAAGAAACCTTAATCAGTTTAAAACCTGAATATACGCTTATTCCGGCTCAATGTCCAAGGATTGCTAGTGTACTGGGGTCTAACCTGCAAGCCATAGATAGTTTTGTAGCTACGATAGACTTGAATAGCTACTCCATTTTTCCACTCTACCTGTATGGAGAAAACCTAAAAAAACAATAATGGTACTTTAAGAAAAACATCAGACGGTCGCCTGGAAAACCTGTTAGCTGGAGAGCGGTTCTTTCTGATTCCGATAATGATAGATGATGATTAGTTATTATTGTGAATACGATTATTGTTATTGTTATTGATTATTATCGTCGGTATTCCTATACACTGAGCATGCCATATTCTATAGGAAGCTAGATAGGACGATATATCAAATAGATACATAGTTAATCTCCCTGCTAACTATGATAGGTGAGTTTACTTACATAGCGCTTGACTGGTGTCGTTTGCTTTATGACTCCCTCGACATAGATATCGCTAACAGCGTCCAAACTCATCCTAGAAAACTGTAAACGTCGGTCTACTAACAAACACACATAAATGAAATAGCACACACAGCCGAAATAGATTTGATGAATATTTGTAAATATTTTATAACCTTTGCTGCAAAGCTTTCCCTGATAGGGAAAATGTTGCGCACTTACGTCACCAGATTTTTCATTATCTACTAGTTTATATGCATAACTCAGTCATGATTCACCTCTTGCATTTAAGTTATGCAATACAGTTTTGTACAAAATAATTGCACTGCTAATGATAATGGTTTTCGATTAAACTCTACTAAAATACAGAGACAACTTACAGGTTCACCATCGTCATGATTCAAGAAAAAGATAAAAGTGAAATACTTTCCGTGATGTTGTGCACGCCGTCTTTAACTATTTGCTAGCATCAGTGAATTAGACTGTGATGACCACAGTACGACTATAATATTTCTAATCAGTATACAAGCGTTCATCTTAAATTGATCAAATTCTCTACATATAATTTATTGGAAAAGGCAACATGAGTATTGCTCGTAGTTTGAGTATCGAAAGTAACTTGAGTAAAGTTTGAACGCAACCGGCCATGAAAATTTCGTTAGAGAGCCGTGGCATTGATGAAAAAAGTATATCTCACCTTCCCACTCCCGAGACCACAATCACTTCCCAACTACAACGGCTCTTTTTACATTCACACCAGAAACTGATTGTTTTTAAAGGGTGTAAAATGTGTTTAAAAACTCCTTAAACATGTACTTAGTGAATCACTGACGTTGGAATGTAGAAGACTGGTGTTTACACAGTCCCAGGACTCCAACACAATAAACAAATGCTAAATAAACATTGTTAGCTCATTAGCGAGCCACACTACACTTTAAAAGTACGCTCATAACTGAGATATTGTCTACAATATGCTTGATATATGAAGCTTGGCCATGAACCAAATTGTCTGACTCAAAGATACTAATGAAGCGGCTGTCATGTATTCACTGAAGGTCTTGTCATTGTTTTAGGTGTATTGTTTAGTTGTCACGGTCTAGGAAATAGTTTGCTAACCGATTAAAACCGTTGCCATAGTCATGACCAAGTAAAGAGGACCCGCGCTGGCTAATCCATTCATACTGTCAGGGACTCATTTCTGTACAGTGACCCAAACTCGTACCCAGTTGCTTCTCTTGCTTATTTGGCGGCGCGCAATGGATCAAGGGAATGACGAGGGGTTCTTTCCTTCCCATCAGCCTCTTCGAGCGTAGCAAGAATAAAAAATGTGTTTCACTCAGACCATTTAGAGATTTAGTAAAATTCGAATTAGATAGGTTATAAATGGCAATTCTAAATTTAATTTCTTCCGATCCCTTCCCTAAGTTCTTTCCTACTACAACACGGAGCTAGTATAATCCCTCGGAAACCATGAAAATTCCTTTATAACGGTGATAGAAAGACTCATAAAGCATTTCGCTCTTGGGATACACTATCTTCAGTATTCAACGGCTTCAAGGAACTGGAAGCATCACGCGGCGATCAATCATTACGTTGCCTATAAATACACACCAAGTAGGCGATTCCCAGGGGCCAAGGAACCTATTGTGATTGATCATTCCTCCCGTGGGAGCCTGACGCGGGGCGTCCTGTTTCCCTGCCCTAATAAAAAGTCCGTCTGAAAGATACGGAAAAGGATTTTTCATCCACTACATGGAGTGCTTAGAGCTATAATTTAGCTGGAGTCAATTCAAATACATCTTTTTGCATCTGTTGACCATGTTGACTCATGAATTCTCTAGCGTTTCGTATATAATTTTTTTCATATTCAAACTGTATTTTTACATCCATGTCAATTATTTTCATTCGCCTGATTATAGTTTTGCAATAAAATCGAACGATTGCTTTTTTCCACTCCTTATCAATTTTATACGGATTATCATTCATCCTCTTCTTATAGAATTCACTAAACATATAAAAATTGTTTGTTAATTATCAATCCATTTTTAAACTTTTACATGATCAAGACCAAAAATGTGGATCGAGCGTTCGAGTGTAATGTTGGAGTTTCAGAGGTCTTCAATTGTGGTGCGTTGAATCCCGGCACTGAAATCTTTGGTAATAGCTTATATTGACATAAGAACTGTACACCTTTTCCTGTGATGTTCTGGCAAACAATAACGACAACTGAACAACTCGGTGAAAGCCGTCACATTCCATCGAGTATATCGGTATTCGGCCGCAAACCAGCCCTCAGCACCCACCCCACCCTATCAAATAATAATAAATCCACTGAAGACCCTGTATCGTATGCTAATTCCTGAGCTGATCTCTGATTGGCTCACTGCTCCCTACGGATCTCGGTGACGTCATATATTAGCATAGAACATCACCGAATAGACTACCCCCATTAGATATTAGATATCTATAAGTGTCYTCRTARTACGATGGTCTAAGAKGKTAGCTWDAGGTATGCTCTAGTGGGCGGCTACCCCCTCACTCCCTGGCCTTTTGGTTAAGACTAAGTTTTATGTTCACTCGGGATAACGTGGAAGAGCCGAAATCTCTAACCGTAACGTAAGCCGATTCGMCGCCTCAGCTTCATAGAATGTCTCGGGGGAATCGTCCCATTTTTTAGATTTTTTTTTTCATTATTTGTTATGTATGGCCGGGGGGTGCAGCGACCACTCAAGTGAAAGTCCTGAGTTCGAGTCCTGCTTGTTGTCTCTTTTTTTGTTTTTTCTTGTTTTCTTTTCTTCTGTCTTGTTTTCTTTTTCTTTATTCTTTTTCTATTATTTCTTTTTTTTCTATTATTTTTCTATTTTTGGTTTGTTTTTGTATTTTTCTCTTTGAAACTTTACAGGACTCGCAAGGAACGCCTGTATGCCACAAGTGGATCAATGACGAGAAACGTCTATGCCGTCTATAACAGCAAAAGTTAAAGCGAGAGAGTGTCAGATATCAGATGTAGGGACGGCAGAAGCCAGGGGGGGGGGGGTAAAAATTGAGATTGCTATTTTGTTTAAGCTAGAAAATGAAAAAAAGCAATACATAAACAAACAAAAAATAAAATAACAATATCCATCTTGAGACTGTTAACAGGTGATGGATTTATACGTAGTTTGTTTAATCAACCATGAATTATTTAAACTTCTTTCCAAGCTTTCGACCTAAGCGGTCATCTTCAGGGAACACAAAGACGTTACAAAAACGATGGTGATGGATTGGTGGAAATGGGGAACGCTCTCCTCCCCTGCTCTCCACCCTTGCTATTGTTCTTTACTTATGATGCTTTGAGTACATGTCGAGTACCTTATTTTGGAGGGTTATTAAAGTTTCAAGCATATTTTAAGGTGGTGACAGAAGTTTTATCAATTACTGGAGTTGAACGTTATAAACAATAAATAATGGCCGCTCCCTTAAAAAAAACTGCTTCGTCGTTCATGCCCGTTTCAAACGCCCCTAAATTTTTATGAATTTATCCTCCTAAGTGCATCTCCTCTGTTTTCCCTCACAAATCCTTTCCATTCACTACGTTCAGAAAAAAAGAGTACTTTGTTTGGACTACCTGTGCCTTTTATTGGAATCCGCTGGTCCGTATCGAACAAATATTCCCGGTGTCCGGTGTCGTAAACTACCTGTAGAGGTTCAGTTTTACAGTTTTTATACAACTCTCATTCAACAAAATGCTACGTCCAATTCTTTCACGATCTTCAGGCATTGCTCGTTCAGTAACTTGTAAGTATGATACTGTACTGTTAGCGTTATTTTTGTGGAAGTGTAAAGTTAATCTGTCGTACTTGGACTGGAAACGGTCTCTGTTGTGGTCTATTTGACATGTCATGACCAAACTAAATATGGAAAATAACTTAAAACATAAACTTTGCGCCAAATACAATGCTTTGCTCTTCGAATATGCTTTATCTAATATAAGATTGCTTGTTCGTTTTAAAAGAACATTTAGCAGTTTCATCTGTGCCACGTTGCACAAATCTAAAAGAGTCAGCTGCCCTTTGAGTTCTTCCACGCCCCTATATGCATCCCTAAAAAAGATTTGATTTTAATAATAAAATGAGCTTACATATGTTTTTTTGTACAATTTTGACTGGTTTTATATTTGTAACCGTTAAATTTCTAGATTGAATGGTTAACTTATTATCATGGATTCTTTACAACCATCTCTTTACATTTGTTAAACATAGTAATGAGTATTGCAACGTTTTAATCTTTAGAGGATATAAGTTATTGCATGGGCTTGCGGAGATATGAATTTTATCACCACCACAAGCTGATAAGATAATATCCCTCAAGTGAGTGCAGCAAATATGGGTTGCACGCAAGAAGATAAATGTGTTTATATACAATGATTTCCTTAATTAATACATCGTTTGTGACAAATCGTCAGTGATAAGAGTGCTCAACACTCAAGTGTGAAACAATTCTTAACTATTTAGCACCTAATGAAATCACAAGTTCAACCATTTACACTATATAAATTAAGAATTTGCAGAAACTCAGAACAGATAATATAATGTTGATTTCAAGGGCAATAAGCCCTGTGAAAGTGGGTCATGTGACTACACCTACCTATCAATCAGTCATCACACAATGGCTACAATACTAAATACTTCAAAAATGTCAGCAAATGTACAAATCATAATTTTTTGAAAGAAACATACATTTCTTTAGAATAATATGGTACTTCACAGAACACTCTGGAGAAACATTTATAATCTTCTCATGCTCAATAGATATCTCACTCACTCAATTGTTAGATATTAATCAGACACTTATGATAAAACACATATCTCTGAATACACTTGTTCTTGCTGCATGCATGTGCCATTCTGATATATTACAATATTGATTCTTTTTATTAGCAAATGTAAGAATGCTAAGCTCTCAGTCAAGCAGTATAGCAAAGGTATGTTTCCAGGAAAATAATTAATTTAATTATTTCATTCTAGCTTGAAAATCAGACTTGTTAAAACACTTGTCCACTTTTATTTTTCTCAATTGTTTTTCAAATTTTCTAAAACGTTTTTGGCTGTATATGAAATATAAGTGAAACACTGGTGACTAAAACATCAGTACTGTACTGGATTGATATTCAACATTCACATAATACAAAAATCTGATTGGAACTTATATCTGATGTTTCAGTTTCAATAAATAATACAGATCTATACAGTATTGGTGTATTTTGGTTGGTATGGATTCTCAATAATAAATGTATTTTTTTAGACAACTCAACTCAAGTCAATGCTAGAATCTCCTGACCTTGAGTTCATTATGGAGGCTCACAATGGACTTTGTGCTAAAATTGTGCAAGAAGCAGGTAATATTTTTTTAGGGAAGAAACAGGATATATTTTGAGTGGTTACCACATCCTCTATTATAATACCTGTACCCAACCAATAAACTCAAACATATGGTCTAGTTTTTGATTATCGGTACAAGAGTTGATATAAAGAGGTACTGAATTTTGAAGATAGTTGAATAAATGCAAAATGTTGTGTAAAATATATTTTTTTGTAAATATACCTAAGAACAGTGTTTTGCTTCAGGTTTTAAAGGTATCTGGGGAAGTGGTTTGTCTATATCAGCTCAGCTGGGAGTTCGAGACAGCAATGAAGCTTCTTGGACCCAGGTTGTTGATGTTCTTGAGTTCATGAGTGATGCAACAGACATTCCAATCTTACTGGATGCTGATACAGGTTATGGGAACTTCAACAATGCCAGACGGCTAGTTCAGAAACTTGAGATGAGAGGTATTGCAGGAGCCTGCCTGGAAGACAAACTGTTTCCAAAAACTAATTCACTTCTAGATGGGCGTGCTCAACCTCTTGCTGATATTGATGAATTTGCATTGAAAATTAAGGCCTGTAAAGGTAAGTGTGTCATAGTATTTCTTGTATACTTCTTTACAAAATTGTATTGTTCTATGCTTACTGCCTGGGCTGGTCATGGTTGGGCTTTACAGTCTTATTCAATAATTCCAAATATATCAGTATAATAATATTTATAGACAGAGCATGAAAATATACAAAAAACCATTTCTGAACTGTTTGACTAGTCTTCACTGATTATAAACTTATGTTTTTTAAGATACTCAGACAGACCCTGATTTTTGTATCGTGGCAAGAGTAGAGGCATTCATTGCAGGGTGGGGGCTAGATGAAGCATTAAAGCGTGCCGAGGCTTATCGTAATGCTGGTGCAGATGCAATCCTTATGCACAGCAAGAAGTCAGATCCTTCTGATATTGAAGCTTTTATGAAAGCATGGAATAATCAGGTAAATGCAAAAAATATTTCTTTTTGGAACATTTTTATTTACTCATTTAGATACAAAAGTGGTTTTCATGAAATCAGGGCTTCTTTCTTGGTTAGGATTAGAATTTATGTTTTTATCATGTTTTTTATCAATGCCATCAAACATTTTCAATTGACTAAAAAGTGTCAGACTATCAAGCAAATTGTTCATTATTCCCCAGGGTCCAGTAATTATTGTTCCTACCAAATACTACACAGTACCCACAGACCATTTCCGTGATTTGGGTGTATCCATGGTGATATGGGCGAATCACAACATGAGGGCATCAGTTGCTGCTATGCAGCAAACCACTCAACAGATTTACAAGGATCAATCACTGGTGAATGTGGAGGGAAAGGTACCAATTTTACTACGACCTTAACTTTCCTTACTTTAAGAATATACAAAAAAATTGAAAACTGAAATCTTATAATGAGAAATAAATGTACAACAGAAATGTAATCTCTTAAAATTGTTAAACATATCTTTTGGTCTGTCTTCCAGATTGCTCCAGTTAAAGAGATATTCCGTCTCCAAGGTGACAGTGAACTCAAAGATGCTGAGAAAATATATCTGCCTGAGCAATGAACATCTTTTTCATTAGGTAGTTAATAAATTGTAGGAATAGCTCAAATAAACAATTTATTGATGTAGAATTTGAACTGTACAGGGAGAAGTGGTGTTGTATGTATTCTTGATGTGGTCAAATAACCAATGAGTGATTTAGTGATGATGAAATAATAAAACAAGAAAAAAATTGAAAAACAAAGATGTAATGCATATTTTAAAGGATTTTAATGCCTTTAGTTAATTACAAGCACAGTTATTCTTAACAATATTCAATATTCATAAGAATATTGCTGCTGTAAAAGCTTGTATTTGAAACAAACCTTTTGCTGGGATATTGTATCCCTAGCAGCACTGTCATTAGATTTCTGAATACAAGTGGAGAATACAATGGAATCTCCTCTTGCAGACGCTCTCATAAGCAAACAGCTCTAATCAAACAGCTTTCTAAAACCCTGATTTTGTATTTCTTCCATAAACACTGTGTTCACAGTTTCTATTAGGCAAACAGCTTTTCCAAGGATGTCCACTTATGAGATTCAACTGTATGTTGATAAGAATACCACATGCTTGTGTTTACTTGTATAATGATTTCCTTTAAAAGCTATATCCCGTTATGGGTACTACAGCCTCTTATAACAGATTTATATAATTATTCTTCATTCTCTTCAGTTAATCATAAAAAAATTACATCAATTTATTTTGAAAAACAAAGTGAACAAGTGTTTTTATGAGCTTTGTCATATTTCTTCCTTTTCGTACCTTAAGCTTTTTTTACCAGTCGTTTGATATGAAGGTTGAGGGTTTGGGATTAAGTCACCTAAAGGTCTAGTTTTGAGAATGTTATTGGACCAAGATGGACATGACATAAAGGAAGCTCAATTTAAAGACAGCTGTGGGAAAGGCTGTGTTTCTTACCCAGTATCTTCAATATTTCATGATATTGCTATTGACCAATTATGGCAATATGTACCATTAATTACATGAACTAGAAATATAAAATTGAATGTTTCTGAGTTTTGGATTGAAGGAGATCCTTTTTCTTTGTCATTGTTTTTCTATCAGGCAATACTCTAGGTACAAAAATGTGCTTAAACAACATATTATGTACTTTGGTAGATGTTATTTTATGCCAGACAATGTATTATTTTATTATGGCAGCACTCCTTTCAAAGAATGCATGCATACAGACAATGACAATCATTGTGAAGCCTTACAAGCCACTGGGATCCCTAGTGTGGCTAATGTTACAGTGTATGTACAAGGTCTTTTATTCATTCTTGTATAAAACTGGATATCTGAAGAAGAAGAAGAAAAAACAATCATTATTTTTTTAAATATTTTCATCAATAAGTTAGAGTAAACAATATCAAGCTTTGATCAACTAGTAGGGTAAAAAAAACATTATCATAATCCAATTCTTTTTGTTTTCCAATGGAAAATCGAAGGAGCCTTTGATTTTTCTTTAGGAAACATAAAAGGATCTTGATGTGTGACAAAATTCAAAATGTACAGTTGCCCATGCCTCTATCATAGGTTATCCCAATGCTGCACCGAGTTACAATCATTGTTCATAGACCACCTAGGTCTGATTCTTTGAAAGCATTTGTCTGAGATTCATGCTATTCACAGTGTGTCTTACCTAAAGATGTATTATGCTACAGTTATGACAATCACTGTAATGATGATAGCCAATGCAATTAAAATAATTGCAACAATGCATATTTTTTTCTGTAATAGAAAATAACAGAGTTTAGTTGACTGTCACAACAAACAAATGAATTTAAAAACAAAAAACATTTCAAACTTCTTTCAGCTGACGATTATATATTGGTTGCATTATGCGTAACTAAGTTTTTTGATTTTTTGCAAAATATATTAAGCCTAGATATTACCAGGGTTCGTGCAACATTTTTACTACAAAATTCCAGGACTTTTCAAATGTGATTTTCAAGGACTATTTTTGAAGATATTGTTGATGTTTGCGGATTTTTCCAGTGGCGATAATCACAAATAGCCACATTTCAATTCAACATTCAAAGATTTCAAGGAGTGGCGCGAACCCTGTATTACGATTTAAGAATCTTATACAACTGAGCTATATAACAGTACTACTTAAAGTGAATAACTCTTACCCTTCGAGCTTTGCTTTGATATTTCATAGCTTTCTTGGTATCTGTTTTGGCTGACTGGACATAATCCACAGCTTGCTCAACATTAAATTCTATTCTGTCAATCATTTCACCCTGAACATCATAATTAGCAAAGTCATTTCATAAACTGACAAAATTAAGTTATTAACTTATGATTCAAAAGAATGGAGGAAGAAAGAGGAAATAAGGAATATTGTATAAGTATAAGTATATTGTATAAAAAGAAATAAATATAATGAAGGGTAGACATTAAAAATTAAGTTAAATTATTGCCAAACATATACAATGTAATATGAAAAATGATATTTACTTTCATTACCACAAATAGACTTTTGAACCTTTTATGTCATTACTTGATTTGCAATGCATTTTGGGATCAGTTTCTAAACAAAGCAAAAGAAATCTGCTGTTTTCTGTCCAAAACACGTCCTACAATGCATTGGATAATGTACATGACGTAAAAGCTTCAGAGGTAGTGCAATATCTTCAAGCATTAATCATTGTTATTACAGATTTACCTGACTCTCAACCAGCATGTACATATCTTGAAACATTTCATGAAGTTCCTACATCACAATTAGATCAATAAAATATTAAAGTGTTTTTTTATATGGCAATGCTGATCTATGTGGTAAAAGTATGTTTATCCTGTTATTATCAGCACCTGTATACTCTTTTCCAGTGAAATGATATCCCTATGTCTAGCTTCTATATCACCAAGAGCTTGTTTGGCTTGTTGTGTTTCAATAACAATCTACAAAATAACAATAATAAAATTTTTAATATTAAGAGTGAAAACTAACGCAAGGAAGTTATGAATCGTTTCGACATTTCGACGCTATCCAGAGTTAGTTTTCACTCTTAATATAACTAACAAAGCTACATTAATCAATATTATTAATTTCTTCAAATTTATTTTTACAGAGAAAATTTTGCTATTTGATTTGCTATAACAAGCACTTCAATTACAGTAGCAATACATGAAAACAACAATATGCAAATAAACCTGTTGTTTTGTCACCAAGAATGTCAACATGCAGCCACAAATGATAAAAGTCAACAATTTTTATTGATATCAATAACAATCTGACTGCATTCAAATTAGACAATGTACGATACAATTATATATCAGCATTAAATCATTGCACTTACATCTGAAGTGAAGATTGCAGGGTTTCCACTTTCTAACATATCTTCAACCTCTTCACTAGTTTTTGCTTTTCCAGCTAAAATAAATCAAATAAATTAAGAATGATGATACTGCTTTTTTTTATACAGCACAATTTATTTAAACAACACTGAATGAAGCAGAAGAAACACACACATTCTCAACAAAGTAATGGAAAAAGACTATGCAATGCCCATTGCCACATTTACTGCAAGTAAGTCTAATGGAAGCAAGTGATTAGACCTCAATCTATTCAAGATAATTTATATTTTTCAGAAACCTACTTATTTCCAGTTGTCTTTGTATACGAGCTTTGCATTTCTCTCTATAATTTGTCTGAGTTGTGTTATATTCACTCATAACTTCAATAAACTTTCTGGAAAGAGTTGCATGCTGAAAGACAAATGTAATTACATGTAAATACGTTGAAAAATAACCTTATTGTAAAGTTTGATTCACATTTTTGAAAGGTAGTCATGCCTTTGCAATGAATGAATAACCATCTTTAACCTTAAGATGTCTTGTTTATTCACGAACAACTGTACAATACAAACCTGACATCTCTTTATTCTAGAATCTGCAAGATTAGTACTGGTACCAACTTGTTTTTCACTTTCTTTTATTTCAAGTTCCATTGCTAGTAATGAGAGAATTACGATAGTAAGTTAGCTACAACTAAAATTGTATGGTAAATTAATTTATAATATCTAGAAGGCCAATATTTTCCTCTAATAAATATGTTTCCAACCCAATTTAAAAAAGTCTGGATATTTTCAAATGTCAATGCAAATTCCAATTTGAAATATTCATGAGAGTTTAGAGATGGAGTGAAGATGCCCTGGCTGACTTGAATTGAAAGAAGCAAAGTTGATTTACCTTTTAAACTACTTCGAACCCCATTGGCTGTTCTTTGGATTCTTGACATGCATTCTTCCATTTTGTCTTTAATTGCTTGAATTACAAAAATAAAATGTTGCAATCATACATTACAATAATAATATAATTAATAACATAAGCAACAATGATTAACAACAAAATTATAGTGGAGAACAAATGCATTAAATTCAAACAAATCCTTTTGTTTTATATTTCATTCATTCAGAAAATCTTTCATTTGCAATAGAATAGAAAATCTTAAAAGACATGAAAAATCTTATTACTTATCTAGAAAAATCTTCAAGTCAAAACACAAGGAAATTGAAACAGAATCATGATTAGCTGCTTAGCCAGTTGATATTGACTGTACAATATACGTCCACATCAAAATAAACCATTTTAGTGCAAAAACCCTTGTAAAGTCACTATTGACTTGAGAAATGTACTGGAATTTTGATTATTCCCAAGAACCAATCATGAAAATATTATAAACAGGTCGTGCATACAGTATATGTTCACTGCTTTTTCATAATTCAAATTCAGTTAATAAAGCATAGTAGCTATTAAAATAATCATCATATAATGACATCCTATTGATAATTTATGTATCATATATCATAGTATTATCTACATATTGTACATACATTGTTCTTTAAATATAATATTCTATTTCTAAATATAAGAGTGACTGATACAAACTTTATTTATTTTGATATGTTTTGAAACAGGAAAAAGCCAAAAAGATTAGAAACCAAAACTGAAATTTCACTATAAGACGAGCTTTTAAGAACCATAATACGAGATTCAAACAAAGATGGATAAATTACTTTATTAGAATGCCACTATGTCATTGTGTGTCTATAGTTACGTCTAATATAGTATTTTTTATCAGATTGGACATCTATAAATAAACCTCTATTGATCATTCAAAACTTTTCACCAGTAAAATCATGTTAAAATATTACCAAAAACTAGGCTAGAATGGACGTCTCACACGCAAGAAAATGTCCTAAAATCAATGATTATTCTAAGCTTTTATTCTGAACCAGGCATCGATGTTGACAGCCGGGTCTATACATACCTTGATCGGGTACCGCAGCGGAAAGAATTGCACTGTGTGCTTTTTTGACGCTTTCGACATCTTCAGTAATTCGTTCAATTTTCTGTTTGATATCTGCTGACTTAAGATAAAACACACACAAGTAAATTCCAACAGACTTAAAGAGTATACAACTATGATCAAAGATCAATGAACACATTTGAGGGATATTTTCTAGAAGATCATGCCAAGAATAACACTCTAGAATATACCTTTTGAAAGAATTCGTCCATAAAAGCTCCTTCCATATTAACTTGGTGGGAGTCACCAAATTCATAGGAATCTTCATCTTTAAAATTATCCTTTGACAACCAAAACAATGGTTATTTTGAGATGGTTCAAGCAGTTTCACAAAGCTCAGGAACAAATGCAAAGTTTATTAAACGCTCAGCAGCTTACAAATAAACGAATTTGAGTGCAATAACTTAAAATACTTACGTCAGCGTTTAGGAAATCCAGTCGGTCCTTCATTTTTGTGAAATGGATAAAAGAACGTAGAAAAAAGAAAGATCTCTAGAATGGTTATACCTATGCACCACCTCCCTTCACAGCCATTACCCTTGCTGGCGACCGCAGTACTTAGTATGAAACTCTCAGCGGACTTGTAAATAGCTAAAGGCATGCTGGGTAAGTCTAAATCAACACCCTGCTGCGATGGAGGCTATCCAGGAGGTTATCATACGTTCGATACTTCTTAATAAAAGTTCGGGGACTCCGTCCCCCCCCCCCCCCCCCCCCCCCAACATCCACCACGCACCCAAAAATATACCCGCGGTCGCCGTTCGAGGGTGTCTTTCTTGTGCGATGGGAGGTGTCTGCCTAGTGGGGATGGCGGATACCTAAAAAACGGACGGATAAGGTGCTCGGGCGAATTTGCGGTTTAATGATTTCTACTATTTTAGAATTAGGTTTTAATTCGTTATTGCTCTCATTTTTTGCCACGGTGGCGCGGTGGTTGTGCTGAGATATCGCTCAGTTGCGGAAAATCGCCTTATTACAGGTTTCAATGTACTTTTTGTGCGCATCGGAGAAATATCGCATTCAATAAGAATTTCGAAATTTATCAGCAATTCTGCAATATGACAACCCACTACTACTGTAAGCACCCACGTAAGGAAAAATTGTACAATTTGTACACGAAAACGAGGTTTTATTATCCGGGAACTTTGTAAAGTTTCCCGCCGACGACTTCAAATGGACTGGTTCTGACCGGTTTAGTGCGGATTTTGCAAGTGCCTATTTTTTGCAATTCATCGACTTAGCTATTGCCCTTCCATATTTATACCGCTTTAGGTGGATCAAAAATTACTTACCTAAAAAAAGATCATTTCTAAAAGGGTTTAGATTACACAATTTAATAGAAAAATGAGTGCTGGTCCTGGTGTACAGCCCGTAGCGACATTCAAGGTTGGTGCTTTCTTGATCATTGATTAGTTATGAAATCGTTCAAAATGAGTCGATTTAACGCTTAGCTTACTCGTCTTCGTAGCTTGTTCTAGTTGGTGACGGTGGTACAGGCAAGACCACATTTGTCAAGCGCCATTTGACTGGTGAATTTGAGAAAAAATATGTTGGTAAGTGCGAACTAAGCTTCCTTTTAGCTTGAATACGAAAGTCCATTCGGTTCACGTGGAGAGTATAAGAAAGACTCAATATTGCCTTTTGTGTAAGAATCTAAATATTGTATTCAACATAAGACAAAACGATTGGTGTAAGAATCAAGCACATGTAGCTAAGCTTATAACTTACTATCAAAAAGTTTAAAGTACAACCACATTCTTCTTTACTGCAGTGTAATTTCATTGACTAGAGCCATTGAAGATACTTTTTTCTCTGTACATTATGTGATAAAAAAGAATTAGAAGTTTGAACATTATTTCACTTGACTATTAGAATGATATTAATCTGAAGATGAAATTGATGATGACGAAAAGTGGCTGTTCTATAATTTATTAAGTAAAAGATGGTCTTATTTCCACCATGTACAGTCAACTCGTGATATCATGGACACCCTTAGGTTTATATTTTAGTGTCTTTAATAGGTTAGGACAGTTTGAAAACAGACCCCTGGTGTATGGATCACTCCATTGTCCATATTCACTTGCAAAGTACCTTGACAAGTGTTTATAGTGTTTTGATAAAATAAACTGAAAATGAAATTGAAAAAATCTCAACTAAGATCACTCCTCTCTCCTTTCATGCTTAGTCTGCCCTTGTCTTTGTCTTGGCACACTTAGCAAAATTAACCAAGGACTTATCAAAAAAAAAAAGAACAAGAGTGAATTCATTAGTGTTAATTGACTATTTCAATTCACAGCAACACTTGGTGTTGAAGTCCACCCACTTGTGTTCTACACAAACAGAGGGCCTATTAGGTTCAATGTTTGGGACACTGCTGGCCAGGAAAAGTTTGGAGGATTACGAGATGGCTACTATATCCAGGGACAGTGCGCAATCATTATGTTTGATGTCACATCAAGAGTAACATATAAGAATGTTCCTAACTGGCATCGCGATTTAATAAGAGTATGCGAGAATATTCCCATCGTGTTGTGTGGTAACAAGGTGGATATTAAAGACAGGAAAGTCAAAGCAAAAAGTATCACATTTCACAGAAAGAAGAACCTCCAGGTAACTATTTTTCTGACAGACAAAATAGCCAAAACAGAGATTGCATAATTGTGAAAATATGGAATTGATGTGAGTCAAGAAGCCATGTTGAAAATCAAACTATAAAATTCATGATTAATTATATAAAACATAAAAAAGTACTTTGGAAATGTATTAGCAGAACTTGCTTAACATTTACAGAAAACTTGAATTATCCATGGATTTGAGAAGTAAAATGAATGGTCATGAATTTTGCATCATTAGATTTTCTAGCTATAAAGAAAACATATCAAAGATTTAAGAATGAGATGAAATAAGAAGTACATCCACTAAAACACTCTTATTTTTCAGTACTATGATATCAGTGCCAAAAGTAACTACAACTTTGAAAAGCCATTTTTGTGGCTACTGCGAAAACTTGTTGGCGACTCCAACCTTGAGCTTGTTGAAATGCCTGCTCTTGAACCACCAGAGGTTACCATGGATCCCAGCCTTGCGCAAAAATATGAAGCAGATCTGAAAGAAGCACAGAATACTGCACTGCCTGAAGAGGATGATGAAGACATCTAATTTACTACTGAAACAGGTAGCGTGAGAATTTGATTCAATCGAGCACACGTATAACGTCACACTCCTAAGATGAAATAACTATTGATTTCAAAGGAATTATGTTTGTTCAGGTTTGTTCTTTATATATTGTTGGTAAAAAACAAAAGGCAGACCTGCATAGCAAGCAAACTTGATTCCTTTCATTAAACTAAATTGATTCAGATCCAATAAATCTCAGGAATTTGAATATGTGAGCTTAGGAATGTGAAGTCAAACAAGTGTGTTTTCTCAAACTCTCACTCTGCCTTTTCTGGTAGTACTAAACAAGAACTGTTACTATTAGACATCTTGTAAAATTAGCATAAAAGACTGTATTCAACACTATATTACACAATCAGTTCCTTTCTGCAAAAGTCCTTCATCAACACAAGTTTATCAGGAAAACTGCTAGAAATGGCTTTAGAGTTACTGTAGGTTTATGATAGTAATTTCAAAATTGCTTTAATTTCATTGTGAAATGTAAAAAGTAGTAATATATGAAGAATACTTAGATTTTGGAACTATGCAGAAGTCGATTTAGGAAAGAAACATTTTGTGTTCTAGATGAAGCTACAGTATTTACAATGTTTTTTCTACAAATATAATTATCTCTCTAAATATTGTGTTTATCCTTGTCCTTCATAAAACAATTAGGAGTATAACAACATATCTCTATAAGGATGTGTGCATTTGAACTGAAATCAAATATTCCAAAATAAAAGAATAATCATTTGGCTTCATTTCTCTGTTACTGGAAGTATTCTTTGAGTTATTTTGTTAAACTCCAAATTATATCAATGAGTGGATTCATTTTTGCTTGAAAATTAATGACAGTATCCTTGTTTTCTAATGTTTCATTTTAAGAAAGATGGTTGTTTTGCATTTTTCATTTTAAATCTTTCTTCTTTCTCCAGTTCATGCCTAAAGTCCTCGAATGTTAATGCATCAGCATCAGTTCCTGTTTTGCTTTTTCTTTCTAAGTACAGCCCCAAGGTTTCTCTGTGCTTTAGAGATATGCTTCTGTTCCAGTATGGTTCTTCAACCCCTAAAGCTTCTCGTATTTTCTTTGTAATTATCTGAAAAAGAAAATCTATCTCAGTATGGTACATGTATATGTTTTGGTCTGTCTCCCATTTTTTGCAAAAATGCCTTGTGAGAAATGGATAGCACAATTCATCACAAAATGAAGTAATACATTAAGCGTTGCTCATATGTAACTGGCAAAGATTCAAACAAATTCCATCAGGAAAACTTACTTTTATATCTTCAAAGTCTGTTATTCCTAGATTTGGCATTGCTGATGCATCTATGTTAATAAGGCGTCTTCCATTCACCAAGTTGTCTGCAAAGGGTCCCTACATTGCGACAGGTTTAATTTATTAGTAACAATAACTAGCTAAATTTTGAAATATAGGTTTTGTTCTTGACCCATGTAAAGGCATGGTAAGAACACATACATGTACATCTTCAACCATCTCCTGTCAAGTTGTTTTGAATGATGGTACAATAATCTAATCTTATCCATGACTGAAGTACCCTATAAAATAAAATCCTCTGTTTACAGGGTAATAATAATCAGAAGACCACATGGAAAAAAAATCCAGGGCCTTGTGTCTGCATTTCCACAAAAGCATGTTCACTGGACACATGTAAAAGTACATTGGACAGCAACCAAAATCTAGTTTGCTCTGATCAACGATTTTCACATTGTTTTAAACAGCTAGCTTATGATTTTTCTCTAACTACTGATAGGTGTTAAACAAAGGAAATTGAAATAAGTTTGTGTTTAAAAGAAACATCGAAAATATCAGTAAAGTTCGACCATGGTGTACAACAAACACATATGCAGTTATAAAGTCAAAACACATATTGAGTCTACTACTGTGTGAAATAAAGTTGAAATGACCTCTGGTTAAAATGAAGTCATTTGAAGTACGACTTTTATTGATACGGATATAAACAAATCACCATGAATTGATAAACTATTGTCCTTCAACAAATGTACCATACCCGATACTGCGGGAATCCAAGATAATCAATCCAATCAGCTACATCCTCTACACTCCAAGTCAAGCAGGACGGCGTACCGTCACGTTCAAAAGCCGGTTCGTAGCCATGTAAATCGAACTTTGTTGGAGTCTTTCGAGAACTTCGAATCAATCCTGTGTCCGCCATTATTTGTTACCGTGACAACGACGACTACCGTGGTACTTTGCGGCTCTGCGTGGATATTTAAATTCACGCGCGCTACTGGTGGGACACGAGGCGAGATGTGAAATATAGAGCAAAGGAACAAATACATAGAAAAAGCAAGAATTCATAAATTTCGTGCAACACGAAGCAAAAGAATGTAAATTTTTTTCATTCAGTAAAACTTTTTATTCACTTTCCCAGTGACTCATTTGCAAAACATCCCCTACTACATATTTACGTTTTTTGATTACATTATTATAATTGCCATACATCGTTGACCATATTATTGACTACAATACATTAAATGGTGTTATATTATGATTATAGATTATGATTATGATTATAGAGTTATGATTAATATTTTTCACTGACCAAGAAAATGACTTACGCTTGTACTAGTTCTATGTTATGAAATCTAAATTACAAACCACTAGCCTTATTAACTTGCACAGTCAAAGGAAAACAACTATCGAAAGAATTACATAAAGCCGAATTAATCTTGATATACTGTAAGTGGCTTATAGTCTTGCTTTACAGCATCTGACAACAGTTTTGCATACATATCCAATCTTGCCGTCATCTGGAAATGAACAGTACACATTATGTGAAAAATCAGTCTAGTTCTCTGAATAAATACTTTATAGAGTCAAATATTTAGTGATGGTCAGGTGGTGGGTAAGGAAGATTGGGGAAGGGTAGGTTTCTTGCATCTCAAACAAGGATCGCAAGCCTTGGACATACACACACAGAAAATAAATGATACATCAAATATAGAGAGACTACTTCTGATATTTCCTGACAGTTTAAAATTCAAATCTTTACATCAACTTACAGGGAATCCCCATTTGTCTTTTATCTGCCGACAAAGGTTGAGGTCAACTTCAGTTACCAACAAACCATCCTGTGTTCTTGACAATCCCTGAAATACATGGAAATTATTAATATTATGGAAATCTGAGTTATTACGAGGATAAATACAGAAATAAAGAGAAACAAAGAAAAACGTGAAAATGAAAAGGAAGATAATTGCAAATGTATATAAAACAGCATCATATTAAACATTATTTGTCTATTTTTTTCCAAAAATCTGTGCTGTGGTTAGATTAGTGTGGATTACTCCTATACTCACAGGTGTGCGGCTACCATTAGGAGCAGCAACATATGAAGAACCTATTTGAAAAACAAAAACAAAATATTATGAATTATGTGAATTATTACAAGTCAAAATCGAGTCATCCAGCTTTGCCCATCCTTTTCTGTTTTTTTTTTGTTAAAATTTCACGAATGTCGAAATGCTAAATAAATAACTTACCATAGAATTCCCCAAAATCTTTATGTGCTGATCATAAAATGGAAGAAAATTAATTATAGGTATATGATCAACAGCTAACTATCAAACTAAATGCATGATAAATACCTGGTTTACCATCTCCTGATGTAAACTCATTTTCAAAAGTTTCCTAAAATAATAATAATCAATCAATGAATATGATATGTATAGTTAGGATGGGTATATGATTAAATACTTACAGTTCCAACCCTGTTGATGGCTACAGTATAATACGAGTTGGCTATTGCTGCATTGCGTGCTTCAATAGGCCACATTGGTTCACTGTAAAACAAATTGTAACAATATGTAACCATCTATATCTGTAAAACAAATTGTAACAATATGTAACCATCTATATCTGTAAAACAAATTGTAACAATATGTAACCATCTATATCTGTAAAACAAATTGTAACAATATGTAACCATCTATATCTGTAACATTAAAGTGCAAAATTTTTGTTGATATTTTTGTTCTTATGATTCCATACAGTGAAATGCTCATCAATCAACAAGTAGTATTTTGTACCTCAGTGCCCCAACTGTAGCAGATGGATTAAACACTATCTCAGCTCCATTGATTCCAAACATCAACCAGTTTAACGGGTGATGTCGAGAATAACAAATACTAACACCAATTCGACCTTAAAAACAAACATAAATCAAAATTGCATTCTGCTCTTTGGCAGGTGAGACACTCAGTATCTTGTCTTCTTGTACAAGGACATAAAAAATACAAGATCACAAAAAGCAACAAAAAACCCCTGTCTACCTAATTTGAGTATCATAAGCTAACAGGCTGCAAAGCCGCTCTAGGAGCCTTGAGGGCAACAACTTACAAGATGACTAGCTATGGATTAGCTTTGTAAAATAAGAATAAGAATTGAATGAATTTTGCACTTTCGTCTCTGATTTCTTACCAAATTGTGTCTGGAAGACTTGGTGACCCAAATTCCCCTCCATGTAGTATGTTGACTTTAGAAAGAGAATGTTTAATTATAAATTGGAGCAGTTTTTTTGACGAGATAATTTGTAATGACTATTTTTAGGTATTAAACTATATCATAATATTTCATCAATAATAAGTAAAATAAACAAAATGACAAAAATACAAGCTAAAACAGAAATTAATAGTGCATTACCTCATTAAAATCCCCAACCCTGGGGATGTGGTTCTTCCTGGATTTTCCAAGAATGTCACCAGTGTTTGATATCACAACTAAGAAAATAAAACAGTACTTTCAACTGATGATAATTCATCATTGATGCTTTATTTGTACATTATAGCATAGGAATAGGATCAATCACTTTTTTCCCTACAATTTTTCTAACATTGCTTTTTGAGAGTAAACAAAACAAAAAACAAACAGCACATAAAAACATTACCTGCAGTGTTCCATATAGTATCCTGGTGATCATGATCTCTTTCTAAGATCGAATTAATTATCACCATATTGTACTGTTTAGCAAGCTAAATTTACAAGAATATACACAAGATTACTGTGTAATTAATAGTATTGAAACATATACAGCCTTTTGCAAAAATTATGAGAATTGTCTAAATATCTAAATATCATAATATCCATATCCATATATTGTCCGGAACACGCGGGTTTGCTAGAATAATTCATTGTTGACATCGAGAAAATGTTCAGAACTACGGATAAGTCTGTCGCCAAAAAAAACTAAACTACAAAGACAAGGGACTAAGGGCATCGCGCGGGATTACCCATCATGCACTCGATATTATGATATTTAGATATTTCGACAATTCTCATAATTTTTGCAAAAGGCTGTATATTCAATAATATATAAATTGTGATAAATTGTTGCGAATTATCATAAATCTGGAGTACGTCCATCACAGCCAGGTCTTACTATCAATGGTTGAATGTGTCACTTAGGAATAGGAAATCATAGAAATATTTACCACTTGGCAAAACTTCACAGTTGGTCCATCCTTTGCAGACTCTGCAAACTCAGTCCATGGTTGTTTTTCCCGAGTGCAAAATGCAAATGGCATGTCTAAAATAACAGAACTTTAACATGAACTTCAATATGCATTTCTGATTGAGAGATATAGCATTCTGAAAACATAAATCCCAACTTCCCTTCATGATATATCATATCTCAGCCTATACTTACGCCAGCATTCCTGAAAGCAGATTACATTGACACCACACAATGCGGCAGCACTAACAATGTCCTTGATCCTAGCATGCAGTGCATCTCTCTAGAGAAATTGAATAAAATCAGATTCACTGACAGGAGTGATAAAAAAGATAAAGTTTTGCTTGAGAATGAATAAATGTCATGTCATCATAAAAGTCATATGCTCTACCTGTTTTGCAATAGGTTGATTAGTTGGTAATACGATTTTGTTTTGGACAGCACCAATACGGACATTTCTTGGAGCACGAAGTTGTTCTTCGCTGGCTGTAATTTTGTAACCAGCAAGCTCAAATCCATTATTTGCAGCAATCTTTATAGCTTCCTCTGGCAGCTCAAGCTTACTGATAAATAAGTAGCAACATTAAAGGGACACTGTCAATGGATGACATGCGCAGTAACAGTCTCACCTCTAACGGACTTTGAAAGTATTACCTTCGAGGTAAATCATTTTATGGTGCTTTTGACACACTTTGGAATATTCTAGATCTGTTTACGTTTACAAGCTGATTTATGTCGCGCCAACTTGGAGTCATAAACTTGAAAACACTAGCCGAATGTTTTCAAGTTTACTCACGCATGCGTGTCATTGACAGTATCCCTTTAAATTAAGTTGGTTTGATGTGGGATTACGTCAATCGAAACTGTACACTCAAAATTAGAGCAAAATTTATATGAATGCATCACCACCAAATCAGCACCTCAATACTCTGTCTGCAGTGCACAGTCATATCAAAACAGCTCTATATATAAGTAGTTGGATTATAAGGGTATTATGTTGTGATAGTTCTTTGGAACATGCTCATTATTTTCATAAAAATAACATTTCTGAAGAGGCAGTCTCTATGAGCTGATAATACCCCTTGATGGTGAGCACTACTGGAGAAGGGTTTGTCGTACGACTTCCATATATGGTTGTGCATGTACGGCACTGATGTGCACATAGAAGGCGCTTATGTGCACATAGAAGGCGCTGATGTCCCAAWTACGTGGAGAAGAACTTAGAAAATTTCAAAGACCTAAACTTAAACTGAAAAGAAATTTTTGAAGAACGAGTACTAAGATTCGAACCAGCGCTATGTATTGCCTAACCCGATATTATCCCTAAACCTAACCATTAAGCCACGAGACCAATTCGCTTGAGTGAACCTGAATTTTTGTGATATTTATGCAACGGCATGCATGAATAACCACGSATATGTACATAAGATTGAATATATAATTAATGAACCATCTATAGGGACATGAGAGCCTTCTATAGGTACATTAGAGCCATCCATATGGACATCCATATATGGAAGTCGTACGACAACCTCTACTCCACTACTGGCTGACTTTCCACCAATGAGAGCAGAGGAAAATTGCTGCTGAATAATAATCAACTACGGTATATCTGGACACTTTTTGTTGACAAAGGAATTACACAGGCGACATGAAGTGGAGCTGATAGTGATAACAGAAGCACAGACTACGTAATTCAAAAGAAACAAAAGATCAAAACAATAGAGCAGAAGCTGAGCAATACACCAAAATACAAAGAAACCTAACCGTAATACAATAGATTGTGGTGTACACAGAAATTACCCCCCCCCCCCCTGTAGCCAGCAGTATGCATGTTTGCAAAGAGTTTCAGACAACCAGACCTATAATGATCATTTTTCCTCATTAATCCTTAGAAATGAAGATTTCAATGTGTTTTTGCAGGGGTGAGTGGAATTTGTCGACAAATAATTTTATATGTGACTTATCAAAGACTTTATCCAGGACAATTCAAACTAGGAAACTGGTCTTGAGATTTTAGAGAATCGATTTCCAGGAATACAAATTGGTACATCTTGCACATTCGCTTCAGTGAGTCCTGTGCACGGGAGCCTTCGATTCATGATTGCACGTGCATGCAATGGTCTGTAATGCGAAACAAATCCAGCGCATACGCAGTTATTTTACCTTGCTGGACTTCCATACAATATCCTTTTTACTTCCTTCAATTCTTCGGGTGGAATGTGTTTATCAAAACACTTCTCTAAACTTTCAAATCCCTCCGCCATCTTGGTGTGAAAGGAAAGAGTGGTACCTAGTCCACTAACTGTTATGTGGGGGTACTGGAAAGTAGAAATTTTACAGCTTAGTTTTTAGAGAGAAAACTTGTATAGATTCGGATATTTTGACTATTTTAGTTTAGATTTACTTATATTTTATCTTTAAAACGCAATTAATTGATCCAACATCTGAACATTGTAGTCGATAACGTTTTATCTATTAACTATTCTTTAACCCATCCCTCCCTAATCTTAAATTGTTGATCACCTGATATATCAACTATTTTGTTTCTTGTTTGTGAAGCTGGTCACCTTTTCAGCGGAGAGGCGTGCATTTTGAGTTTCAAGATGGGCTATTTGCTCCAATCTCTTATTTACAGTAGTTTCTATTTATTTAGCCATTTCGCAATATAAAATCTTCAAATAATCCAGGCGCTTGTGACGTGGCGCGGGAATTGCAAAATTCCAAAAATCAGTGAAGCGTTGCTATATCACCTGAGTTGGCAGACGATCCTACAAAATGTCCGCAGATTTCTTCTAAAATCCTTTCTTTTATCGCTGAAATCGTTGTAGATTATCTGATACAGCTTCAAGCATATTATCATGGCTTCTGTAAGAAATGAGACGACTGAAGTGATGTGGAAACCCAAAAATACAGAGACTTCAAACATGGACCATTTTCGCAGAATGGTCAACCGAAATTATGGCTTGAATCTTGGTGAGTTTGAGAAAGCAAATGTGGGGATTCTTTGATCTTTGAATTTCTCTGTTTATGTCATAGTTTCCTACATATTGTATATACTTATTTTAAAAGAGTTTTTTGAAGCGTGAAAACTGCACTGGTTGTCGATTTTCGTGGGTGATGCAAGATGTAAGAAATTTGCAATTTTAAACAAGCTCAAATAGAATGGAAATAATTGAAATCCTAAAAAAAATAAATTAATGTAATACATCTCAATTTTTTATTTCTTTAAAAATTGTATTTTTTTATACTTCATTGGTAAAATAAGATTTGGCAACTATTTCTCAATTTGGCATATGTTTTGAAATGGTAAACAGACCATGTCACACCCTCGACACACCTCCAGTGTTGTCATTACTTGCCAAGGTAACCGGTCAAATATCGTTAAAATATTCCCTTAATTACCCATTATATCTTGCAAATGATTTCTATTCCTTCTTAAAATCAGCTTCAAATGAATATTTTTTATTCCATAAGCTTTTTTTTATTTTATATTATTATATTTTTCAATCTTCTATCTGTACCCAATAAACATAAAGTGCATAATTTGTTTACTGGACAATCCAAGCTGAATATTGATCAGAAAAAAATCTAATAAAGTGATTTTGTTTACATTTTACGGCAGAACACTATCATGATCTGTGGAAGTGGAGTGTGGAACAGTACTCAAGGTTTTGGGAAAGTTTTTGGCTATTTTCCAACGTCATTCACTCACAGCCATATAAAGAGGTAAATAACACAGACAAATATGCAATCATACTATGGTCTAAAAAAGCTAAATGTACAGAACATTTTAATGATATTATTTTCAGTAGAGAATCTGGTTACTCCATCAAGTTGGATCAGGATTTTATTTCATAATTTCATTTTTTTTCTGGTAGGTTGTTGATACAAGCAAAAGAATTGATGAAATACCTGAATGGTTTCCTGGTGCCAGGTTAAATTATGCAGAAAACTTATTGCGTTATGAGGGCAACAAAGTTGCTCTATATACAGCAGGTATATATCATTGGTATTACAATCTAGTTGTTATGTTCAACAATATCTTAAGTTAGCTGATAATTCTGACTTTTTTGATGAAACTCATGATGACAGGTGAAGGCCAAAACTTGAAGTCCATCACATTTTCTGAGTTGAAACAAAATGTAGCCACTCTTGCTTCTGCCTTAAGAAACCTGGGTATCAAGAAAGGTGACCGGGTTGTAGGTGAGATAGACCTTCCCATATTTAATAGGCCCTTTGAAGCTGGGGGTCACGTGACTAAACCTACCTTAAATCAATCAGCAATGACAAAATGATGTTCAGAATGGAAAGAGGCGATCAAAATAAGTAAGAAGACATAGTTTCAAGTCTCAACACTAAATATTCCAAAATTGATAGCAAATATAAAGTCAATTTTTTCTAAAGAAACATATGCAAAAACAGAATATGTTTCTTTAGAAAAATCAATATTTTACATAATTTGCTGTCATTTTTGTAGTATTTAGAGTTGAGACTTTTTCCCATTTTACAAACATGTTCTTTCCATTCATGAACATCATTTTTGATAGCTGATTGATTTAAGGTAGGTGTGGTCATGTGACCCCCAGCTGCAAAGGGCCTATTCATTTATCACAAGCTGAAATGTGTGCCACCCTGGGGGGGGGGGGGGGACAGTATATCCCTACCCTTACCACTCTAGGGTATGGCAATTGGCTGAGTTTCTTCATTCCCAAATGTCTCATGTTACTATGCTTCACTCCTGTGGAGACTATAACTGAACAACAGATATAGAAATGGACAACTGGAGGCCCAACTAGAGTTTTTGTGGTACTGTACCATAAGGGTATTTATAAGGCGGTGTTTATAAGATCAACAACAATACTACGACAACTTGATGCTAGTATTATTTAAAGCAAAAAATAAAATCAAGAAGGCCAACCAAAATGACAGGTTATAGATTGTTCCTTTTTAGGGTTGAAATTTCATTTAATGCTTGAATGATTTTCATGATTCACCTTCCAATAAAATTATAGTTGAACAAGTCTGTAATTTGTGTACCATTTTTGTTATTGTCTTTGTAAGGTTATATTCCTAACTGTGCTTTGGCTATTGAGGCAATGCTAGCTACTACCAGTATTGGTGCTATATGGAGCTCAACATCACCAGACTTTGGTGTCACTGTAAGTATCTATATGACAATGATTTAAAAATGGAGTACTCCAACATTCTTCAGATTTAAAACACTCAATTTGGCCTTGCTATATTAGCAAAAGAATTCAAGCATTTTGGTGATTATATTACTAGGGAGTGTTGGATAGATTTACACAAATCAAGCCAAAGATAATATTTTCAGTCAATGCTGTGCGATATAACAACAAGATTCATAATCACTTGGAAAAGTTGCATAAAGTTGTTGAAGGTAATATTTTCAAACAATTACCTGGAAAGGTTGTAAATTGTTGTATTGTGTTTCTATCCCTTGATATTTTTTATACACTGTAATTATTTTCCATGTTAGGTCTTCCTCAATTAGAAAAAGTAGTTGTTTTTCCATTTGTTGGATCTGAAAATGAAGTGGAAATATCACACATTCCTAACAGGTATTGTTTTATTCAAGTTTGAATAATGCTTACAGTTGTTATAAGATGAATCAACCAGACTAAACATAGGGTCATACATTTATTTTGTTGCTATGTTAATGCTATGGAATATTCAATTGGAATATCAAAATTTCCAAAATTCTTCAAGCTTACATTACAATGACACAAATTCTGTATGTTTACAAAAAGACCTGAAAATTAAAACTGGAGAAAAGTAGTGCTAGCATTGACTATCAAAAATATGCTGATTGGTTGTGATGTCCTGTTGTAGCATATTTTACAGCTGCAGAACTTTTCCATCCCATTATTATACAGCACGACATACAAAGATAGATATAAATATTCTGCCTCAAGATCACTATACATTTTACGAATTGGTTATTCATTGCATAATGTATTCCATCTATTTTTTTAGCATTATGCTATCAGAGTTTGTTAAGTTTGCTGATGAGTCTCCTCAGCTGGAGTTTGAACAAGTCCCATTCAACCATCCACTTTTCATCATGTATTCGTCTGGTACAACAGGAGCACCCAAGTGTATAGTGCACTCAGTAGGGGTAAGGTCATAACGATAACTGTTTATATTAGGTGAAGATTAGCAGGCAAACTAGTTTATTCACATGTTATTGCTTGTTTTTATCCAATATATTAGCCATTATTTGACACTTCATATCATTCCGTTAGAATTCAATCATAATTCATCAAACTCCTAAATATTACTTTGGAGGTCACTGAAGTGTTTTATTTGAATAACCAAAACATACTGCCATCACAACTCCATTTTTAAAACTTTTTGTCTACATTTCCTTGTGCATAGGCTGTCTAAGGCTCTATTTGCAGCAAAAAGCAAAAATACACAGCTATACATATACAACTACTATATTTTAAGACACTTGCGTGAATTCAACCTGATAAATGATTTTTTTTTACTTTTTTCTTTGAATGGTAGACAGTAAATGCATGTGCAAAAGAAATTTTAACAAAAAGTTTAAGAAATGGATGTGTGATCTCAGGCATCATGTTCTTGCTGTCCAGAAATCACTGAAAAAACACATCACGGTGACAGACGTACTATTAACATTGTATAATATATCTTCAGGGAACGCTGATCCAACATTTGAAAGAACATGTCCTTCATGGAAATATGACAAAGGATGATATCATCTGTTACTATACAACAGTATGTACATTTAAAATTCCTATTTACTATCCAGATTCAGGCTCTGTCTGAGTTTATTTCAAAACCAATTAAATAATAGATATTTATAGGTTTAAACAACAACGCCCATTAAAGCGTTAAGTAATTCAAAATAAATCAAAATCAATTTTAATTCAGCTATAAAATAAAAGATGCACATATGGTTAAAAGATGCTTAAATATATTACTGTAGACTGGTTGGATGATGTGGAATTGGTTAGTGTCATCAATTGCTACTGGTGCATCTGTAGTTTTATATGATGGATCTCCATTCATCCCTAATGGTAATGTACTCTGGGATCTTGTGGATCAGTTAGGGTAAGCTCATCATCATAATAAGTAGGCTAGTTTCATGGTTGTAATGTACTATTTTTGTACTTAATAATATAATGTATGTCCAAAGCATCAATTATAGTCTGAAATAACATGAACCATGTGACAACACAGCATTTTTTTCTTTCAGAATAACAATTCTTGGAACTGGAGCCAAGTGGATACAGGCTATTGAAGCCAAGAAGATTCAACCAAGTATGATTATCGCACTTTCTGAGTATTTTTATTCTAAGTTGCATTATGTACGCATTAATAAATGTCTTCAATGTTCTTAACAGAGGATACACACAAGTTATCAAGCCTCCATACAATACTATCAACTGGCTCACCTCTGAAACCTTCCAGCTATGACTATGTGTATCACTGTATCAAAGATGATGTTCTCCTAGGATCAATAACAGGTGAACTCATAAACTGTTTATCTTTACCATAATCACCTTGTGTATCCAATAATACCAACTTTATATATGATGCATAAATGATATGTAATTTACAGAGCTAGGTTGAGCGGTATGAGGAAAGTTCTTGCTCAAATTTATGAAGTGATTAAAGTGTAGCTAGCTTTTCCCAAAGGTTTTTTAATAGTGCACATGCAAGGAAATTGTTATCTGAGGTCATTGTGCTTTTCTCACCAATTCAATGATTCATTTCCACAGGAGGAACAGATATTATTTCATGCTTTGCTGGCCAGAATTGTACAATTCCAGTTTACCGTGGAGAGATACAAGCTAGAAACCTTGGCATGGCAGTAGAAAGCTGGGATGACGAAGGTAGAGACTGTAAACACTGCTGTATTTTATACCACCATCATCATGATTAATCATCATTATCATCATAATCAATCATCATCATCAACCATGTTGAACAGTATCAATATCATCACACTCACTACACACTGTCAATCACAGCAATCACCATCATCAGCAGCACGACAAGTCATCACAACTATTTAACATTATAGTTGTTATTATTTCACATTTAAAACGTTTGCCTTCCCCTGTTAGGTAAGCCAGTATTAGATGTCAGCGGCGATCTGGTGTGTACCAAGCCTTTTCCATGCATGCCTACAAGCTTCTGGAATGACCCCAATGGACTGAAATATAAAAAAGCTTACTTCAGTAAGTTCACAGGTAGGTTTGAAGTCCATACTAGGAATTCATGGATATTTTGGAAATCATGTTGTCGGCACTCAGTAATCATCATATTTATCAAGATCAAGAATCTCTATGGGAAAACTATTTTTTGTTTAAAAAAGATAAAATTTAGGGTAAGTATTAGGTTAGTTTTGGTAACTTCATTCTTAATTGTGTCAAAGTGCAAACCTGGCAGGCAGAACATAAATTATTCTCCTGGATCTTGATTCTTTTCATGTCAACTTCTTTTCAAAGGGGACTACCTCCCCAACTTGAGTGGAGTTGTCTGGAGTTGTGCTGCCTGACCATTTCAGACAAGATCAAACCAAGCAATTGTACACAGATTTATGTTGAATATCAAAAACGGTTCATATTTCATTATGCGTAAACGACCAAAACCTCTCTCCAATCGAAATATGGGGCTTTTAACATTGCCCGAGGGTTAGAGGATCGTGGTGATATGATTACATTACTAACCCAAGGCTAGATTAACATTTATTGATTGGTTAACGGCTGAAGGTTAGATTAACCCTTTTGTTTTGGTACAGTTTTCCTATGACGTATAAATTGCCTCCTAATAAGGTCGTCTATGAAGCATCAAAATGCTAACCTTCATCAGCCGGAATTGAATTAGTATCAGAAACCCAACACCGAAACAGGACTAGTTTGTTTCTACGTAAAATTAGAAGTATAGTGTTGGCTAAAAAAGTCCGATTAAAACTAGGGCTTTTCCATAAAAAAAACACACGTAAAACGGAAGCACTTCGTTCAGTTTTTAGGATTTTCTGTTCCGTCAATCCCCCCGGGCGTGAATCTCAACGGCCAATCAAGGCGCAGATATAATTTTCATATGACGTATAAATTCCCAAGGCCATGTGATTGAGCGTTAACGCAGTTTCCATAGCTTTTCTCTATGGAACTTCGTAGCTTTGTATCTGATTAGATAAAGTAAGCGCTCCTTTATTTATTGCAGGGGTTTGGTCTCACGGTGACTTTTGCTCCATAAATTCAACAACAGGTGGAATACTTATGCTTGGAAGAAGGTACACAGGCATCCTAGCCAATTTCCTTATTTGAAATTATAACTCCATTTGGTATTTTGTTTTTATTTCATGGGTTAATGGGTTGACCACTCTGAACCGTGAAACAAAATATAAATAAAGAGTAAGAAAGTGTAGAAAACCACTCAACACGGTTGCCCTAGACAGTTTCAAAAAAGGTTAAAAATGGTTAGATGAAGGAAAAGACATTTCTAGTCATTGTACTCATATATGCAGAGAATAAATAGATGGAATGACATTTATTCATGCATCCTGAATCAGAGTACGTTAAAAACGCAAACTTACGGCATGCTAGTCGTTCCTATGAATTGAAAAACCACTGTATATTGGATATGTTTTTGACAGCGATGGTACTCTCAATCCCAATGGGGTTCGCTTTGGTAGCGCTGAAATCTATAACATCGGTAAGACATTTTTACTTTTCTGTTGTTGTTTTTGTCGAGCAAGGTTTCAAACCTTTGGATAGCCGGCTTTCGGAAAGAGAGCTTTTCCTATCGTAGACAGCGTTCAACTGTTTTAAGGTCGGCTATTCAATATTGTACTAACAGCCCTCAGGGCTCTTTCCCACTCTCCGTATTTTCAAGGCCTTCATGACGTAATTGTCAATATATGCCATGTAAGTAACCATAATTTTATTCATATTTCCAAACAGTTGAACAATTTGACGAAGTGGAAGATAGTTTATGTGTAGGACAGCAAACGAAAGATGGTGAAAGAGTTGTTCTTTTCCTAAAACTCGTCACCAACAAGAGGTAATAGCATTTCTTTCGTAAAGTATTCAATGGCCTGGTACATTGAGGTAGAAAGAAGTCTTAGTCTGACACTCCTTAGTCTTGTAGAAATTGAATACTATGAAATATAAATTGATACTTACTCACCTTTTTCCAGGCTCGATGATGATCTTCTTTCGCGAATTCGCGTTTCTATACGAAACCAACTGTCAGCTCGTCATGTACCCGCTATCATTCTAGAAACCAAAGAAATCCCTTACACGACCAGTGGGAAAAAGATCGAGGTAGCTGTCAAGAAGATTATATCCGGTCAGCAAGTTACAAACAGAGGAGCATTAGCAAATCCCAATTCACTAGATCTTTACAATAACATCCCTGAATTACAAACAACGTAAATATGTGAGTTTACAGCTTTTGAACACGGAATGTACAGGTTGAATAGTCCTTTACCTTTTGGCGTCTTTTTACAAATACCATGATGCACTGCGCCGAAAGAAACATGACGTCATAAGGAGAGAGGACCGTTTAAAAAAATAAAATGCTTACTGCTCATTTTGTGGTTCTTTTTTTGCAAGTGAACTAGCGTGTGCGTATATTTTTCGTTCATTATTTATTTATTTTTGTTTGTTTGTTTCTGATTTATCGGTCAAATAACTCCTTTTCCTTTTAACATGCTGTTTAGAAGCTGTAAAATCATTTAAAATTGACGTATTAATTTATTTAAGTAACTGAGGAACTTTAGGGTCTACAACACAGGGCTGGCAACCGCGCCATTTTGGTAACAAATACACACCATACGGTCATTAATTTATAATATTATTCAACATTTATGGAAAGTCCTTTCGTATTCTTACTGTAAATTACTGTGATTATCATGAAAATATCTAATGGAAAGTTTCTGAGAAACTGGATATCGTACGATGTATTCGTGATTAACCATGCACAAAAAAGGGTCAACTGATGTATGTAACCTGGCCTGGGACGAAAGAAAATATCTGTTCACGCACATAGTGTTGATTAAAGTTTTACAAATAATCAGTTTGATATTTATTAATAAGCGGTGATGATACCGCTTTGCTTCACGGAATAAAAGGTTAAAATCTCGTAATCGCGTTAGAAAGCCAATACCATATTCTCCGTGGAGGTAGTTTTACAAAGGAAACGATTAACAGTAACTGTTCTTAATTCCCACGCTCTAGTGTCAAATGCTGATAACTTTCTGTTATCTTATTCCAAAAGGAGAGTTTTTATGTATCAGTTTTTATCGTTGATTAATGTGTTTAAAAATACCATAGAATCGATGTAGGTGGTTTATGGATAAGGGTGGTGTCTTTAATTTTTTTTCTTTTGTTCTTAAGAAAACTTTTTCATATTTTTCATATACTTGAGTGCTGTTTGTTCTGGGATAAGCTGAAGTGTAATAAAATCAGGATCATATCAACGGCAATCAATCGGTCAGCCATGTTGGCTTTAGGAGTGTTTTTTATGCCCTGGGCCTTGTATCCCATAAACACCCGATACTCCCAAAACCTGTTTTTTGCAATTCCCTTTAGGAAACTACTACCATTGCAGAACGCGTCTTTGGGCGACTGGGACAATTGTATTGACACTGGACTTTGGCAGTACGATTGTTGACTATTGTCTTCTTTTGTTCTTCAAACAAGTGCTAAATGTAGCTTTCCCTTCATGGAGAAACGAAAATAGCATGTCAGTGACAACACCGGACACACCCTGAATCGATGCGCAACAACCTTGTTTCCTTTGCAACAAACCTGTGATTAAATCTGTCCCAGTGTTACTATATAGCCTTCCATGCCAACTCTCCCTTCAGCTACTGTCGGTAGGAAACTTGGTCGTTATCTTATCTTTTCTGGAATCGATCTTCGTTAACAATAGAACAATCTTATCAAGGGCAGTCATGTTGAGTTTTTCTTTATTATGTGATTGAGACAAAACAGTCATGAAAAGACATGAAAAGGCTCAAACATTTTAGGCTATGATAAATGATACTCGAAAAATGGGTTCATTTAAAGGAAGAAAGCCCCAAGAAAAGTGGAAAATCTGGGAGAATCAAATCCCGAACACTTAAGGGGCTTGACTGAGTAGAACCCAATAATAGTGTCACATGCGAAATCAACTGGTTGAAATATGACTCTAGTCACATTGGAGTTCGTCCAACTTAAGGTATCATGTTTCATACCACCGTAAGAACAAGATTGACTCGTGGTCTTAACATATTGGAATAACCCTTTAAAAAATAGAGCTGACTTCTACTGAGGTAAGTCGTTAAGGAAAGCAGAAGTTTTAGTTTTGTTACGTTTTATAGTGCCGCCGGGATATGCTAAAAATTTAACGTTTTTAAACTAGGGAACGACTGTATCATCGTCATAGTTTTAGGTTCGTTAACAATCAACTGACATCTTTATGTGTTTGCTGCAATGTTATTATCTGACTATCCGGCCTTTAATAGAGTTAGCTGGAGTTAGTTGTATTTCCTCTGGCCAATGGTTTAAGTCCAAGTATTCCTAATGATTCTATTGCGCGCTCTTAATACACTGTAGTTCTCTGCATGAAGCAACTGCATGGAAAAGTTAGCAAAATTGGCGAGCATCTTGAATGCTTGAGCTGCTGTCTTTCAAATTTTGTTTCACATTATTTCCTAAGAGACTTTTCAGAACTTTTATTCAATTACAATTAAAATGATGTGCTTTTTCTGCCGTTTACGCCAATTAGGTAATTTTCAGCGAGCGTTGGTATAAAAGGCCACCCAACGAAACTGTTTTACATCCGAATTCTGTCGGCGTAAATTAGGATTGATTACTTTGCTAATAAAAGGACACTCAACTGAGATTTAAGGTTTTACTTGAATATAATAAAAAAACATTGCAAACTATAATGTATGTTTCTTTGCATGTTTTGAGTCTTACGGTGTTTCTGTGATGTCGTTACATGTGAAAGTCGACGTAAGACTTAAAGAATGTTTCTGAAAATCAATTCCTTAGAATTAATTTTATGACGGAAGTCATTTTGTCGATGTTTACGTGACATATTTCACAACATGTATCAAGTAACAGGAAAATTATCTTTGTTTCATTCGCCCAAAACTATTCATGATTCGAGCGATATTTCCTTGTGGTGAGCGCTTGCCTCAAAACTCTTGAACGCCAGAATCCTACCCTATCATCCATGGCCGGGGCTGGCTTGTGGTGGACAAAGGCTTCTCGATTTGACATTTTTTCACGATCAAAGCTGTCAAAGCTGCTGATTGTGGAATATCGCCAATAACTGATTTCAAGCTTTTCATCGATTGATTACTACACAGGAAGCATTTTCACGGCCTATTTGTGGGCCTAAGGGCATCACTCCTATTTTTACTACCAACAGTGACGACAAACCAAAACTTTCAGCTGGACGTAACTGTAAATTTAACCAATTATAAATGTTTTTTTCTTTTTGGAGGGGGAGGGGGGTGCCATTTTTCTCTTTTTTTTGTTTGTTTGTTTTGTTTTGTTTTATTTTGTTTTGCTAGCACTGCCTTTTTTTTAAATTATCCATTAAAATGGCTGTCTGATAACACTTTCTCTGACCCTCGTTTACAACGTCTTGTTATTCAGTGAGGCGTCCAGCAGTACATACTGGCTAGAACTGGTATTCAACTCACTCCTCAAACTATATGAAAATCTTACCATAAGAATTCTAAGCTAAATTTTGTGTTGCCCAAATGTGATGTTGCATTTAGATTGGAATCGATACGAGAAGCTCGAGCGTCTCGACAGGCAATGATCCTGCGCAAAGTGGTGTAGCAAAGACCTCACTGTACTAGCACGTGTGGTGAAAACCGCCGCGAATTATGCTAAAGTCTATACACTCAGCACAATCAAAGGATATTTTGTTATTTTTCCAGCAACTAAGCGGTTACACTATAACCTTTGTTTTGTAAAACTTGCATCAAAAACAAATTTCTGATTTCTTCTCGATTATCCACAATGCTTCTTTCTCGCCACTCTCAAAGTTCTAATTCCTGGCTGGCCTGGACCCTCATTTCACGACGCGGATACTGTAAACTAGCTGACTGGTATTAGTGGTTCTAATTAGGTTTTTGTGTCAGTACTCACTGGAAAAAGAATCGCGCACTTTAAAGTGACTATTCGACAAGGCTGTCCTCTTGTAACGATTTTTTTTAATTTTAGAATTTTATGAGTCGCAGCATATTTTCAATACACTGATTACTGCGTGAACCAAAGGCGACCCCTACGGCCATTCGAGTGTTTGATTCCTCTTGATTCTAAGGCTTTCTTTTCATTTCATTTTTAATAGAACCAGAAAAGCATGCAATGTGAAAATAACTCGAAAAAGCGTGACCACTTATAGGCCCCAGTCTACACGATGATGGAAATTTTTACATCCGCAAACCTTTTTGTTGCGGATAAGGAAATTTCACGTCCACACGTTCCCGTATTCAGAGCGTTTTGTAGGTATATCTCTAAAGAGCGTTTTCGAAAACCGTATACGGTCGGACACGTGTGGACGACGAAATCCACAAAAAAAATCGAAACAACAAATTTTTAATATGATAAAAAAAATTTGTATCGTGTCGACGAGGACCGAATTATTTCACGTTTTTTCATCGCTAATAACGTAAAGTTTGTGTTATTTGAAAGTAAAAGCGACCATCAATATTAGAGATACGGTAAAAGAAATGCGTTTGGTCGGTGACCTGATAGCGTGATAGGATATGATGCCAGATGGGGATAATGTTACAAGACAGCCCACAGGAATCATTTCTACTATATCCATAGAGTGACATGAACACTAACAACCATATTCCAACAAAGATTTCAATACTACTCGACTGTTTTCTCTTATAGATTCAACCACAATGTTTCTTGGAAGAAATCTGGCATTAAAGTTGATAATTCTGGGTACAGTGGTCAGTGTAAACAATGGTAAGCACGATTTGGGTTTGGTAATTATTGGTTTCTAGTCTTTACCAACACAACAGTATTTCTTTAGACTAATCTTGTGTCCACAAAGGGAGGGGATATCGCGGTGGTTTCACTTATTCTCGTAATTACAAGCTTTTAGTGACTTCTCTGTTTTAATTTACGGCAGACAAATGGATCAAAGATTCCCAAAGCGCGTTGTGCTTTTTGATTTTGCTGTTTCATCAGAACCGTTCTTTCCTCCCTTCTCCCCCACTGCTACAGTTGTCTTTAGCGTCATATTTTAGCAAAAACAAAGCCCTTAAACGTTTCTGTTCGGTATTATCGACCTACGGCGTTATGACGGAAGCGTTTTCAACGAATTTATGCCCGATTTGTCTTGGACGTACAAGATGTACGGTTTAGATAATTGCTTGCTTCGAGGCGTTATCTTGTACTGTTTACAAAGATGTTCGATATTATGTTGGCAAAATTTCAAAAGAATATTCTCGTTCTGTTGACATGAGGTGACCTGAAGATTCATCGTGTGTTATCGACCAATTAGAAATGGTAAAAGAAAGAACAGACAAGCAGTTATAATTTGTTTGCCATCGCTATACTGGGTTATTTGTTTTTATCAAGCCAAAAAATGACTCTAACTTTACATGCAATAGTATTCAGAGAACGCGGCTTAATTTTGGCCAGCAATCACATCGTGGTTTTATCACTACTCTTTAGCTGTTTCTTATCGATAAGAACAACGCTCGGCGGATGAACTCGTCATCCGTTTCAGAGACAGCCAACATTAATGCAATTACTTGTCACGCTACGCTTTGTATTTACGTAAAAAAATATATAGTAATTTTACAGGCCTTTTGTATGAGGACTTTAAATTAAACATGATCTAAAACAGCACAGCATTGGTGTGCTGTAAATAAAGAAGTGACCCTATATAATAGTATATGTTAATTAACGTTTCTGGAGATAAGAGGTCTGTACGCTGGCTGTTATCTCTCTTAGTCTTGACGGAATAAATGATCTCTGCCTTCAATCTAACCCTTGACGTTTATCCTCTCCATTAAGCTCAGCTGATTTGCTCGCTGATTTGTTGAATATATTTGACTAATATTTGATTATATTTATAATTTTACCAACACCCCAATCGTTATTATTATAGCTAGCGTCAAAAGTTGTTTGTCACCGAATATCAGACAAGCAAAGCTTTTTAGCTTTTTTTGATGAATTAATCGAGTACTTTACGTTTTGCATTTATAATTTATGTAAACCTGGACGCGACAAGCTGTTTATACTCAATGTAGCTGCACCATGTTTACCAAGTTTTAGCGTAAGGTCAGAGATCACACCGCGGTCTACAGACAACCGGAGATAAAACTTGATCCTAGGACAAGAGTGCAAGAAGCGGATGAAAGAGAAACGGAAGGGATAAAATAGTGGGAAATAAAAGAGAAATAGAACAGGGCATTACAGTGAGATTAAGCGTGGAGGGAAAAAGGGTATTAGGATGAGAGATGGAAGGAGACGACAGAGACTAGATTTATCGAGTATCATATCATATAACATGACGTCAAATGCTGAGAGACCTTGGGCGCTAGGCACACATAATGACATAACTCAATAGAGATAGCTTTCGAGTATATGATTGCCCAAGAAAAAAAGCACAAATAGTTAAGTCATAATAACGTATGTTTCAAAATCTTTCTTTTTTGCAGCGAAAACACCGAACACTTTCGAAGACTTTCCGGTGGACCCTGCGATTCATGGATTCCAGATTCTAAAACAGAAACTAATATCTCCAAAAACTTCACAAAGCCCTGTATCAGTGTTTCAAGGAATTCAAAGATTCATTGCCGAGAAATTTAAAAACGAAATTGTACGTCTATATACATTTCTACCGCACAAGTATCGCTGTAACATTCTAAAGAATTTGGTAAATATTACCACTTGTAATAGTACTTTTATAACTCATGTACTGCTTAAAAACAATATCATGCAAGAATCTAAAATGATAGGGTGTGTTTCGCACAGAACATTTCCCTGCAATGGGAAGAACATCACTCACAAGATTTTAAATGCATTTTGGAATCAAATGGCGAACTTATTCAGCGAACTTCCAGTGCCATTTCAGTGCACTATAGTCAACAAGATATCGTCATTTGCGCCATCGAAGAGACACAGACAAAAGCGTAGTTCCGTTCTCAATGAAGGTAAAACATCGCGAAAAAGTCTACAAATGGTTGAAAGACAGCTACAAGAAGTATACCCAAGTCTTAAGATAACTCAGAAGTGCTCAAAAGTGTGGAAACCACTGAGAAAGAAAGTCCCTCTTTCGAGTTTAGCGTCCTTGGTGAATATTACAGTAAAACTTGACAAAGGGACGCGTAGAAAAGCTTGGGTTAAACGTTTAAGAAAGAAAGCTTATCGAATATACAGGATATATAGAAGGTTTAATGGTAACGCATCGTCACAGATAGATATTCCTTTGCTTTCTTATCCATCAAAGCCGCCATTGTTGAAAAAGAAAGATGTGCGACTGAACATCATTCGCTTTACCAAAAAAAGTCGTTTGGTGGTTAATGTTGTATTCAGATTAGAAATAAAGGAGCCCGGAAAGTCAAACTATAGCAAAGTGAAATCAGCTGCGCAGATTATCAAGGCAATTAACTCCACTGGGCCTGGAACAATGGCACGTGTATTTAACGGTATTGTGTTGGCAATAACTGATGCAAAGAAGACCAAAGTGGAGACGAACTCGTTGTGGACCAGCAATGATACGGCAAAGGCACTCAAGCAGTTCCCTAGTCATCTCAGATCATATTTTCGTTTTGGCATGGAACGAATGGGAAGGTGTTTAGTAATGATATATATCTCTACAAACCTTCAAAAAGACCTTAGACCTGTTGAGATGTTTTACAATTCTCACAACTATTTACCGAAAAAGTATTTCTGTTTACATAAAAAAAGCATATCTGTCAACATGAGCATCCGATATATTGCAAATGAGACGTTTCCAAAATCAAAAGAAAACAAGGAACGCGGGAAAAACACGATAAAAAAGGAAAAAAATCTCCTCCTGGAAAAAATAAACGAACGGGATTCCAATATCACTTATGCATTTCCAGTAAGCGAGCAACCAGACGTCGACGAAAAAGATGGAAAAGAAGTTGAGGAGACGTCATCGAGAAGGAAAGTTACCGCTTTAGAAATAGGTTTATTTACTGTTCTTGCGTTTCTTTGTTTAGCCATTGCAGCATTTACCATCAACTGCATCATGTTTGCTTTCAAAAAGAGATCAGCACATGCTGCAGGTAAACCACCACCCAAATCTGCCTTCGCGCTGTTCAGTAAAGTGAACGAGACAAATCTAAAAGAGACGTCGGAGAATACTCCACGAATAAATCTAGCGTTGCCAAAAGCAGAAAATGCTAAAATCGACACGAAACTCGGTAGAACAACAAAGGACTCTCCTTCGAAACACAAATCATCAAATACGCCCCAACAAATCGACTCCGAGCAAAACGTCTACTCAATGGACCCTTTGAGGTCGATTGTTCCTGATTCTAGTGAACCTCTTAAGACTAAAGAGATAGCACAAAATATTCTCGAAAATGGCGAGTCAAATGACGATGTATTCTCTGAGCATTTGTCCTCTGGTGCAAGCATTGAAGTAAATAATGATATATCCACCGACCATAGAGGTAGCAAACAAAGAACACTGAAAGAGTCTTGTGGTGAAATGAGACTGTTATCTGAAAGTGATAATATGACATTGAGTAATAGGAGAGATGTAGATCCGTATATTAAGAACAATACAATACAAGTCGTTGTAGTGTTTTGACGACAAGGAGTAAACACGACGTAGCAACCACGTGACAGTCAAGACAATGACGTCCAAGATTATGACGCAATGTTTCTTTTTATAGCAACAGTGTAGCATGATAAATCTCAGCCAAAGCAATAATATGGGACAATGCCAAAACCATGAATTTAGTTTCATGCCAGTGCAAAAGAAGATGAATATATATTTTATATAAAAAAGACTATGTCGTAAATATGTACATAGAAAATTAGTTATCGTATTCAGTTCATGTTCTCATTTCATGTTGTAAACTTGATGCAAAAACGGTTTTTTGTAAGTTTACAGTGCAATTTGCACTCATTAAAATAAATAAATAAATAAATGAACTTAAGATATATTCTAAAAAGCGTTGATCTATAAGAGAATAGAAAACTACAGAAGTCATTCGAGTGGGGTCATTAAATCCGTGAAACAAAAGTGTGATAGTCAAATACGTACAAAAGAAAACAAAGCAATTTGCAGAATTTGCGCTTACAAAGTTCTATTAGTGTAATGTGTATTTCACGGGCTTTTTGACTTCATTCTACAAGACTAATATAGTGAGAGACAAATTAAAATATAATAATTGAGTCCTGAATTTTTTTTTTTCTATTATTCTTCTATTGAGTCTCGATTGTACAAAAAATACTGACTATGCAAGTCTTGCAGGGTCAAATAAACGGCTCAAAATAGTCTGGGCAAACCACAGGCAACCTAAGCTAAGCATTTGACAAGCAGATTTAGGGATATCTATAATGTTTATTTTTTCTTTCAAAAAGTTCTCAATCATGCATCATAGATATCCCCAAATCTACTAGTCAAACGCTAAGTTTGGGTTGCCTGTGCAGTCTATACTTCTTATGGGTTTCCTGTGTAAATGCGTGGTCACCTGGTAATCTTGTGACCAAAATAAAAGGTACAAAGAAAATATTTCCCGGTGAAAGTTCTAAGTACTAGTTTAGACTGTATGGGTATGCAAGATTTTCCTCCTATAACAGACGCAGGAGAAATGAGCTTGGCTAACGAAAGAACATCGTTATTAAACGATTCACCGAATAATGGTTTTTGCGGAAGACTCCGTCAAACATGGCCGTTGTTGTGCATCGTTTTGACAGTTTTACTTGAACGGACAGCATATTATGGTATCTTGGCCAATCTAGTTCTATTTCTAAATGACGAACTAGGATTTACAAGGGACCAGACAGTTATTTCTTTGTTTTTATTCACTGGCACGGCGTGGCTGTTCTCCACTATTGGAGGATTAATTGGTGATTCCTACTCGGGCCGATTCAAAGCAATTTTGTTCAGTCTTGTCATCTATATTATTGGAGCAATTATTCTGGATATTGTTGCTCTCTTTCATAAAGCCCTGTCAAGTCAGTCACATCCTATCATGGTCGTGGTTGTTGTTTTCTCGTACATTTGTTTGTCTTTTGGTGAGGGTGCATTTAAAGCCAATACATCGGCATTCGGTGGTGAACAGTTGATAAATCATGATGCTGAAACATATCGAAGGTTTTTTAGTTGGTTTTATTGGGCGATTAATATCGGGAGTTTTATTGGATTCAGTCTTCTTGCCTGGGTACAAATAAAGATTAACTTTAAGGTTGGCTATTTTATCCCAATTGGGTGTCTAGTGGCTGCTTTTATAATATTTTTGATACCCAATTCCAAGTACACTATATATCCATTATCAAGTAATGTGTTTAAGAAAGTATTTGGGATTGTAAGAGAGGCGTTCTCCCTCAGAAAGGCCAAATCAACGAGGTATGTTTTGAAAGTAATACTCTATTAGTATGGAATACTGCATGATTGAATAAATGAATGCCAGAATATAACAATTTTTCTTTACATCTAAACAGCAGGTGCCCTGGTCTTGAGGAAGTGATGCCAATTCGCAGTTGGTTAGACAGAGCCATGTGTAAATATGGAGGCAGCTATTTAGATTCTGAAGTGTTGGAAGTTAAGAATTTATTAAGGATTAAGATAATCTTTGCTACACTGATTCCTTATTGGTTAATATATTTCCAGGTAAAGTAATACTAGTGATACTCTAATATCAGGTAATACCAGAAATATTGCCAGGTAATTGAATATCAAATATATTACCAGGCAATTCCAAAAAGATTGCCTGGTAATTGTGTATGAACTATATTACCAGTACATTCCTTATGATATAGAAATGAAAGAAAGTTGTAGTGCTTAGAAGGAGGCAATTCCAGGAGAAAGACCCTTAGGAATAAATTCAGAAAAATTAATTTCTGACCTCACTGGGATACGAACCCAAGACCTTTGGATTTGTATTACCGATGCTCTACCAGATGAGCTACAAGGCCAGACTGGGAGCAGGTCGGGGTGAAATAGATGTTGGGTTGCGGTAACAGAATAATGTAAAGATATGAATATGAGGACTGCATGGCACTATGATAGAACAGATATAGAAATGAGTGAGGTTGGAAGTTAATTTTTCTGAATTTATTCCTTAGGGTCTTTCTCCCAGAATTGCCTCCTTCTAAGCACTATAACTTTCTTTCATTTCTATATCGTATCTATCATAGTGCCAGAGAGCATCAGTAGTACAAATCTGAAGGTCGTGGGTTTGATTCCAAGTGAAGTCAGAAATTAATTTTTCCAAATTTATTCCTAAGGGTCTTTCTCCTGGAATTGCCTCCTTCTAAGCACTATAACTTTCTTTCATTTCTACTCATTACTTATGATATATATATTTTATGTCCAGATGAATTCAACCTTCTTAATCCAAGGATTGCACATGGACTTAGAGTTGATAAAGAGCAACAGTACAGAAGGCTTTAAGGATGTACCTGCTGCTTGGCTGAGCTTGGCTGATGTCACAGTTGTAATACTGTTGATTCCACTGATGGATAAAGTAATATATCCTTGGTTTCGACGCAAAGGTTGGGAACCGTCACTCATTAGCAGAATATCACTGGGTTTGTATTTTCCAGATTTGTTTGAAAGGTACTTGGCATGTTCGTGATTATAGAACTTCAAGATAATACTTTCTTTTGTAGGGTTCCTTTTTGCTACAGCTTCCATGTTCACAGCTGGAATTGTAGAATRTCAAAGACAGCAGAACTTGAAGAACTATCCTTCCAATATACAAGAGATAAATAACAAACAATACATTGCAGCAGACATGAGCATTTTTTATCAGGTCCCGCAGTATGCGTTGATTGGAATCAGTGAAGTGCTTGCAAGTGTTGGGTGTACGTATCATAGAATCAATGTTTTGCAAAGCTCAAACTTTGATTAGAGTGCTTACACTATGACCAAGTAATAAAATCTAAATAGTTATTATCTAATAGTTCTTATTTAGTGACTATTAGTCACTATCATTCAACTGAAACAATACCTCATTACAACTGTTACAGTTGAGTAATAGCAATTAATAGTTACTAAATAAGAACTATTAGATAGTAAATATTTAGATTTTATTTCATGTTCATAGTGTGAACACTCTAGAATGAACCTTCACCTTTATTACAGATTATTGTAATGTAGCATTAATGTTTTTTTTAGGCTTGGAGTTTGCTTATCGCGAAGCCCCAGAGTCAATGCATGGTTTTGTGATGGGTCTTTTCTATCTGATTGGTTCTGTAGGTAATCTCTTGGGTGCTGGACTGTATGCTTTCTCCACTCATGCCTTGAATTGGACTTGTAACACTAAACCAACATCTGCAGACCTTGGACATTTGGATTATTACTTTTATCTGCTTGGTGGGATTCTATTTGTGACTTGGTTGATATTTATTGTATTTTCTGCTCCACTTCGTTACAAGAGTGACACTAGTTTATCTAGAACCAAATATTCAAGTTTGATTAGTTCTGATGCAAGTGACAGCAGCATCAGTCATCGATATACATCAGTTGTAACATGATGAATATGATTTGATTCTAATTTATGGAAAATATTGAATATTAAGGACGCTAAAGTGACACAAATGGAGCTCGTATATTTGGTTGAAAACCGAGAAGAAATTGGTCAGTCATCAGCAGTCTTACCATTGTCACAAGTAGTGTTGACTTGCTCATGAGCATCAATGACTTCATTACCAATACACCATAGTAACTAGTTTTTATAAAACCACAAAATTGTAGAAATATAAAAGTAAAAGATTTGACCAAAGAGACTGCAGGACGTACCAGGAGAGAATTAGAGAAAAGGCACTTTTAGTACTTTTTTATAGCACTTTTAGGACTCCATGCAAGAAAAATTCTGAGGACTGCCAAAATTGGATGAGGCAGTAGGCAGGGTATAATTTGGCAGTCGGAGGAATTTTTCAACCTAATAATTGTATATCTAGATATGATTCCTAGCTGTTCAATTAAGAATATAATTGGACAGCAACCTATTTAGAATTTAATAAGTGGATATATAATTAGGTATTATAACTGGGCAATTCATATTTATTTTGGTACAGCATAGTTGTCGTGCAGAGAATTTGAAAAGTCAAAGTGTTTTTAGATCTATTATTTTTATGCTTATGTGTGTATACACCCGAACATTTTTACATTTTTCTGGTGAAATACAAAATAGATAAGAACTCTTTATTACTGGAGAATCAAGATAAGGGTGAAACGATGGAAAAATAGTAATAGTTTTATTTTAGAAATAATCAGTGTATTCCTAAAGATCGACGAGACAAAGAGGTGAATCTAGTGTCTTGTTCTTTACAAAAAGAAAATCTTTCGACTTTATTTCAGGTGATTTTCTCCCGGTTTTCTCTTCTATAAGCCTAAAAACTGTGTTATCATCATTAATCGTCTCTGGTATTTTCATTAAGTGTTTGTATGCGTCTGTGTAAGTTTGAAGGCATTTGGCATGGAATTGCATCTCTGTACGGACAAATTCCCGAAGGATACGGCCCGAGTCTTGGAGTTTCTCCACCTCAAACTCTTCCATTTGTTGGTCTAGCAGGTTTCTGGAGTTCTTTGTCAGAGCCTGAGCTTTCTCCAAACGAACTTTTGTCTCCATGACCTTCCTTCTGTCGATTGGAACTTTGTTTTGTAGTTTGTTCAACAGTCCTTTTTCGCGTTGTTCTTTGTCAATTAAATGAATGCACACATCGATTTCTTTCTTGGTTTCTTTGCATTTTGTCTCATTTACGCGGAAATCCCCAGCAATTCTGCTTTTCAAGTCAATTGCAAACTGCTTTCTTTCATCTTGTAAAGCAGTTAAGTTAGTACAGAACTTTTCTACGTTTAGCGTGATGTCTTCTTGTTCCAAATCTTCAAAACATGTAGAAACTGCGTTGGAAATGCTGACACCGCGTTGACCAAGCTTTTCAGTTGTTTTGGCATATTTTTCGACGAGTTTTGCAAGTTTTTTGAAATGAGTTTCTACAAGCACGACTCTGTTTTTGTACTTCAATACGTCTTCATCTTTGCTTAAATGTATAAAGCTTGAAAAGAATCCCGACATAATTCTTCACGATCACAGCCTTTTTGACTTTCTTTGATTGATATTTGAATGTCGAGCGCTTGGTCATGTCACAGCATAGATAATAAAAGCGTGCGCTCATACTAGTATTTATTATGACGTAATGTGCGCGCTCATAAGTACTAGTTCTTCTGCATGCACTAGTGCGCGCTCAATCTAGCGCTGATTATGACGTAATGCGCGTGCTCATACTTGTACTCGTGACGTCATGCGTGCGCACATACTAATACTTGTTATGTGCTGATACTAGTAGTACTTGTGACGTCACAGACTCTTAATGTGAACTTTTCCACTCGCTCGTTCTTCAAGAATACATAGCCAGCTCTATTTTGATTGCTGGCCATTGTGATGAATATTCTAAAGTTTATTTAAAATAAATCTATTTATTTATTTGTTTTCTAAGTTTATGAGAAAAGAAACACGAGAAAAGTATACTACAGTTAAACATAGATTTATTTAGAAAATAATAGATTTACTAAAAGTTTAATAATATTTTCTTGCTATCCAAGGGTCATCATCGTCTTGAATCCTTTTATCCGTATCACTATAAACTACCTGGTCGAACGATCTATGTGGAAGGGTTGTGACAACACGTGGTGTCGGGCAAATCATAGTTGGCTGAACCAATCGTATGTCACTTCTAATAGCACGCATGCGCGCTTGTGCTGCCATGACAAAAATGTCTCGATTTAGCGTGAATATGGATATCTTTCTCAAACCAGCGCATCGTATCATGAGCCTATAGAAAGCCTCTATTTTTTCACTGGTTTCTTTATCTAGGAAGTCGCTAAGTTCAAGAATCTCAAGCTTAGGTGAAAATGTCGCTAAAGCTTGGAGTACGTATTGAACTTCTAAGCCTGTATCGAGATGGTCGCGACGATAATTCACAATCCCAAATCTCTTCAAGAACGGAAGGTTTCTGAGACACTGTTGCAAACCGGCTAACGTTGCAAACGCCTTGTTAACTCGTAATACTTCTAGACTTTTACAGTGCTGAGAAATCTTAACGAAATCTCGATCCGCGCCATCTTGCCCGTCAACAGCATCGATGTTGAGTACCTTGAGTGTCTTGTTACAAGCTATATTTCTTAGTATGTCTCGATGGATGCCATGTGGTCCATAGTTACAGCTATTGATATTGAGGTATGTAATATTACGTAATTTTGATGTGATATATGAAATGGATCTACTACTAACACCAGGGCAGTGCGAGATGTCAAGTTCTTCCAAACAGCATTTGTCAAAGTCACAACTCATTAGCACATTGTCCGTGACATGTGTATAAGCCAGAGATAAGGATTTAATAGCTCGACATCTTTGGAATAATAGTGGTAAAGTCATCCCTTCGATCATGTAGCATCTCATTAGTGACAGTGATTCTAATTTGGGGCATTCCTGTGCTAGAAAAGCCACACCCTCGTCCAGTACGTCCATACACCTGGAGCAGTCAAGTGTTCTTAGTTCTGGAGTACTTCTAAAAACATTGTAATCAAAAAATCCATCCATGCTTCCATCTATAGCTAACTTTTCTAGTTTTGGAGCACCAGCAATCATTTCCAGAACATGAGAAACGTAACCTTGAAGATCGCGAGCATCGAGCACTCGAAGTTCAGGAAAACATAGCTTTCCTAAGTCATTTCTTCTTTGTAGTTTCAAAGTGTTTTTTCTCAATATTATTTCTTGCAGGTGTGGGCACGCCTTGGCAAAGTAAAACAGATTTTCATTACTAATACTGCACCTCCACAACACCACTTGCTTCAGTTGTCGGCCAAGACGTCGTTCTGTAAGACTATTTAAATGGTAAGGTTTAAGTCGATGTATTTTAACTGATCGCCAAAGTGACCCATCATAAGCCAGACATCGCCAGTGCTTACAAACCAAGGCAACATGGCAAAGTTTCTTTTGCGACAAAGACGAGAAAATTTCAAGTAGTATACTGTCTGGTAAAATATCAATCAAAGCGCTCATCTTTTCTCTTTTGGTTGAAATTCGAATGGAAAATGTATGCTTTTGTTTCAGTTTAGTTTTTATTCCATATCTGCATTGTCACGTCAACGCGCGCGCAGCTTTGGGCATGTAAGTTAATACTTCGGTTATCACTTTTTATCATTGAATTCTTTAAATTTCACATCATAATCTTTTTTATATATCTATATATCCAAAGTCAAAAATAATTTTATAAAATACTTCAAATGCTTTTGGACAAATGAGTCTATTCCAATACTCGTGTGTTCCATGATACCTAGACGAATGGGTTACCTGTGGATTCACTAGCGTGACTAGAAACCGGAAACAAGTGTTAAACTAACTTAACATCCTGATTAATAGTTGAACGGTAAGCCTTCGGCCATAACAAAGGCGAACCCTCACCTTTGTCCATACCAGTCTTGCCTTTGAATTTTGCAATCATAATAATTCCCATGGTCAAAAGTATGCATCCCCAGGTGCCGAAGTTAAGTGGAAGCCAGAGAAACGAAAGCCCATCTAACGCCACCAAGGCAATACCTCCAACGGCTATGAAACAAAACACTAATCCCACAATGAAATAGCTGTATCCTTGTCGTAGAAAATAGGTCGAATAACCCAGGCCCGTGTTCACATCAAGACCATCTACAAACAGTCGGTGAGGTCTTCTCGAGTTGAAGGATAACGAATTGTATTGTAGTAAGAATCGATGGCCATGCTCTTCCCATGCAAATGACCCTCCAGAACCACAAAGAGGGCTGTAACGATTGGGAATCATTGCGAAGTTCTCCATGTTGTATCCATTGATAAATAACTCCATCTCGTGCATGGCTCCCTCACCACAACACCTTGTCCGTCTCTCCAATCGAACGGCATAGGGTATTCCTATGTTGGGTGTCCAAATTTCTGTTGCAGTACAGTTTCCCATTCTAGTATTTTGGTGTAGTCATACAACTTTTCTAAAGAACTTCAAATGTAGAGAAGTGAGTTTGAAATCAATTGTCGAAACCACCTCCCTGTCAAACATAGGACAATATTTGTTTTTTGTACGTTCGATTTAACGAACCAATCACAACACGCCTAGAAATCATGTGGTGGAAATCTCTGTCTCGACATGATTTTGCAATAATACTCATCCTTGATGCTTATTGCAAACATCCGGGATACTTACGGTATCCCTTTCATTTGGGAAAACAAGCAAATTGCGTGACAAAATGTTACTCCACAGGGAGTCCAAGTGGACGGAAAGGCTAACCGAAATAGAGAACATTTGATATCATGACTCTACCATGTGTGACTCTTGTAGTTTCTTTAACAACAGTTCGCGATTGATTTGTCTCTGCTCCGCACTCATATCATCCCAGTCTTGCTTGGTAAGCTCACGTCCGAATAACGTGATTTCGGCTTCTTTGTAATCGGTCTTGCTGACATTCATAGATGTCTTTGCAATTTGTTGTAAGTGTTGTTCTTGAGCGTCTACACCATGAGCCACTGAAAAATTAAAAAAAAAACAGACTTGTTAACTGATCTTTTACGTGGAAAAAGGACGTAAATCATTACGGAAGATGAGCACGAACGTTATGGTCGACAGATACGAGAAGAAATAGATAAAAGGAAACCCTCAACTTGTCTCTCAACGACATTGTATTGCTGTTCGAGAGATTGGAGTCGATGTTCCTCGTTTTACACCTTTCCTGAGCGGTAGTAGCTTGTCGCGCAACAACAACCAACAACAACAAAAGAAAGAGAAAAAAAGAAAAAAAAGGGGTATGAGAAACGACAAACATTCCGCGACAAGTTTTTTTTTTTGTATGAAGAAGAATGTTTCTAACAAATCACAAACGAAAACTATTTTCGTAAGGCATTTACGTTCAGCCTCCAGTAAGGGTAGAGGTTCACGTATGGAAAGCATTTCCTTACGGAATGCGTTGGAGCATAAGAGAAGCCTACGGAAATATGTTAAGTGCATACAGGGTTTAGTCACGTGCGTAAAGTAAGTACTAACAATGATATTATAAAGATACTGTAGTCTTCACAGCGTATTTTATATTGAGCTGTATTTTGCAAATTTTATTGTCATTACATATAACCGCAAATTAAATGTACTCTAAAATACCAACGTAGCACGCTCTAAGCATTAGAACTATATCTTGCCATTATTATATTATTATCATAATCATTAATTATAATTGAATACTCACATTGGTTTACACCGACAAACGCCATTCGTAGGACGTCCCTCAGCATATCTTGTACTTCACTGTCACCTGACGAAACAGCAGGACTTGGTAATGATGGTTGTAATGGTGATGACAATGTAGACCGACTTCTAACTGGTACATCCTGGTTTCCTTTTATTCGAGCTATTTCGTATCGAAGTTTTTCTATTTCGTCTCCCATTTGTTTTTCTATCGTAGTTCGTTTTTGTTGCTCAAGTAACAGATCACGTTCTAAGGATGCAATCTTGTCTGCTTGAGTTCTCTTGTCTTGGTCGAACGCAAGTTGTATTTCTTCTTGTTCATGTCTTCTTCTTGCATCCTCTTCTCTCTGCCTTTGGATTTCCTCATTCCTGTATAATTCATAGTGGTTAACATAAGTCGTCTGAATTGCTCGACGACAATGGTCAGTATTTGGAAAAGTAGTCACGGTTACTCGCAATCCAAAAGCAAATAATTTTTTTGGATATTGTCATTTTGTTTGTCTTGTCCATGCTATTACTCACCTTCTCTGCTTTTCGATCTTCTTTCTCTCCATTTCTCTTGCTTCTCGGGCAGCCCGTCTGTCTTCTGGTCGTTGCCTGGTCGCAGGTCTGTCCTGGAACCACCATGTCCAAGGCTGTGTTTTCCCTAGAGCTTTGAAACAATGATCACTTATTAACGAATAACTAAGGATCAGTTCTTTATTGCTACTTCACAATTTTATTAACCCCAAGGATTTTGTCACCAGAAATTAAGCTAAATTAAGTGAAATAGTGATAGTTCTTTATCAAATTGAAGCCGTTTCCTTTTACATGAGTCAACAATGAGTCAAAAGGGCATTGAGCCATGATAAAGTAGATTATTATTATTATTAATATTAAAAGTCTTACTTGCAACAGGATCTACAAGAGGAAGCTCAAACCCTTGCACTTCTTCATTGATAAGGTTTCTCCAATCAGGCAAAAAACGTTGGTCAATCTGAAAACGAAAAAATAAAATAAAATAAAGGAATCGACTTTAATTCTAAAGACCAGGATAACATCATCATATAAACTAGGAATATTAACCTCATTCTGTAATTGTCTTGTCTTCAAACTCTTGGAGCCTTCAAAAAGCACAGATTCCACGTCCTTTGTCTGAGTTTCAAAATGAAAGAAAAAAGAGGAAAACAATAAGGTGTGTGTCAAATCTTGCGCTTCAAAGTAGAATCTAGAATGACTCAAATAATTCAACACACATGTAGTACCAAAATATTGTTGAGCTGAAAGTGGCTGAGTCACACGCTTTTACATGAGATTAATTCGAAGACAAGAGTGTATCATTCATGTCAAGTACGACATTTTAACCAGGTCCAACTTTCATAATGTACATACATTAATTTATAGCTGCAAAAGCACTATAACAGACACATACATTGTATCAGAAACATTTTGGATTTATTCCTGTTGTCAAATGAGTACTTACAGTTTTACAATCTTTTATTTCATCATTCAGTAATAATAAGAGAACTACTGCAAATGTTGGAATACATTTAAGCTTTTGCAACTTTAAGCTCAGGATATGCTGATCCCAAATGTAACAGACAACATCTAATGGCAAGTAACCTGGTGAATAATACAACACTAGATAAAAAGAGGTAGCTTCTTAATAAAAATATGAAATGCTAATAAAACAAAATAACAAAAGGAGATAACAAAAGGTAATTACAAACTAATAAACTTGTTTTTCTCATCACATTTTCTTCTCACTCCCTGAAGGCATAGACAGATCAGTTCTGTTTCAACTGCACCAAATTTCAGAGTTTGATCTGGGAAATGCAGTACTATGCACTTACCGACAAACATGCTTCTTAAATATGACCTCATTAGATTGACAAGACTGACAGAGAATGTTGCCAAATGGTTTCCTGAATGAAAACAAAACAAAGTCATACTTGAACTAAAATTAGATGCAAACACAGGTAGCTTGACTTAAACTGAGATTAAATTGGGATAATGATCATATCAGACAGTACAATACTCTCTCCTTCCCTCCCCTTTCCTTTAGCCTTGGAGCACATATTTACTGTAAGTTAGATTAAATTGAAAAGCCCTCAGAAATGGTAATAATTTGTAGATTTGATACCATGAGATGAAAGTAACTTCTCCAAAAACTCAGCAAACTGCTGATCCTGTGAGTCAACTAAGGATGCCATGATTTCACCTACATGTTTAAGAGCAATGTTGAATTCCTTGATAAATAAAAACAAAAATAAAAGTCATTCTAGCAACTTGTTGTCTTTTTGTGTTTGAAAGTAATGAAGGGGTCGCATGTGTTTCCTCTTTCTATTCTCTCCTGAGGTGATGTAATCCCATAACACCTTGCAGTCACATTTTAAAACAGTTAACCTCCATGGGAAAAAGCTGGAGAGACGAGGCTAGGTTACTCTACATTTCCTCTCACTTTCCAAAACTTACTGCCAAGAATTTTGTGTGCTGAAACAGTCAATGGTTGGGTAGTATATCTGACCATATCTGGGTCTGAGTTGTCTGGTTAGAGAACCATGCCACTAACAACCTATATCTTACCTTTGATCCTGCTTCTTTCATATATACAGGTCTGTAGTCCAAAAATGTGTAAAACATTTCAAATACATCTGCAGATATTTCCTCAACATTACCATGACAACTATCACCATGGAAACTATCTTCAACTACCACTTTAAGAAATGGGATCATTAAAAGATAGTCTGTGTCATCCAGAGACTCTTTAGAATAAAACTGTTTGTAAGCTAAGCATTTGGTCATTACATGCACTAATAAGTCCACTTGCTGTTTTGGAAGATTCACAAACAACAACTCAGATGCTACAAATGCATGACACTTTTGAACAATAGCATTTTCTTGCACCTTGCTTGGTTTCCATTGCTCCTTAAGGTACTTATCTCGTAATCCTGGATTTGATAAAAGCATTTTCCAAATTAGCTTTCTTAGTTTGGGGGTTAAAGGTCGATTGAAGCACGTGAACAGTTTTGTCCTCATATCAGGCCATTTGTGGAGCAATGCTGAGCAAGAATCGCAAGCAGAATCCAACATAAGGTCTGTCTTTGTCTTTTCATTTGATGGATTTACAAGTTCATCCATAATACTTTCGTTAAGACGTTGATCAAGCTTTTCGGAGACCGTAGCAACGAGATTTTTGTGTCGTAAACTTGATTTCACCAGCTTCCCAGCTCGATCTAAGAACAAGATTTTCTCAGGTTCCTTGAGATCTGAGAAATAAGAGACATGATTCTCCGTTAACTGCTGCTGTACCGCTTCAAACAATTCCGAAACTAGTTCACTCCACTCCGTCGTTTGGGCTATATCATCTTTAGCTTGACTCAACCATGGTGAACTTTTGGTTGTTGTGGACGCCATTTTGGAAATAGAACTATTTTGTTACTATGAGAGGGGAGGGCTAGATATGCCTATGATTTTTTTAAAAATCACTTTTTGTGACAGGGGTTTGCTTTCATTTTTAGTTATTAATATAATCTGAAAGAAAAGAAGCTTATTACTTAGAAGAATAGGAAATCAATAAAATTTGGAGTAAAGTTTGCTGTGGTTATAATTGTTTTTTTACATGGTGCGGAGCTCCTGTGGTTATACTTTGAAGAGAGGAGACTGGGTTTCCCGCCTAGAAATAAATTTGCAAAACAAGTAAGCAGCCATTTTACGAAGCATAAAAATGTCGTCCCACAAAAAGGCGATATTTCTACTTTCTGGTTAAATAATAATCCTCAAAATCATAGATATGTTTGTAGAAAAGCTAAAAGAAGAAGTTTACGATGTCATCTTGCAAGAAGTAAGTCAAATTTGTATAAAATAAAATCGACTTGTAAACGCAGAATTCTTTGTATTTTGTACAATAATTAAGCTGAACCGTAATTCTTTGAATGTTTTTAGCGAGTTCTCGTTCTTGTTTCGATGGATGTCGATGCTCTGTGTTCGTGCAAAATACTCCAGGTTAGTATCACTAGATGTCTGTTATAAAACCACTAAATTTAAGTTAAGCTTATTATACAAGTTACACTTTTCAAGTTAGCTTAAGTTATCGACACAGAGAAAACTGAGTGTTTAATCAGAGTTAGTAGAGGTTAATGTGATGATCATTTATTCCATCCCGACTATGGATATAAGCAAACTCTTGGATGTACTTCTAGCATGATATGGCTTCATACTTGCAAAATTGTGATTATTAAATGTTGTGCACTCAATTTCGTTGAGAAATGAAAGAATTGATTCACTCAGCTCTATTATCATCCTTTACATGTTTTTTTAATAAGATTTTGAATATTTAAGTCTGTGAAGAATATTAGGTCTCTACGGTGAATAATAATTTGCCTTGATGTGCTATGTTTGTGATTATGTGATCTGATTGTGTGATTGCGCTTGTGCCTGTAGTGGTTGTTCAAATGTGATAGCATCCAGTATACACTAGTACCTGTCAGTGGCAAGGAGGACCTTGCTAGAGCTTATCTAGAACACGCCGATCAGGTAAACCATGGTTATTACTATATGTAAGTCAGGGTATACAAAATACTAAAAGATAAATACTCAGTTTTGTTCCTTCTACGTGTGTTTTAATATTCCGAGCTTTCGGACAACTTGTCCATCATCAGGGCAAAATGAAWTTACAATGCGTGCGCGAGGATACAAATGTAAACAAAACACTATGGTAACATAACTGCTTAAGAGCGCGCAATAGTTCAAATCAATTAACATAATTTCATTTTGCCCTGATGATGGACAAGTTGTCCGAAATCTCGGAATATTAAAACACACGTAGAAGGAACAAAACTGAGTATTTATAATGAATCCTACGTATGAAAACATTTAAACATACTAAAAGATCTACTTTAAGCATTGGTAGTTGATAAAGCACTTATACTTAGTAACCTCATTGTGAACTATAGATCAAACATATATTCCTGATTAACTGTGGTGGGAACATCAACCTTCTTGAGATGTTAGAACCTGATGAAGATATCAGATTTTATATTGCTGACAGGTAAAGTATAGCTTATTCTTAATCATGTTATTCTATAGCATTTTTGATGATCATTTGTTTGTTTTGTATGAATTAGTAATATTATCCTAATTATTTTCCACAAAAACTTTCTTATAATATGCTAAAACAACAGCTATGTTTTTTCTCATGATTTTGTTTTGCTGATCTTTCATGCAGCTTGTCCATCTTCAGGGCAAGAAATCAAAAGCTACACAAGCTTCATTATTTGATTTTACAAATTCTAACTGGCAGATTGTATTTATGTGCATAAGTTGTCTAACCTTAACAGTCTATGGTTTGTTGTATTTACCAGCCACAGACCTCTTCACTTGGATAATATATATAATCAAGACCAGGTGAGTAAACCAAGGAATGGAATACTCCCTGTTATTTTGTTTCTATTTCAATATGGTCCTAAACAGCCTTTTGTCCTTGTTTAGGAAATACTTTTTATATGAGTTTAATCATATCTCAGCTTTTTGAGTTGTCTTTGGATTGTCTATGTATTGTTTCATCCTGAAATGCCCAGCATTGCACGCTACACTTTCTACAACTTTCTACAACATATAAATAGTTATATTACTGGATAGGTATTATAATATATAAATTAAGTGTAGTGTTATTCAATTTATTGATATCTGTTTTAGGTGAAAATTCTTATGAAAGAAGGTGAAACCTTAGAAGTGCCTGACTTTGATGACATATATGCAGAATCTGAGGTACATTGTAACTTTGATAACATAGTAAGAAATTATAGAGCGGATTTCGTATGAGTGGGAAACGGACGGTACTGTACTGTGTCCGTAATCGTACTGTAACCAAATTCTAGTGCCCCATTGGTTCACCAAAATTCTGCAGGCCAGGTGCGGTAACTGTGCGGTAACCGTGCGGTAACGGTGTCCCACTCATACGAAATCCGCTCTAATAACAGCTGCATATCTATGCTGTAAACAAATCATTGATTTTTATAGCAGACCATTCATTGCCACCAGAGCAAAAAGTAAATGCCGTTTAATGCGAAAGAAATATCAGCTTAAAATATAAGTTTGGTCTGTCAAATCATTGTTGTATGTTGTTTTTAAGCTTGAAGAACCTTTGACTGGTCTAACTGCTTTGAGATTTGCATTGTGTTGACCAACAAATCAGGGTTTTTTTGCGCTGTAATGCAGGAGAAATCTGGTTGCAATCAGAGGCTTTATTCAGATTAATATCATTAATGATAATAGGATGATGATGATAGTCATGATGATGATGATGATGATTCAGAGCCATCATCAAAACGTCAAAAGACTGATGAAGGAGAGAACAGTCTTAGTGCAAGAGCAAAAAAGAAACAGTGGGAACGCAAAAGGTAATCCACTACATGCTGTATGGTATCTACAGCCAAGATAGACAAAACATCTTTAAAAACAAAATATTACAATTATATCATATGGCAACATGTTTGTACTATTATTATAGCTTGCATACATTTTGTAATTCGTGTTATTGGTGTGTATTATAGTCTTTTTTGCTTCAATCATAGTCGCAGGAACTGCTTTAAACAATAATATTGAATCTCTCTTTGTTTCCAGGCAGGATATCCTGTACAGATATCATGAATATGCATTTTATGGAACATCAGTAAGTACATGATTTGTTGGTAGAGTTGACTATAAACCATGAATACAGTTTTAAATACAGGGCCTTTCTGTGCACGTACCACAATCTATTGTAATACATTACTTTGTATTTTGGGGTATTGTTCAGCTTCTGTTCTATTATTTTGATTTTTTGTTTCTATGTGATATTTAGTGCTCTGTTATTGCTCGAGTACTCACAAAAGCAAGTTAAATATGTGTCATATCTCCATGTGTTTCATGCACCAGTAGTGTTCAGTAATGTCAATAATAATGCTATCTTGTAGTCAGCTGTCGTTATGTATGAATTGGCCTGGAAACTAAGCAAAGACAGTAATGACTTATTATGGTGGGTAACAAAAAGTACTGTACTGTATGTTATTGATATTGGGATTCACTGTTTGGCATCTCATCAAGTAAAATGTTTTATTATGATTTGTAGGTTGGCAGCCATAGGATTGACGGACCAATATCTAAACGAGAGAGTAGACAGGCAAGTCAATGTTATTAGTGTATTTTTTAACATTGGGTAGTATTTGGTCTTCTTCTTATCTCTTAATGTTAACATACAAGAGGGGATGTATTTACGTCTATAATATACAACAGTTTGCAATACAATACATAAATATATCACAAAATGAGAAGACCAAAATGGATTGGGATAAAAAATATACAGGAACTATACTAAGGGAAGAAAGGAAAGAAAATGAGAAAAAGAAGACTGAAAAATACAAAACAAAATGAGGTGAAAATGAATATGAAGAATATAACACTGTTAAAGTATACCTAATAGATATTTGCATATTTCAGTGAAAAGTATGTTAGTGATGCAGAGACTTTGCATGAACATGTCATGAGGCACAATCATGGAACAGATGAGAATGGTGTATCAATCAATTGTATGAAGATAGCTTTTGACGCTGAGTATCCTTGACATTATTTTGTTTTCTTGCCTGTCCAAAATGATCATTTTACCATATTCTATACTAGTTTAAATATTTTCTGAGTTCATCCAACATGTATTAATATATATGCTAAATTAACCTTAATATAAACAGACTTCGGTTAGCTTTATACCGTCACTGGTCTTTGTTTGACAGTATTTGTCACTCCAACTATACAGCATGCAGGTACAGTCAAAGAACAATGTCTGCATAGTGTAGGAAAGTCTAATTATGAGTCATTTCTTGTTTATTATAGGTTTAGAGTTTGGACAATGAAAGGCAAAAAGAAGCTGCATGAGTTTCTTGCTGATATGGGGTAATTAATTTTATCTTGCATTATGAAGAACCAATAAAATCAGCATAATATAATGCTCATGTCTGCCTATTAAGTATGGTCTTAAACTTATTAAATATATTTTTTTCTTCTCTTTTTTCCTTGTCCATCACCTGTTAATTCAATCATTTTCGTATTCAATCTTTAGCATTCCACTTGCTCAAAGCAGAGAAACCTTCTCAAGTATGGATGTTGAATTAAGGAATAATTTAAAAGAATGGATCTCTACTTCTGCTGAAAAATTTGGGTGAGTATTTTTTTTTTCTTGAAATTGTACTACCTTGCTACTTGTATTACTTTCCCTTTCCCATGTTTTCATTTTTTAATTCCCATTCTTGCTGCATATATTCCTTGGTTGTTTGCAGTATGGATGAAATCACATATGGATCATTTCATGTCCAATATGGTTTTAGAAATAAGGTGAGAATCTTTTTTTCCAGGAAATGTTTTTACATAAAAATCACTTGTGCCTAATTTGTTTGTGTTTTGTCAACAGCTTTGTGCAAGTGATTGTATGTATGCTGTTAATGCTATTCTTGAGATGCCGGTAATTTCCTGACTTACATGTGCATTGATTTTGTTTTCATTGATATTCATTTTGATTAATTAATTTTTGATACTGATCAGGATGAAAATAGTAAATCTGATAAATTCCTTCAAGCCTTGGATTCGTTGTCCAGGTAAAGTACTTTGTATTTATAACTCTTCACAGTAATTATTGGACGTGTGATCCAATAACAACTACAAACAGCTGCAAAGAAAGATACATTACGACACTCTATAGTGATTGACAACAATATTACCATTCTCATTTGATATTTCTAGATCTAACACAAAACTTTTACTTGATGGCATTGAGATGGCAAAAACCCAGGTATTAAATAAAAACCTGAAAGTAATGCAAGAGAGAGAAAAATTAGTAAAAGTTGTTATGGTTCAAAGCAGTGCATACATATTACTTTCAAATGTATACCCTCACCATGATATAAAGTGTGGATTAACCATATATGTACTGTGAGACCTCTTTATCAATTTGAATGTTCAAGTTTTTTATCAAATTACTGAGAATAATGAAAACACAATGGAAATGACACAACAAGTTTTCTTTTTCTTGATGGATTATGTGATGATGTTGTTTTTTTATCAGCTGACTGCATTAGTGAATCAAGTCAGGTCACTCATTGACATGCATCAGGTTGTATGTGGGGGACCGTTTCTGTACGCTTTTCTTCGAGAGGTAAAATAGTTAGATTCTATTATAGCTATGTATAGCTGTGCAAATGCGATATAACATATTTGTGGCACAAGGGATCGTTTGTGGGGGAATTAATGGAACCAACATCAGCCTCATTATGATTATCAAACCGTTTATGCACTGTAGGGAACGCCTGACCTTAAGATGTTCAGTAAACCTATTGTTCTTGGTGCCTTAGCAAGATATGTGTTGAATGCATATGTTGGAATGGTAAGTAACACAATATAATCATATTCCCATCCAATATTCCATTCAATTCTCTTCTATTCAAATCGTCTGTTCTTCAATTCTCATACAATTTCCCATTCAATTTTCTGATCCAATTTCCGTTCAAATCCCTGCCAATTTCCCAAATTGCTTTTTTTTCTCGTTTCTTGCAGTCTAAAAACAAGCGCGCTGCGGCTTTGCCGTTCGTCTTGGCCACTCCATTAGATACAGATAAAGGTATTGAAATATTTGTTAGTAAAAAAACCGTTAAAACCATTAAGACTAATGTGAGAAAACCACCGTCATGATCGTGTAAATATTATAGGATGATTATTGTTTTCCAGGTACCTGTCTCGTGACTGGCGTTCCTCCTATTGCTGATGAATCCAAGAAAAAGTAAGTTTTTTTTGTCCTCTTTTAGCATTTCCATGACCAGCCGGTTGTAACCATCCGATAGATCGTTGTAGTTTGTTGGACGTTTTCTAGCTATTGCTGTCCTTGTAGTTTTTTAGGTCGAGCGTTTGAAATGGCCGCTGATAAAACCAAGGCTCGGTCCCAACATGATTCTTTCGATTCAGCAGGTAAAAAATTCTCAGTAGATTGGGAAATGGGAGCTCTTCATCATATAATCACATGAACTATGTGATTCAGAACTTCCAATCCCTATCTACTTTCCTTTCATCTCTCCCCACTTTCTTTCAGTTTCCCATCCATCCATCCCCCCCTCTTTCCTTCTCTCTATCCTAATTACTCCCTTATTGTCTTTCTTCCATTTTTCCTCTCTTTTATGCTCCTTTTCCCATCTCCTTTTTTCTTCATCACTCTGTTCATAGTAAGCAGAGAAAGATTGTACTAACTAGAATCTGTTCATCCATTCTTCCTGCTTTTCAACCATTCAACCATGTATTTTTTATCCATTCAAGCAATGATTTGTTCTGTTTTCCAGTCATCGAGATAAAGAGCGAAGACAGAGAGAAATTCTTTGACGCTCTTTCCGCCCTTCTTCTGTAACCATGGATGTAATAACAGCTGGTTGGAAATACTGCTGGCTCTACAATTTTTATCGCGATTTCTAATGTATTTCAAATTTCCAGGTAATACCGGCCACATGTGGACAATGCCTTATTATTAGCAAGTGAAGTACATAAAGGTGCGGTTAAATTGTGCAGAATTCTCAGTAATTATCACTTTAAAACCATTACATTACAAGTTGCTGAGAAACTTACACATTGTAGCTTCACCTTGATACCTTGCTGGAACTTAGCTTATTTAACAGGGTGTTCGTATTAGCGGGATCTTTTCTTTTAGCTCTAGTGTACTATAAACTGAACTAATATTCTATAAAACTAATACATGTAGATATTCAATTGAAAATTGTCTTAGACAATCGTGTCCAAATCGTGTCGAATCCAAATCATAAGGGCGTAGTACGAAAAATGGTTAATCATTGATTCATAGACGAAAATAAATTTGGCTTTACAGAATCGACTCTTGTGTCAGTCAAAGTTTTGACCAAATGTATGCAAAGAATCGGTGTTGGTCAGCAATCGTTCGGCCGTTTGTACTAGCAACTTATATATTAACGTACCACCATAGTTACTAACTCAAGGTTGACTATGGTCCTACTAAGCATACATGCTTTGGTATATCTACTAAGGGTGCATTGATAGTATAAGTGTAATATAGCTGATTTTTATACGAGATCATAGCCACGAAAGGGTGCCTTTATTGCTGCAATCTGACTAGCTCCGCTCTCCATTTCGTGTACTCGGGCATCCTTATTAGGTTGTTTCTCCGCTAAACAATAGCAAGACATGGTATTATTATAAGTAATAGCAGTCCGCTGTGAAACGCCATAGTGTCCGACCGATTGTGGCCATTTTTACTGGAATATGTTGTGTCTGACTACATCACGTATTGTAAAAAGAACGATTTGTTATAATAAAAGGACAATTTATGCTGATCCTCTTTCTATTTTATTACAAAACTATTGAAAAACGCAAGAAGTCCATGGTTTTGGAGCTATATTGTTCCAATGGCGTTTCTTGTAATCGATTGATATCTATGTTGCAGCAGGAATACAAAAGTGGTTAAATAGATTAATCTTGGCTAGTAGGAAACCTGAAAAATAGTAAAAAAAAACACTTAACAGGTTTCCAAGGTCAACCGGAAAACTGAATAAATGAAATGAAATATGAAAAATGAATAACCAGAGAATAGCAGTGAATTTTCTATTAAATAACTCTGGATTCGAAATATTTGGCACCGGAATTATCCGTATGAAGCAATTTTTGCTGAATTGAAATCCTTACCATCAGCAAGGGTTAAGATTACAAGGTTCTGTCATCCTACTTGGACCTAAAGAGCTACATGATCCCTTTGTGGCTCCACGACGAATGCACTGACGAACCCTCTCCCGTACCCCACCCCCACAGTCAGCATCGCATCCTGACCATTGCCCCCAGTTGGCGTATCTCGGAGGAACTAAAAACAAAAATATTGCAGTATTCATTAAGATGGACTTTCAAAAATCTTGCTCGAGTTATCCGTTAGCCAAGTGTCATAAACGCTAGAGGATTACAGTCATTATGAAGCTGTTAGTAAAACCCTTATAGGACCTATTAACTCACCAGGACAAGGAACGTAGTTTAAACACGACCTGGTTTCCTGTGATGGTCCAACACATGCTTTTCCACCATATGCTGGTCGAGGGTTGGTACAAGTTCTTACTCTATACTGGACCCCACCTGGTCCGCATGACTTGGAACACGGAGAGAACGCTGACCAGCCACTGTGACCACCGTCCACTGAAAGTAGAAAGCATGGCCGTGGGATGTGTAAAAGTAACGATGGTGTTTATGACCAGGAGTTCAGGTCTAGGCTTGCAAGGTATCCTGTACGAAGATATCCCTAGCTGGGGCCCGGGAGAAAATAGGGAGATTGCTACCTGGACATGGACTATCATGGATATGGGCTATCACAGGAGCCCATTACCTGGACATGGACTACCGTTACCTTGGACATGGAATATCATTACCTGGACATGGAATATCATTACCTGGACATGGAATATCATTACCTGGACATGGAATATCATTACCTGAACATGGAATATCATTACCTGGACATGGAATATCATTACCTGGACATGGAATATCATTACATCGTTGTACTTGGAGTGATGGACCGAGTGCGGCACAAGATCTTCCCATGATACTTGGCGTCGGGTGATTACATAAACGTGTTCGCACTTGCGCTCCTCGGCCGCATGTCCTATCACACTGTCCCCATGGTGACCAGTTGCCATAGCCACCATTAACTGCAATAAAGGAAGCAGTGAATAGAGTCAATGTTTATCAAAATGTTGTTAGTGAGATTTCAGGAAAACTAAAGAAACTATTCAAATGTTTTGCTGTTATCATCGATAGGTACCTCTTGTACCATATCCATACTGCACTGTTGCTTTTTGCTGTGCTTGGTTCAGTTGGTTTTTACCTAAAAATCGTAACAAAACAAACAGAAATAAGAAAAGCAACACAAAAATATAAATTCTGTCCATCTATCCGACTCGCTGTTGCTGAAACCAAAATAAACGGCTTGTGTCCCGTCTACCTATTCCGTCATCTCGGTCTACGCTGGCTTTCCTCAACCCCTATCATAGTGTGTTCTTACTGTCTCAAAGATACTCATCATTTTTTTCACGTTCAATTAATAAGGTCGTTCAAAGCTATCTAATCATCTTCTAAGCATTAACACTATAGATGTTCTCACCATGGTGTAGATTTGCCAGTGCACTGGACCCGTGGAGTGCGGATTTTGGAGTATCTAATGAAGGCCTTTTAAGACTCCCTAATACTAAATGAAGAAAATACTAGATTAGTATCACTGGTGCATATATAACTACTGTTATCTGATAATTAGTCACAAAACCAAACGGTTTACGTACGGACGTGTACGAACGTAACACAATCGCGCACGTTTCAAATTCAGTCAAAGCACCAAGAAAGATTTATGAAATTGAAAGTGTTCACTGATACAGACCTAGTTTGGATAGTGTTCACTGATACAGACCTAGTTTGGATAGTGTTCACTGATACAGACCTAGTTTGGATAGTGTTCACTGATACAGACCTAGTTTGGATATTGTTCACTGATACAGACCTAGTTTGGATAGTGGGATTTTCCGTCCTTCCTTGAGTGTAAAATCTCGTACAAGATCACGAAGGATTTTGCGAACGAGACGTTTTCTCGCGGATGCACGATTTGAACCTGCGGGTATGAATCGTTTTCAGTATTAACGACTTGCATATCCTAAATCTAGTGAACAGCCCTTGATTAAACCAGAAAACCATTCAATTAACTATCCAGCCGGACAAGAAAATAATCAATTATTCAATATAAAATCAACCAACCAAAACATCAACAATCCAATAATAGTGCAATAAATCAGTCATATATCTAACCAATCATTCAATCAGTTATTCGCGGGAACTGAAGTTTAGCACGTGTTGCCACACCCACCTGGACATGCCCTCACAAAACAAAAGCCATGTTGAACCAACGCTCCACGGCAGACGTGCCCGCCCAAAGGGACACGAGGATTTCGACATGAGCGGGAACGTGCTCTAACGCCATAGCCACATGGTTCTGAGCATGCGCTCCAGTCACTCCATTCAGAGAAGGACTGATGAGTGACGGGCGATGACTCAAGATTGCCACTTGACTCCTGTTTCACAGAATTGGCTGCAAATACAATTAGTTTTGTTATACATTACATATTTATAGTTTATTTTGTATTTAATACAATTGTCATGCATTTATGGAGTATTTATCGTTATAACTGTTTTATATAGTTAGTGTAAAGTATTGTTCATTTATTTTATCATTTATCCATTCTAATTATATTTAATTATTTATGAATTGATTTATTATTAAATGAGTATTTACTCCGTTGATTAACTATCGATTTGATAAAATTTTAGTCAAGTTTTTATTGCTTAGTCTTCTTGTTAATATTTACCCGTATCGATTAATTTATTGTTAGATTTATGGTTAAACCTTTGAATAAATATTTCCAATACATTCTCTCACTTCGTTATTGCTGGGGTATACTTTTAAGTAAAAGTTTTTAAGATTTTTTGATCACGCATTCGTACTAAGTGGTGCGGGTCGTAACTCTTTTTGGAAAATGTAAAACAAAACGTTTTTTTTTTTCTCGTTTAAGGTTCATATTGAGAGGAGTAGAAACAAATTCTAAGTGTGATGAGTTCAAAGATGTTGTTTTGTTAATGTGAAAATTCCTCAACAATAAAAAGAAAAAATTCATGCGGTAAAACCACCAGTCCTTACAAACAAAGTAGCCAGTAAAATATCGCTAAAAACCCTCAAAATACCACAACTGTACAAACATGTTTATGATTTGTTTATTGATGGATAGTCTCTTTACAAGTTTAGCTTTAAATAGATGTAATCATTTGGATCGATTTGAGGGTTAGCAACTTTTCGGCCTACAGAGAACTTTGTTTGAAGGAGCTGATGATCAAGTAACCTTTGCATGGACTTTTCTTCTGCTCATTTTTATATAAATTTTGTGACTTTACTAAAAGAGTTTCTGTTGAAATTCTCTTATTAATGTCGTATGTGTCGTGTGTCAATCGTAGACCGATAATAGTATGCTATCCCTCAATACAATTTGAAATATCTATTTGTCCATGCAATTACCTTTAAAAATATCACTATGGAAATCATTACGTGCATAAAAATTACGTTACGTAAACGCTCTAATCTTGCGTCACAAGCGCAACAACAAATGAATCAAAAAGAACCTGTCTTTAATGTGATTTTGGAAGTTTAGATTTCTTTTTCTTATGTCGCTTTAAAAGCTTCCAAATCTTATGCCTTTTACTGTTGTTCTTACGCCTTTCGATCATTTGTCTTGCGACAATTAGATTTCCGTCAGAGGCTTTCAATGCGTGTTGTAGAATCTTGCCAAAATTCTCCGTTTTATCACGCTTACCTCCCGATTCGTACGACGGCTTTGACGAATGAAGCCTTGCGGTTTTGCTTCGTGGCTGCCCAGGGTAATAACTCGAGTACATTTGCCTGGATGGGTTCAAAGAAGAGGGTCCAACAGCAGGGATATATTGTGTGAAGTGATATGTAGTGCCTGGTTTAAGGTATCCTACATTTTGCAAGTAAGCTGGCGGATAAGAAGCCTGGTACGGAGCCGGATACGACGCCGGGGCATTGACTTGTCTGTAAGTCTGCTGGCCGTTAAGTAAGTTTTTGTTGGCTTCGTAGGCTGCCGCGTATCGCTGACGTATCTCTGGTGTGATTTTGTTGACCTTTGGTTGAGTTGGTCGAGAAGTTGTAGCGGGTTTTGCATCTTTATTTAACTTTGAAACTGTTGAGAAAGGACATGATTGAATTTATCACGATGATGTGATATATGACAGCATTGATATCTGAATAATTTGGTTTCTGACAAAGATTACATGATGTTTTGGACTCCATTCGTTTTTGAATCGTGGACGTAACATCCACGAGTTATTTGTATTCGCTCGGTTTCACAGTTGTATGAAATCTTCCCTAAGTTCACTACAAACATCACAAATGTCCCAGTCACACTACCATCAACTTGATGTCAGTCTTCTGGTCTAACGTGAAAAGGAATAATTACAAATATTTACCAGTGTCGCGACCACACAGCATGTTAACATCTTCCTGATTCAGATATTTCTCCCAGAATGAAATGTCTCCACTCTCGAATTTAGTGCAGCGGAAATGAGGACTGTAGTTGGGTCGACCAATCATCAGTTGAGTATTCTTATCGGTCACGTGACATCCTGGTGATCGACAGCCCAGACATTGGTCGCTGGATTTAGCTTGTCCTTTTAACTCACAGTTCAGGTAGAGTTTAAGACCTGAGAGATTTGATAAAACATGAATCGTTTGACTAGATATGCACTTAACACAGCTACGCAAAAGCGTATTTATAATGACGGACACAATGTGTTGTCCCTTTTCTCTGCAATATCTTATATCTTTTCAAATTAAAGCCCCACCTCACCCAACACAATGTTGGTAGTCCTTTATGTAACAGATGCAACACTGAATCTGGGTCAGGGGGGGTAGGGGAGGTTAAAGGAACAGGAGAAGAGTGCACCTTGAATATACAATTTTGGTTCATTCGCGACAACAGTTTTGTCCCCGATCGTGACTAACTACAATAAGACTAAAAGATACATTATTATTATCAACCATCATCACACATACCCTTGTCTTTCCTCCACGTTACCAGTACATCATGCCAGCGGTCTGCCTCCAAGGGTGATTCCAGACAAATAGAGTCGTTAGGGATAGCAATATCAGCTCTTAGTTTACCATGAAGGGTGTACAATGAAAAACCCTTGGAGTTGAAAGTCGACGCACCAGAATCTACGATATATCGCATATCATCGGACTTGAACAAGGAATCTTTATCGATTTTGAGTGTCATCTCGAAGGAGAATCCATCGGCACATTTATCAGGAGCTGAAGAATAATGAATATAGAACTATGACAAGCAGGAATAGAAAGAAAACACCGAATAGATTTGAAATACAACACGTCAGATGACATTATTATTCTGCACAGCTATGCTACTTCTGGCATCGAGCACTCTTTGGCTGTCCGAGATTTTGCACTTGCGCATTTACTAATTTAAAAATATAAATAAAGATACAGCTGTTTGCAATAATTCTGACCCCCTCTGCCATATTTCATATATATCAAACTGACCTTTAATATTATGGGATATCATGACTGATATATTTTTTGAGTTGTCCAGAATGAGTACTTTCTAAAAAAAATATCAGCAATGGTATCCCATAATTTCTAAGGCTATTTTGATATATATGAATATTAGTGTAGGGGGGTCAGAATTATTGCAAACGGCTGTATAAAAATATAAATAAAGATATAAAAATATAAATAAATATTGTGCTGAATATTGCTTCTTTTTGCATCAATTCTTCGGAAAGTTAATGATGATAAGCTTTATTTGCCATGTATCAACAATGTAAACTATTTATCCAGAGTAAACGACGAAAAAGACTAAACCGCCCTGGTAGTGTATCACTCAATGAATAATCAGGGGGTGCACTTCCCTCTTAGTAGATTACTCAATGGATAATCAGGGGGGTGCACTTCCCTCTTAGTAGATTAATCAATGGATAATCAGGGGGTGCACTTCCCTCTTAGTGGACTACTCAATGAATAATCAGGGGGGTGCACTTCCCCAGGATTGCAAGTTACTTACCACTTATGCATCCACCAGCGAAATCACCGCCTCCCAACCATGCATCTTCCCCATTGAAGGCTATGCCACCACGTGTCTTCCTGATATGACCGTGTGAAATCATCGCGGCTCCAGGACTTCCAGGGATTCTATCCCCCATAATGCTATTTAGCGACCAATGGTAGCTTGGCCTAACTATGAAGTACATTGAGTTGAGGGTAAATACAAAGGGTATGGTTCATGTTCAATGATCGGCTAGACGTGATTTACGGCTATCCATTCTTTAGAGGAAGTAAAGCAAACGACACAACCCTTGTACATTCACTACTCAGGCTGCCCATCCAAAATGAAATGATGAATGAAACTTTTACCTTACACATCTCAAGCCATAAAGACAATACAACATTACTAAATCTGTAAAAGATTAGCTAATGTGCTGAGATTTTTGGTGGATGATATGTTGTTAAATGGTTAAATACTTTTGTCGTTATGATTAGGGAAATCTACGTTAGTCAATGATCAAATGCATGCATATTAAGTGAGTTGCTGAGAGCAGAATGGCAACATGCAGTACAACATGCAACTTACACTCTATTGCTTTTACTCCCAATGATTTCATGAGTTGTTCTTGGTCTACTGGAGCGATATCAATGGACTGAACATCTTCTTGCTTCATCTCGCTTGGTTGTTTTGTAACTAATTGATCACCTTGTTTTATCTGTTTATTGTTATTTTTTGCAAGTGTCTGATTTTTATCATAGTTTTTTGTTACTTGTTTATCTTCATGCAAAGCTTCATGCAGTTCGTGTTCAACATGGTTAACAAGCTGGCTTAAATATTCATGATCAGTGAGTTTTCCATCCGGGATATCAAAACTGACGCCGTCGATAACAATATGATGCTTACCTCGTTTTGCTGCTGGAGTCAAGTCCCGATTTTGTCCTGTTAACTGAACATAGGGCTGAATAGTTGGGCTGCTCATGAAATCGCTTTCCTCTGCAGTGGTCATTGCAGGTATTTCTTCAGCTGCTGGTAGCTCAGCCGAAGGTAAATCAGCCGCACTGACCATTCCAGGAATTTCAGTTGGTGGTGGGGAATCCGTTGTGTCAGGGGAATCCCCTGTGTGAATCATGGTGCTGATTGAAATCGTAGCGTCTTTCTCGTCTGGCATCCCAGTTTCATTCATTGTAGAGTTTGAGTCTCTACTAACAGTAATGGTACCATTGACATTAGGGGAGTTAAACCTCGTTTGGTTTGCTTTGATGGGTCTAGCAGTAGTTTTCATGTTGTTGATATCGTCAATCACGATCAGCTGAGGTGTTGGTTTGGTTGATTCGGATGAATGGCTCACGTGTTTAGGTTCTTTCCATATGACACTAGTTAGTGAACCTTCACGTGGATTCAAACCATCGCCTTCCTTTTTCCCATCATGCTTGCCTTTCTCTTTGGCGTCTTCTTTGCTTTCCTTTTTGTCGTCTCTGTCCCTGGTTTTCATGGCTAAAATCGTTCCATTTATTCTGCCACTTTTAATGATGACACCATCATTGATTTCACCTCCTTCAATTACTCCCCCTTCTATGATACCTCCTTTGATTTTACCAGCTAGAACAACCCCACCCTTTAGCTGCCCCCCTTCCATGACACCACCCTTTAGCACACCCCCTGTTATACTTCCTCCTTTCAAAGTACCGCCCTCAATGCTTCCATTTGTCATCTCGCCGCCAAGCATTGAACCAGCTTTAATCGTTCCTCCTGAAAGTCTACCGTACTTCAAAACGCCTCCCTCAACACTACCTCCTGTCATAAGCCCTCCTTCCATGTTACCTCCCTTGATGCTTCCTCCATGAACCTCGCCTCCTTTCATAACGCCACCCTCCAGACTTCCACCATGGAAGAGACCACCGAGAAGAATCCCTCCCTTGATATTCCCTCCATAGATAGAACCTCCTCGTACCTGTCCACCATACATGTTACCACCTCTCATTCGTCCTCCTTCAAAAGAACCGTTGATCAAGTGACCTCCCTCCATTAGTCCATCGTGGAAAACTCCGCCTTCCATTGTTCCATTTTTGAATTTTCCTCCTTCTACATGCCCACCTTTGATAAGACCTCCCTCGATGTTGCCTCCCTCGATGTTACCTCCTTCAATGATCCCACCAGTTATTGTCCCTCCAGTGATTTTACCCCCCTGAATTCGTGTCCCTCTGATTCTGAAAGGTTTGGTTCCTGGCACATGAACTTGCTCAGCCTGCTTGATAACAGGAGGTTCGTGAGGTTTGTTTGGCTCTTCATGCTCTCTGTCTGGCTGTTTTCTCGAATTCTTTTGCTCTTTTTCAGACTCGTGTTGTAAAATCTCTTGCTCTCGATCGGGTCGTCGCTCGGAGTTTTCTCTTTGAGAGGAACTTTCTTGTTCTCTTTCAGACGGCCTTTGATCTCCTCTATCAGGTCCTCTTTGTGAATTCTCTTGCTCTCTATCTGGTCTTCTTTCTCTCTCAGGCAGTCTTCGATAACCATGTTCTTCTCTACCCCTATAGGGTCGTCGTTGTGGGCTTTCTTGTTCTCTATCTGGGAGCCTGTGTGCATGATCTTGATCATCGTCTGGGTGTTTGTGTTGAAATCCAAATATGCTAAAAGGATTGAAGAAAGGGTTGAGGAACGGACTATAGCCATTGATAGTACCTGCCTGACTCGGTTCAGCGTAGCCCTTGTGCCCGGAATCAGAAGCATGTTCAGGCTTGCTGTCTGAGTAGTCTCTGTGTCCAGAGTCTGAGTCGTAGTTCTTCCTGGAATGCACTGGTCTGCTTTCCTCGTACTCTTTGTGTCCTGGATTGTAGTCCTCGCTAACAAAATCATGGTTTACTTTATTGTCACCGTAATCATCATGCGCAGTACTTGCATGGTTATCAGCTACATGGGCTCCTTTGTTGTCCGAGTAGTCCTTGTGACGAGTATCAGAATTGTATCTATTACTACTGACGGGCTGACCTTCCTTGTTGTCTGCGTATTCCTTACTTCCGGTACCCGTGTCGTCAGTTCTTGGTGGTGGCTCGGCCTTTCGTTCTTTTTCAATGTGTTCAGCCGTTGTCTCAAGTGGTTCGGGCGTTTTATCAACTGAGTAAGGATATCCCAAGGCGTCAGGATCTTGTTCTTTGGTTTTTAATGCTTTCTTGTCATTTTTGTATTTGCCTTTTTCACTACTTTCATAGTCATCTTTAGTACCAAAGTGAGATTTGGTTGGTCGAACTTTCTTCATTTTCATTTCAGGCTTTTTGCCTTGTGAAATATCGTCATAGAAGTCATCAGTATCTGATTCGTCCGGGTTATCAGAAAACACCTCGTACCCAGGACCTGCGTCCTTGTACTTTTGGTTTTCTTCGTCTGTGATCTCTTTATGATCTTCGTCATTACGCCTATTCTCGTCATAGTGACGTAAATCTTCTTCATCGTGACGTAGATCGTCGTCATGGTAATGTGCAGTTTTACTTTGCTTTACGTTCTCGCCGTTCAGAGCGTGAAAGTAGTCAGTCAACTCGCCGTCATCTATTTGTTTGACTTTGTCAATTGTGTTATCCTCATTATTAAATGCTTCAGTTTTCTCTCCTTGTCGGTACAAACTTGGTACGTCGTCAATTTTGCTGATATCATCTATAATACTTCCTCTAGCTACAGCCTTCTGGGATTTATCCATAGACGGAATGTTTGCTTTCGCGACTTTTTTCTTGTCATCGCCTGCACTCTTACTGTCAGCAGATTTACTAATGTCCTTTGATTTGTCGTCATGTGACTTTGCTCCATGTGACGACTTACTTTGAAGTGCTTTTTGACCTGATTTGCGATCATGAGATTTGTTTGTAAGGGAACCATCGCCCATAAAATTAAGTGTCAGGAGACTCTTGTCACCGCTTGGCTTTTTATGCTTTGACTTGGCGTCAGTATAAGTAACCATGGTAACAGCGACCAGTAAGACTGTCAACAGACCTATTCTAGTTTCCATGGTGAACTGTGAACAAAAATATTACTTTTAGATTTATATTATAACAGAAATATACTTTCAACTGTGTTTAATTTTAATTGATTGCTTATGGCCAGTACTGTGAAACTACGCCCAGTCCTTGCACTGTTGTCATGGACGAGATAATGTCCAGTGTAGTGATTGAATATAATTCACTACGATTAAACGTACCTCGATATTTAGTGAATCCTAGCAAATCAGGATAACTTATAAGCTGTTAAAAGATTGTTCTACCAGATATTGCTCTCGAAACTGCTGACGATTTTTTCCGAAATACATGATTTGCCGCCCGTATAGTCTATATCATGACATAATCCCAACACATTGTAATATCATTCGTGGGCGTTGGATGTTTTATCGTCGTATTAGTGACTACAGACAATCTAACTGATCGGCGATGTGATCACATGAATGAAACTATTGTCTTTTGTTAACCAATTATAGTAATGCTTCTTAGGAAGTTAAGGTCTAGTGAGGACGAGGCTAAAAACATTACTCATTGTCACCCTAAAACCTCGACTTGAAATGCTCTGTGCATGGTTGCTCATCTGGATAATCGACTTCTGTTTGTTTTATAATAGAAATTACTCTTTTTTTACTCTTATTATTAGTTGTATTTTTATCAAGTTTTAGATTGTAATGGTATTTTATCTTAAGTTTTGTAGGAATTTCTCCAGAATAGTACCAAAAAACTGAGTTCAATTACCGAAGAGCCGCCATATTGTATTTGACGCTTATGTCACAGTTTTCATAAACACGTAAACGCAACATGAATCTTATATTTTTCAATAAAAAAAGCAGCCAAAAAAATAATAATAATGATTAGAATAAATCTGAGTTAGTTTGATTTCCTCGCTGGTGTCAGGAGTGATGAACAACCAATGAAAATATTGGATTATTAATGAGGTGCTTTTTCAAAATGAATTGATATTGTGTTATTAAGTTAGAAATACATATCAAACTAAGCAATCCGATTAAAACACGGCAAAACTGAGTGAAATCGTTCTAAACGTATTTTTACTGTTTTTCATTAAACTGAGAATAACAATGTGAGCTTCATTGAAACGTTGCTTACAAGTCGAGGCAAATTAAAGGTTATTTTGTCTGGAAGCAATTTGTTTTCATCATAACTTTTATAAAAACATCGAAAGGTTATATCACTATCAAGATATTCACGATATCTACATCAAGGGGTACAATTGTTGTTATAATGAAATTGAAAAATTGCTTATTTGACCCTTACCTGTTTCAAACTCGATTAACCCAAATATTCGTTTAGTTAAACTTCGTCAAATATACTTTAAAAAAAAGACTTTTCTTCGCAGTGTTCTATCCTATTGGCTTGATTTCCATGGCACTTTTTCCTCCTTCTAGATTTTGTAATTCGCTTTCATTTCCAAAACTTGAAGGTTGTTTCAGGCCAACCACAATGGGATCAAGTCAATACCACAGAGCATGCGTAGACCGTGTTAGGTGAAAATCCTCTTTAAAATGACAAGATGTTATTGGAATGCCTTTCACATCAATTGGCGAACAAGGACCTAATTCACTTATTTGTTTAGTCTTTAAAAAACGCAAAGGAGAGAAAAAAAAACATTAAAAAAAAACAAATACAAGAAAAACAACAACAGTCATATACACAACTTCAAAAATATCAAATAAATAGATATTTTTGATGAAATCTGTAGAAAATTACGACATGTAAAGATAGAGTCAATTTTGGTTTAAGATGCATATCACACGTATGTTGCCTGTATTTTATTTACAATGCAAAAAGTTAAAACAAAATATTTTTTTTAATCGACAAAACTTAAAGTAGCAATGATGCAGCATTCACAAGATTTTTTGAAATGCCGCAAGGTTGCAATAAATTTTGATAAGACGAAATAAAATTATCCAAATTACAGTACCATTAATATAATAGTTCACTAAGGCAATTGTACAACTTATATTTCTTATCTTTTATAGAGAAACTTGTATTTCTGAAAAAGGGCCCCACTTTGTTGTTACCTAGCAACATGGCCCATGGTCCCCAGTCCCTCGGTCCATCACGGTCGATGGAGTACCAAGGGTCATTGGACCTGAGCCGGTACCAGTTGAAATGACACTTAATCTTGCAACACTGTGAATAATTGATAACCTAGGGACCGTCGGCCATCAAACACCTTACCGCTACATAATTTTATCTTTTTGTCTTCTTTTTTAATCCAATGATTCATTAAAAATAAGGAAAATTTCCTACAAAGATTTGCAACAAAGTTACAAGGTAAGTCCAAGTTTCCTGCACTTTTATTTTTGCTGTTTGGAAAAGACATCGAAATAATTACTTTATGACTAAATTGAGTAAACAAATCTTTTTTTTTTTCCGTTCTTGTTAAGTTCGCTGGTTTTGTTTTAATTTGTAAGAACTTATTTTTCTAATTTTCCATTTCGTGATCATTCAGTTCCAGGCAAATATCACCATGATCTTTAATCTTAACAGTAGATTGTGTTCTCAAAAGTCTGGGGTTTTTAAACCTGTTGGGTTCACCTGTCAAAACCAAATGGTGTATTGTTGAAAATCTCAACTGTGAAAAACACTTATTTCTTTTTTCGGTTGAATTTTTACATTTTTACCCAGATGTACGAACATACTGATATCCGTTTTTACGGAAATAGTTTACTAAGTTTATAAGTTTATGATTCTGAATTCTGTGAAGAATTGGATGATCACATACCATTACCTAATAGCTTCCTTTTTTAAATCAGATATTTTTTTGAAATGATTGCAATACTATTCTAACATGACCAGGGTTAAGTTATTGCTAAATGAAATATTCCAACAAATGACAGCCTTCTTGTTAGTGTGATCTGAATGGAAAATAAAAACACCCGAATTTCCAGGAAATCAAAGCTGAGAGTCTTGAAAGAGAAAAATAATCGTACAAGACGTTAAACTATACATTGGTTATTATTAGACGCTATCACTAAAACAAACTGATTTTCGTTCAGGTTAAGTTCAAAAATGTATCGTTTGGTTCTCGTGTGGTGTTTTGTTGCCATAGCTACAGCTGTCAAGGAATCACCAAAAAGAGGTAATTAACTAAAGGTTTATATAGATATGCTCAGTTTTACATGGAGATATTGATCAAAGGACGGGTAATGAAAAACAATCACGCCTATAAAATACTTCTTTCGTGTTGCGTTCACCAACTGAAAAAAAAAACGGAGGAAAAGTGCTGTAAGAATATGAAACACCATTTGACGTTGTTGTTTAAACTGTGCGTTATTTTCTTGTAGACAGTATTCTGTCGTCCATCGATTCTGGTGAGATCCACAATTTCGATGAAGGCAAAGGTACTCACGAACACGAGATCCGATCAGCCTTCCCCATCATGGATGCCTTCAAAGGTCACACACTGCTCACAGCAGACGACTTGAAGGACAAGAGAGAGTATGATTACGGCGATGAGAGCACTATTGATAAAGCAGTACGAAATGCTCTCAGAAAACTGCACAAAAAGAAGAAATTGTACAACGATGCTATCTCTAAAGCAAACCAAGATGTAACCACTACAGCTGTTCTTCCAGCCAAGAAAAACATCACAGCCCGGGAACTAGTGGACCAGGTGGTGAGAGATGAACTTAAAAAACATGGCCACAATGAAAAAGAGTCAAACGATAAAGCTGCTGAGGAATTCAACGACTCCAATATAGGACCACCACCTTCTTCTGACGATGATGCGGACTCGTTCGAGAAGAATATTCACAAGAAGTTGGCACAGATTTCGTCCCTTGAGAACAAACTCACAAGTCTTGTAACTGATGTTAAGAAATATTTAAGAAAGAAGAAGTCTGAAGACCCCAGCAGTGATAACTTTGGATCACTACAAGACAATGATGATGTGGATCGTATCTTAGCTTATTCTGGCAACAAGAGAAACCAAATACCCCGCAGTCACATTGAACTATTACAAAAGTTCCGCAATAATCCCGAACTAGTCGACAAGTACATTGATGGTATCTTAGATTCTAAAGACGAAAACACTGCTAACGGTGAGCAGCGGGACTTGCTACGCAAAAAAGAAACAGAAAGTGCCTTATTACGAGATGCCGTGCCAGGTGACATCAATTCTATTCCATTATCAAGACTAGAGAAGGAAAGTGACGATTACGACAACATGGCTACAGACAGAGGAATTGCAAGAGATGCATTGATCGAGTCTCCTTTCTCCATGCTTGATATCAAGAAGACCACAGGAAAGAAGTTTCGACACGATATCACTTGAATAGACATTTACAAGGGGCTGAGACAAGAACTTTTGGTCTACATTTACTCAGCTCGCACAGACAGCCTTTATTTCTATATTAAAAACCTAGTTAGTTAATTAGTTTTGATAAGCTTCTACGAATGCTTCTCGAACTTAAGGCAATATTTACGCAACCGGCGAGAACCACAGTCTGTGGGAAATTCAAAATGTTACTTGCGCGAGTGGCCGTCGCAGTAATCGTTAAAATCGCGGTAAATAAAAGCTGGAACATCTCACAGATAAGGCAAAAAAATATCATGAATTATTCATCATGAAATAATCTGAAAAGTTTAGAACCATCATATTTAAATACTATTTACAAAAAGAATACTTAAACAGGAGTTCAAAGGAAGGCTTTTTTCTAGTTGAGAATAATTATGTACCGTCGCAAAAGTAATACTTTACATTTTCATTGCAATAGAAATATTGATTCTGTTAATAAACAAGTTATTTTGTACACGAAAAAAATGAATTTCAGTCTCGTAATGTGCATCATTAAATAGAGCAATGGTCTGTATATTCCAAAATCAATACACTTTCCTACTATGATAATTCCTTATAATTCGTGCCTTCACGAGTCTCTCAAAGCTTTGTGCATCACACACGGGACGTTTCTATCATTTCTACTTTGCTTCGTTTGGATCCGATGAACACGGAGTGGAAACATGAATTGATCACTCTATCTCCCTCGAGCCCTCAGTTTTTTATATCGCAAATCGCGCTGTTCATGTATGTCGTCTCCCCAGTCATAGTCTTTGGAAGCTATTCTCTGTACTTATCAAATTTGCGACATAAAAAAAAAACAAGCAACATTTTCATTTCCAGGACACTCTCCCCTTAGTTTGACACTTTTTTAATAATAAAAGTTTATAAATTTACACCATAGTATCGTTGTAAATCATCAAGGATAAATTGTTTGTATTTTTATGTCAAGTGGAACGCAAGACGAACAAGAAAATGATTCCGGATCCTTCAGGCGATATGACGATAAATGATTATTATGATTATAATATGCAAATTAATGTGATGCATCAGTAATATATCTTCTACAGTTTTGGAGTGTAGAGTGGATGTCCGTTCATAACTAAATCAGTGTCCAGGTTATGATTCCTATAGAGACCTTGATTGCGGTTTGTTAAAACAGGCGTCAAGTCTTGAAAACACCATCTGCAACGATATATTACCAGGGAAATTAAATCACTGACGATAATCGTGATTAGAAGATTATTTGTTTGAACTTAATCTCAATGCAGAAATCACAAAATCAATCATTGCAATTGCTTTTCTGTGAGTTGTATAATATAATCATGATATTGTAGTAGTAAGTCAATGATTTCAGTTCTGATTTCGTATGAGTGAAACGACATGGCACAAGCAACCACGGAACAGTGGCAGAGTCTCCCTTGTATAGTATAAACAACATAAAAGAAACAAAACCCAGGAAAAATATAACACATAGACAGTTGGGTAAGATCACAGCAAAAACGTAGCGCTACTTTAGCATACGAAATCTGCTCTTTGACAACAAGGATATGATGGTGACGCGGATAATGACAGCTGGTGACACAACGATAATGACTAAGAAAGCAATAGCGCGGGCAATGGAAGAGGTGACGATGAAAAAAGTAATTAACTACCTTTTGGCGGTTTCTGCATCCACGATTGTTGCTTCCTCCCAAGATGCATGTTCAATTAACAGCGCACCTAAAATTACATGTAAAAGTGACTTAAAGTATCATGACATCCACTAACAACACTGACTACAAAGCGTATGTAGTATATAGAATATATAGTAGGTGAATTGCTCTATTTCATTATATGACTTCACATCATACTATTGTTATAACATTAAGGATTATGGTCAACATAGTATAGCTTATCCTGTCCATACAAACTCATATAGTGCTAAACCACTCCTCTCGCGGAGAAACGCTTCAACTGGCTTGCTAAGAAACACGAAATAAGAGGCACGAAAGGGCTAAGGATCCGCCATCAATCGTCATGACATGAACCGGACCCTTACCCTGCCTTACCTTTCTACAAAAGCTATGAAATAAAGAGTCAAAACTGTCATATTACCAATATAAATCCTGGCCAATGAGTAAGCGAAGTCCCTTGATGCAAGAGGTTGAGACAAGGTATCAAAGTTTTCAGGCAACATGAGATTTGAAACAGCTTGATCTAGTAAATCACATGATGATTTCAAAGCAGGGCTGTTAGCAGCTCTCGCCATCTTGGATAACACAGACGAATGAAAGGCACGAAGTACCTGGAAAAAAATGATCAAGATAAAAAATTTTGCCAACAATTAACCAGCCAAACTATAGGTTTTTTGTGCCTTAATTGGAGTAAGTCCGCAAAGTTAAATTCCAGCAATAACGTTTTGGATTCTATTAATTATGAATGCGTAACATTGCAGTAATATTAGATGTTCTAGTACCTGTCCATTAGTGTTGTGTATTGCTCGTAAGACATCCAGTGATAATACATTGGTAGTACCCTCCCATATTGGTAACACCTGAAGATAACAAATTAGATTTATAAAATCAGCATTGTAATAAATATGAACAACTATCGGTCCTGCACATCTGTACGTGTATTGCTTATAGTGTAGGATGCATTTTGTCTTTACTTTTTTTTCTTTCTCCTACTTTCTCTTTCTTTCCATTTATTTTCTCTTTCATGTCTTGTTTCGTGATTTTGCTAATATAAATTGGAATATTTGTCCTCTTTTTGCCTTTATATTTCTTTTATTTTCTCTTTCCGTCTTTTTTCTTTTCCTTTTATTAACCCACCCATATATGGACCACCTATCTATGGCCCGCAGCAACAACAATTCTATGGGGCGCGTGGTACTTATTTTTTACCTGGGCATCTCTCATGATTCCAGGAAGACCTGTATCCTCTATGTAACCCTGGCCACCGAAACACTCCAAACCTTCTGATGTCACCGACATTGCCTGGAAAAGTTACACAGGTCAATTATTGTTGAATATTTAGTAAAATAATCGACCATACAGTGACATAAGGCCTTGTTGGCATTGTCCGCAATCCGTGTTGCCACATTTCGCTCATTTGATTTAAAAATCATCGATGTCTTGGAATGTCCGTGGAATAAATACTATATATTTTCTCAGTGGTGTAACGAACAAAAAAAAATGAATTTTAAGCTGTAAATTACGTTTTTGATAAAAAAAACTGAAAGAAATATAAATTACTGAAGGGACTAAATAAACCTCCTGTCAAGTACCGAGAAAAGTATGTTGGACTGACCAGGAAGTACATGCGAACTTTGTTCATTAATGTTTCCATGATATTTCGTTTCTGTACCTGTTTAGCGGTGTAGAGCTTTGATATCGGTGTCAAAAGTCTCAGCAAGTTTAGTTGTTCTTCATTCGCCATTTTACAATCGTCTAAACCAAGAAGTCGGCTGAGTTCCATCAACAGAAGAAAACTACCTCTTACTTCAACCTAAAAAAAAGAACAAATATAATATCCATTCTTTAACCCTTTGTAAATCTCTATTGAGCAAATATTAATGATGCTTAAAGCATTTATTTTATTCAACCAATCGCTTGTCTGTTCAATCGTTTTTACCTCCAGTCTCGCCAGTGTCTGCATATGCAAGGGATGGTCAATCAAACGTTTGCCAAACACAGATCTTCTGAGGCTGTAGTCCTTAGCGAGACTGACAATCCTTAAAAAAATATTTCTTAATATCTATCAACTGTCACTCAGAGGACAACTTCAGTCCAAACACGTTTATAACATTTAGACAGGATCTACATTGCATACTCCCCCTGATTTCTGTCTTACCTTCTCATGGCAGACACAGCTGAGATAGAATTGTGAATACGGCTGATAGTCAACATATTGGATATACCAGCGACGCCACGGCCTTCCTCACTTATCTAGGATGATAAAATACTGTCACAGTTACAGAATTATCACCTCCAAACATAACGATAATCTTGATACAAATTTTGCCCAATAAACATGATCGCAAAGGATATTTCCGATTTGTTTTTTCCTACAAGATTGAAGGATGGAAAACTAAATATGTTGATTCAAAAACTCAATTACCTGATGTGCTACTGCTCCATCTAAAAGCAGCTCTGCAGTTGGTAGTTGCCGAGTTCCAAGTTTGTTTTTAAGTCTCTGGATTGAGCAAATGAATATATTCATGTAAACAAGTAATACTGCAAAAGTAGTAAGATAATTAACAATCTTACTTGCACTTCAATGTTGTTTAGTTTTCCATTTTCATCTCGCATTTCAAGATAAAACATTGTCAGTCCTTTTGATCCCTAGAAAAAGGTTTTTGAATGGTGCAGCTAAGAAATGAATGTACTAGACATCTCCAAATTGGCAAGTTAAGATACATAGAGCATATAAAGAAATGGAAAATGTGAAATAATAAATGGAATTAGACAAAGAGGATTAAAAAAAGAAGATGCTTAGCCTAATAGGAAGAGAGAGAAGAAGAATACATTGAGTAGAAGATTGAAAGGTATGGAAGAAGAAGGGAGGAGAAAATGAGAAGGAGAAAAAAATGGAAACAGGCATGGCAAAGAAGACAGAAAAGTTTGAAAAGAAGATTGAAAAAAGACACAAAAGATGGTAAAAGAACTGGGAGAATGTACAGACAGAAAGAGGTTGTATAGATGAATCAAAAAGAGAGATTCAACAAAATCAAAAGAGAGATTCAGACAATACATACATTGATGAAAGATCCATCAGGCTGTTGTATTCTTGCTAGTGTTAAGCACATGTCAGCATCAGTAGCTGAACTAAACCACTTGTAGCCATACAACCTGTAGGTACCATCGGTTTGAGGAATGGCTTGTGTTTCTGTACCATTAGCTTTAGCCAAACACAAATGACATATTATTGTTTTATTGTGACTTGACTCTGTATGGAAGCTGGTGACCTCACCTACGTCTGATCCTCCCTGCCTCTCAGTCATCCATTGCCCTGATGTCCAAAATACCCATGGATCAGTGCTGATAAGACTATCATATGCCTTCTGGAAGATTGTGTCTGTAAGCTTGCAAACCTTCATACAAGAGAAATTAACAATTTAATTGAAAAGCATTTTAAATACAACCTGACAAGCAGTGTTTTCACAGAACTCAATAACCAACTTTTGAATTTTGCCTCGGTAGACAAACACAAAGGAATCAAGACGAGGTACTGTTCTTAAAGCTCAGTCATTTGTGAATTAAGACAATAGTTTTTCATGATTCACTGAGCTTTATGCACAGTGCCTCATCTTGATTCTTTTGTGTTTGATTACTGGGGCTGAATTCGCAGGTCAGCTATTTGTTTTACACTTTTGCTAGTATTTTTGTCAATTTGCAGCTTTTTAAATTTCAATTTAGTCATTTGTACAGATCTTGAGCCAGGTATTTTTCTTTACAGCCCTCCCACTCCGTCAATCTCTACATATAGACTACACATACCTCGATAGTCTTTGCTGCACCATCAGTCATTGCCAATGGACAGGAGTACAATCCAGATGATGGTGAAAACAGGTAAAGTTTAATAGTTTGGTAAATACGACTGGAAATTAATCAATAAATCTTGCATAAGATCATTTATTCTTTTGCAAAATTCATGTTAGAAATTCAAAATGTTGAAACAAATACGGTCAACTCTCTCGTAAGCGACCACCTCGGGATCAGGAAAAAGTGGTTGGAGATGGTCGCCTACGAGAGAGTTTTTACAGAGTGTATATGGGAAACAATTATAACGGGAAATTTAAAAGGTGCTCGCTCACAGGATATGGTCGCTTACGAGAGTGGTCGTTCAAACTATATCATATCATATATTTAACTATCCTTGGGAACTGGGCGGCAGAAGGAGTCTTTTAGGGTTTAAGATCAACTGATAAGGATAAGATTGATGCAACAACTTTTTATGGTCTTTCTTCTATGAATGAGGAATGATGGATCATGCTACAATGCAGTCAATGGAAAGTACCTCCACTCCTGATATTTCCTGTTATAAGCAGTTGCTATCAAGCCTTCTTTAGCTGAAATATCGTGCAACTGATTCCATGCATTACATGTATTGATGTGATCTATTCGTTGGCCCCAAGCATCAAAGTGGTCAAGGGTTGGAGGATTTTTCTCACATTCCCTACCCAAGTCATTGATATCTGTTGCAACTCTGTGACCAAACTGTACAAGATCTGGTGTAATTTCATCAAGAACCTAAACAAACCAACCAATATCATTATTAACCAATTCTCAAACATTCATCTGCGAAACACATAATTCTCAATTTCAAAAACACTTTTACAAGTGGCAATAACAAGCAACCATTTTTATGGTATACACCTCCGACACCTCCCCAGTCCATACCTACAATTCCTAGATAAAACATGGGTTTATTATTGAATTTTTTTTTATAAATTGAAATAAGCTATATGCCCAGAAGAATATCTGTTACGCTGCCTAGTAAAGAAGGAAATAGCAGACAGTATCAAATGGTGCAACGTCCATCCCATCAGCTTGATCAACTACAATGCAACTGAAGAATTCACGAAAAACTGACCCCAGTATATTAGCTTACTAGACCACAAGGCTCGGGTCATGAAAAAAAAAGTCAAAATCGCGTTCTTCTATCAAAGAATAACACTTTGAAAAATGCATTCAAACCTGTTTAGGTAGAATTCTCTTCAAGCAAGCTTTAAGATGAACATCCGTCGTAAACTGATTGTCAAGTTCAGGGGGGTCTTGAAAGAAGGTCCCTCGACGGGACCTACCAAACTCTTGCGTCGAATTCTTGACATTTTCAGCGCCTCTTGTATTTCCATCAAAAGCATGTTTTTCTAAGACAACAGAAGAACTGCATCTGACAGCAACATACTTAATATCCAGTAGAAACTGTCTTGAAATTGTCGTAAAATTCGGTGCTTTCGTGATTGCTTGATGCAGAGGTTTATGAAAACTGCGAATCATCGCTCATCAGAAACTTAAAATAGTAAGTTATTCAGTGAAAAACTTCACAACTCTCATCATCATGTCTTCAGTATGGACTACATTAAACCTCTGAATGGTTTTCTTGGATTATATTTTACGAGAATGGACGATTTCAAATATAACCCATGCCAGAAGAAACCTATTCCAAAAGAAAAACATACCACAGGAAGCCCAATCTTAGATCTTTTACGCACAGGAAACCCAAACAACATCATCGTGAAAAATGTTTTTATTATAAAAAGTGATCTCATTAAAATGTACTAGCAGTAATTAATAATAATCATGCTACATCTATTGTCCACGATGTCAACACATGAGTAATATAAAGCATGCTGGAGATCATTATAAATATATAATAAAAAAATATACAAAAGCAAAAAAACCGTGTAGAATTATTTTGTGTACTCTTTCACTAAACGAAAGAATTCTAAGAGTGTTTTTTGTACAATTGTTTATGTACAAAATTACAAAAATCGGTCATGTACAATATATAAACAACGAATCAAATTGTGTGCAAATATTGTTCGAGTCTTCTATCCAGGGGCGTTGCCGTTGCCACCAAGAACGCACCACTCCGTATGGCTCCAAAACGCTGCAAAAATGAACTCAAAACACGATATATCTGTTGTTTTCTGCTAATGCTCTTGAAGAAAAAACTGGAAAACAATAAGTACACACGTTGCACGTGTAATTGACACATCGTCCCAGCTACCATTCACAAGTTACCTGTAATCCTTCGTACTTTCTCTTAGTTTCTGAGTTGAAATGTTCCACCTGTTCTGCCATTATAAAAAATTCAAGGCTTGTAATCCGACGCTAAGATGACGGGATTTCTGAAATCCCCTCACGACATAGAACATTACATAAAAATGAATACTGAAATACTGATACTGTTACGTCGCTGATGTCCATGAAGTGTAATATGACTCGTTCAGTTTGTCGTTGTATGACGTTGTAGGGCGATGGATGATGCACATTAATGATGACGTAATACGAGTTGGTCAGTCAATGTCGTTGTATGACGTCGTAGGATGATGGTGACGCACATTAATGATGACGTAATATGAGTTGCTCAGTAATTGTCGTTGTATGGCAGTATATGTAATGACGTCGTAAGGATGATGGATGACGCACATTAATGATGACGTAATATTGTCATTGTTGTTGTATAGCGGTATTTTTGTATGACGTTGTGGAATGGCAGCACACATGACGTAAACATTGATGACGTAATATGATATGATTGCAGAAGTCACTGTCGTTGAATGTCGTACATTTAGATCTGTCAAAAGAAATGATTCAAACTTTGGACGTTAGTTATATACTTTATTATTTCGCTAATATTTATTACAAAAATATACATATTGTTCTCAACGGAGGAGAATGGTAATTATACAGACAGCCATAACGATCTTGGGACAAGGTTAATACTATGATCATTCACTATCTACGATGTTGTTTTGTTTTTGTGATCGCCTTCTTTTTACTTACAGAAGGAAATGCTAACGCATGCGCACTGCAGCAGGTCACGTGACATCCGGGAACACACATGTTGTAGCACGACTTGTCACAGGTATTGGGTACTAACGCTCTGTACGACAGCGGAGAGGCTGGTGACGAAGTAAGTGTGTTTGGTCTGTACGATAACAAGTCACTTCTTCTTCCTACCATGAAATGCATGATGGTTATTAATCACCTATGTATTTTGCTACCATATTGCTGCAAAACTCTAAGCCTAAAGAGCATTAATGAGACAATGGTTCACTTCGCCATCTTGAAAGGTAGCCGTGCCTCTGCATCGAAACGAGACAAACGTTGAGTATGCAATGATAGAAACCTGTGAGGTGTAAAGGGAGGTTTTTTTCATTGTACACGCGCTTCGTCTCGCTTAAGGGGTGACTACCATTCAAGATGGCACAACTAGGAACCGTGTAGGAGACTATTGCATGATTTCCTACACAAGATCACGCACTAGTACGTTACATGTACTTGACATTGACATGAATGACGTGACAAGTAAGATTGTAGATTTGGTATTACTAAGATACCTGTCGTTTTACAAAATCCCCAAGACTTGTCGGTATCATAATTGGGCGTGGTCGCACACCAAAGATCCCCTGTACGTGCATGGGTGATACATTTATCGTAGACTGTATCTTGGAAGATAAAAGGCATTGCACAGCACTTTCCAGCAGAGTTACCACCTGAAGTCTTGATGCACTTGATGGGCTCTTGCAAACAAGACACGTAACAATTCGTTTAGAGACATCCAAAACAAGAACTAACTACAGTAATATACTATGGGAATCATGGAACTATCCTTAATATAATAGGCATTGTCTATTGATTGCTTAGAAAACAAGAACCAACTACAGTATATGGAAGTATATGGAAGTCATGGAACTATCCTTAATGTAATAGGCATGCATTGATTGCTTAAAATGTTTTCAATAAATATTTCAGTCAGGACAGCAATAAGAAAAACACTCAAGGGGATCAGAAAATACACACAAACTGAGGTGGTTAGTTACCAATAATAACAATAAAGTGCGCAATTCTGTACAACACCGTAAACGAATTTGTAGAACAAGAAACAACAACACCAACCTGCACATGGCGTAAGGATACAAGCACGTGATTCCTTAGTAGTACCCAGGCACGCTCTTTTCGGTAAACATGTTCGACTTCTTGTCTGGAGCCCATTTCCACACGAGGCACTGCAAGGACCAAAGGGTGACCATTGGCTAAAACCATCGGCAGCAGTGGAACCAGTCGTTACGGTTTTTTTTATTTGTTCTGAAGAAAGTTTTTGCTCTTCAACTTTCAGAAAGGTTTCGATTTCTGTAAGAACAAAATCATAAGAAGAAATAATGCATTATAAATACTTTTGTGGAAGTTTTCGGCTTATACAAATGCACGCGTTCTCCCTATAAAGAGCTTCAGTGACTAAGTGAGAAGTTTTGTTCTTGGTTACTGTATTTTGAGTTTTGGAGCAATGTGACATAAATGATTTTAATCATTAAAACTCTTGATTAAACAAGCGCGCTCATGGTCGTTCATACTATTGCTGAAATGGCGAAAAATTTCTGTATAGAGCACAACATTTCATATTGAACAAATTGTAGGAAGTCCCCAAGCTTTTCGCTGCCTGGGTGAAAATAAACGGACGGTAAACAATGTCTAATCTAGTATTTACATTACCATCATTAGTAAACTGGCCGTTCTTTGATAGGTATATACTTCTGTAGGGTAAATCACAGGGTCCTGGAATAACTGTGATTACATTATTATTGTTCAGCAAGATGTCATCTTTATCGTCCAAGTCTTGTGCGTAGAAATGTACTTTGCGATCCTTGCGAGCATGCTTAAAGATCGTCTTGAGTTTGAACGTCTCTGCTGTCACCAGATAGCCTGCTCTTTTCATACTTGACACGATTCTAACCGGTTTGCGAATTTTGTTGTAGAACCTGATGCTTATGCACTTGTCTAGACAGCGCAAAATAAAATGATATCATTTAGTGATGGATGTGGGATGTGGAGTAGTCTAAATTAAGGACTGCGCAATATTTATCAGGAGGGAGGGTTGAGAATCGAGAGGGGGGTCAAAAGCTAATTTTATGTGCTTAAAAAGGGGGTAACGTTTGGGGGGAGGGGTGTTGGGCGGGAATAGCTAAATTTTTCGTTTGTGCGGGGGAGCGGGCTCATTTTTCAACCACCCCTCTTGATAAATATTGCATAGTCCTTATATCAAGTGTTGATGTTGATAAAGCAAGAATGACGAGCAACACCCAAAACGATATAAATTAAAACAGCGAAACACGAACCAAAAAAATAATAAAAAGCAAATGATTTGACAAAAACAACAACAAACAATACCTCCCATGTTATAAACAGCTGTTTTCGGATCGATAACCTTTGGTTCTCTGCTGTTTGCCGGTGTCTCCCCAGATCCCCGCCCAGATCCTGGACTAGTAAGTGATTTAGTCTGTGATGTTGTTTGCGCTCCTGCCTCTTGAACGTTTCCCACCGCTACAAATTTAAACGATGGCGCCTTAGATGACGGTGGTAACTGGCTGGGCGGCGTTTTGTAGGCTGTATTACGGGACATCGTGAGGACTTTTCCAGGACGCATGGACCCAGGCCCTAACGGTTGTCCAACTTGACCCACTCCCCATTTCGATGCATAATTCAATTTATTTGGATATTGGTACATTGGATTTTGGGAATTGTAAGTTGTCGAATAAGCCGTATTTTGTTTCTTGATTCCGGATATGTACCCGGCATATTGCATACGGGGTATTGTCTTCATTGCTAAAGCCTTTCTTCGTAATGCATTAAGATATCGCATCCTTGCGACTTTGTATCTATTTAGTTGTTGATTTCTCTGAAAAGTGTTCCTCATCAGAGCTGGGGAAACTCCATGGAATGCTTTTACTTGTAAAGGTTTAGGGAACATTTTTGCTAGGGTGCTAGTATGATAAGGTACTAGGGGCTTAGCGATAGGCATCATGTTAGGCATTAATGATGACAATTGATGGCTCATTTTCTTGGGGAGCACATTGACTTTTGTTGATCTGTGTGGCGCTACATTTTTATGGGGCATATTGGATAGGACCGACTTTTGTGGAGGTACATTTTTAGGGACCATATTAAGTAAGGGTGATTTTTGAGATGACACCTTTTTAGGGGGCATATTGGATACAGGTGATGCTTGAGGTGATACTTTTTTAGGAACTGGATTAGCACCCGCCATATTCAATGGAGGTGCCCCCTTTTTAGGGACAATGTCGTGAGGTGTTCCTGCTACCGATTCAGGGGTACCAACAATAGGAGCAGGCATCGAGTCGGACTTCTTTTGTCCATTCTTCACCGACAGTATTCCACCAAGAGACTCTTGAGAGACTAAACTATCCAATAATTCCGCAGCTTTTTCTTCTTCTTTCTCATCGTTATCACTTTCTTTTGGCCCCGAGTATATTTTATGAACAGATTGACGGAAAACGCATTTCTGGTCGAATTCCTTGCTCCGAAAGACTTTAGAATCTGCCCTGAGTATGAATGGCTTTTTAATATCATGGCAAACAAACCATCCAGGATGTGTAAAGAGTTCTAAAGAAATACTGTCAGCACCAAATGGATGCCGTTCAATGAATGTAGAGTCTTTTTCTGAAATAACAAACAAAACTTCAAAAACATGAATAGGTTCGTAAAAATTAGACGGAATGATTCTATGAGGCTACAACTCCTGTCGAGGAAACTTGTGGATCCTCTCCATGTGAAAAATCGTGGATCCTCTTACGCGAATATTTTCATGAATCTCTTACCAAATAATCCAGTTGGTTTAGCTTGTTCCAGGCGAAACTTGTAGTTTTTATATCTTAAGTACAACCCCGGCCGTACATTAGACTCCAGAGAAACACTTCTAGCGACATGTTGGAACCCAGGCCTATGTAGCCGAAACATCGTTGGGTTTTGGCCGAGGAAGACTGTGTTTTCTTGAGCATGGACACCCATTCCATTGTATGCTCGTTTGACGTTTTCCACCATATCAGGTAAATCAGCCAGAGACGTGGAAAATAATTGAGTTAGCGTAATATTTTTGCCAGCTGAAAAGTATTGAAAATAGTTAACACAATGAATAAAGTCTGTGATGACAATAAATTATGGATCATAGAAATATGGACTGAAATGATCTATTGGAAACTATAGGTACTTTATGTGGCTTCTGACAATACGTTGCTTGGTATCGCTCCCTTTGAGTTTTCAAGAGATTATTATTTGTTATTTTCTAGTTTGTGAAGATAGGACAATCCTTCATCCGAATGGTGATCAGACGGTTTTATCGTCCTGCGATGTCAGCACTAAGAGGTTCTCAGTAATGGCAAAATACCAGTAGAAAGAAAGTAAAATATTACATGGGTGCACAGTCTTACTCACTATGAAAGGCTAGTTGTTGGGTAGACAAGAGCGTCACTAAACAGGACAGCACATCATGCTGTGCTATACTATAGATATACTGTTGTCAATAACGACCAGGCTATAACAGAATCGCAATCACGATAAACAGCCGATGCAGAATCTTGTGAACAGATTGTGGACATTTTAAGCTCTCTATTTGAAACAACTAGCCGGGATAAAAGGAACCTTTACATCCTCTGATTATATTTACATTATATTCACACGAGCAAGGTGTGGTCGATACTATCGATCGCCCATTGCTGTGGGAAGCTATGGTCGTATGTAAAACAACCATTATAAAAATATATATATACATATAAATAAAATAAATTCATGTTTTACGTCTAGATACTGGGAGTCGTCACCGAGTCTCCCTAGACAGTTGCTATTGTTATGTATCAGACTCATTCACACTCACGACCACTAAACAATAAATGTTTAAGCACAAAACACTCCTCTCTCTCCTTTTAAACTTAGAGAGCACTCGGATGAAGGAGCCATTATTATATATTATTGTTGGGATGGAAGTAAGAATTTATCTGGAAACATCTCAGCAACTATTACAAGGGTTTTTCAATTCACTTCGTGCTCAAGAAACCAAATCCAAAATCATTGGCTCACAGACTCCAGCTTCTCACTCAGTATGTATTCGGACACTAATACTAACCTAGTAAACATAAAGTATGACATTTTTAAAAATATGACAGCATTTCGCAGCTGGAATTTTAGGCGCATAAAGAAACTGGTGGATTTGAAATTGAACTTATGTCAATAATGCCAAACTTCGGTGCGGGTGATTATGAGCCTGCTTTGCAAGTGTGGCAATTTATTCATGAAAAATGGGTCATAATTACAAAACCTGTAGAAGTAAACGTGATATAAACTTTGAGATGAATCACTTCATGTTTGCCTACAGTATTGTCAATCAAGAAGCCGATTCAGTCATCGTTAGTTGGCACCATAAACCAAACACTTTTCACAGCGGATTGTACGAAAAATTAAGATATACAAAGAAAAAATAGTATTTTATATTATATTTGACTTACCAGGCAAAGAAAAGACTTGGTCTAAACACAGAATAAACAGCACGTAGGTCCAAACAACATCCATGGTAAATATAAACAATAGAATCACACCACAATTCAAAACAAAATGACAAACTAAAGTAGGGTTTGGGCGTTAGTTCGACGTTTGTCCAAGCATATTTTTAGGCTCGGAATCATCTCAAATCATAAAACTTGGTTTCGCCCAAGACGGATGTATTGAATTATGAATGTCATAATTTTGGTCACTCTACTTTTTATGGGGTCACATGTTTGACTGACTTTGTGTGTCATACCTGTTTCTTGCTTACTGGGGAGAACAACAGCCTCTTAACAACGCCCTTAGCTCTAGCTGTAACAATATCTAATACAATACTTCTAAATCCTCAAAAAACACCAAATAAATTGTAAAATTATTATATTTTATGGCCCAGTTTATCGTTATTCTTAATTTTATGGGTCTTTGAAAAGGTGTGAAATTTTAATTCCAGATGTGACCTAACGGGTTGAATTTAGTGAATCGATATTTTTGACGACTCCATTGAGAGTTGATCGGTGAACCGGTTGACAAAGATCTAATGCATCGATGAAGCTGATCCACTCGAGTGCAGCGACAAGTAGAAAGACGTCAATCTTAATAATGTACTAATGTACAAGCTAGTCTAAAAAAGATGATTGTTTTACAAGTCCATGTACTAACGAAGGAAGTCTTGAGTCTTCAGTGCAAACTTTATTTTCTCATAAATACAGCTTGTTACGCATACTTAGCCAGACTCACTGAGTCTTTATGGTTTTCAAGTTATATAATGGTGCTGTTAAAATGCTTCTGAAAGCGATAGAGTCAGTTTAATTCACAAACAAACGAAAGTATATTTTACTTCATGTAGTTAGACACACCCATACTGTTTAGTTAAAGCGTTATAGTACAAAGTTTCAATGTAAACCTGCTTGAGCCGAGCGTTTGAGGCTGTTTAAAAACCAGCCAAGCCCTTTTTCGTATACAGTTTCAAATCACGCGAAAAGTCTGAGCTGAAACGATGAAGAGTTGGGAGTTTCGTCGATGGAAACAAATCATATCATAAATTACGCTATATTTTTGATACTTCAAAATATTGCAGTTGTATATAGCATCAAATTTGCGGTACTATCACATAATAAGATTAGAAGAACAGAACGAAATTTGAGATTGAAACGGAACTAAGCAGCTAAAAATTAAAAGAGGAAAATATGGGAAACATGTCCCTGCTCTTCACTTCTCATTCCTTGGTGATGGACAACAATAAGAAAACGTTACGTGTAGCCATTTTGAATAATGCCAATCCCCGTCTGTACGTGAAATGAGTGTTTGATTCGCTAAAGTGCGTGTATTACAAAAGACTATTGCTACTGTACATTATCTATGATTAAGATATACTGTATTCAGTCGGTTGCCAAGCTTGAATCAGTCCACAAATTTATAGTTCCCAGAACCTGTTTAAACAAAAGATATCACTGTGACACTGGTGAAAACCGCACTGCGCATGTCCACAGCTGTCCCGCTAAATCTGTCTAATTTCCTTTGTAAAGCGATTTTTGTGAAAGTTTTTTACAATTTATAAGCTCGTTCACCGATATATAAGATTCATATTTCCATCAATCATTGTTCATGATGGGTCCTTTTAGTATGTAGTTTCTATTTTTATCTTGTTATTTCCATTTTGAGAAAATGAGGTTTTTCGTAGTGTTTTCTGTGTTGTCGCTGTAAATCGCCAGGCGCTCTGTTTACAGATTTCAAGACGCGAGCGCCCGCTGGTGGGAAAGCTGTGGGCATGCGCAGTGCGTTTTTCACCAGTGTCAATCGCTGCAGGCTCAGCCAGCGTCTCGTTTTGACCATTCAAGATGGCGCTGATAACTTCAAAATTATTTATATAGACCAATACGACATGGCGCGTTTTGTACGATAACCAGCAGTACGAATAGTTAATGATATACTGGACTCAGTATCCACTGCATGCAACATGTATGAACAAGGTTAGTCGCATGCCAACTTAGTGTTCTTGCGTCGATCTTTTCCAGTTTACGTCAGAGAAAGGACTAGTACTTGATACTTCCCAGGATCCTCTCCGGGCTGTGTTAGCGCATTAAGCGCTGTCAATATGATTTGTAAATGTTCCATTCTTAGTCTCATTTCCTTTCACGTGACCATTGGATTGTTCTATGTTAAATTGATTGTTGTCATGCGCATTGATGGCTTGTGTGGAGACAGTTGAAACTAAATTCGACACCGACTCTGACATTTGAATAGAGAATTTTTGCCTTTTTCTAGCTATTCGATGATACAAGAAGATTTCTAAACCAAGAATAACAAAACATCCAGCACAGCAAAGGGCAGTATTGAACAAAAATCCACCAAATTCATCAAACCCGAATCGATATGGCTGGACTGTATTTTCACCTTTCTTGCAGCTTCTTATAGTCCATTTTTCAAATGCTTTGGCGATTTCATCTCTGCTGTTTAGTTTATAAATAGCTTGTGTTATTTCCTGTTCCCATTCTGATTCTTTACGTAAGGCAAATGCAAGTCCTGCTAAATCAACTTGTTTGCCATCTATTTTCAGTTCACAATCAGTATCATCATCGATAATGTACTGAAGAGCATCGGACTCCCCGATAAACGTAGACAGGTCACTGGGAACGACAAAATCGAGAAATATCAGTAAAAAACACACCAAAGTAACCAAACTACTAAGCAACCCATTAACCAATCAATCAAAGTACAATTGATAGAGCTGACATACCCGTTTTTCACCTTGTTGATTCCATCAGAAAAGTTGTGCACGCTGTAATCTTTCATGTTTTCATAGATTTTCTTCAAACGGGGAACATCACTATTTCGAAAGAAATCTTCAGTGCTCGAGTCCTTTATGGTTCCAAACTTGAAATCTTTGGATGGATCCACCAGCTGATATTAACGGCAAAAATAGATGGAGGTTAGACCAAAATATATTTAGTAATTTTTTCGCCAGCCCATTCTAGCTATGGAGATTTTGATGTCTTTCAATCTTAGTGCGCTCTACGTAATATTCACTAAATTCTGGATTATTACTACTATTTAACGTTGATAAATAAATAAAAATGAACATCATACCCTTGTATCGTCGATGCCTTTAACGATTGTCACTTCGTCCACCACGATAAGCGATACCAGTAAATTGGCCGTGTACGAGCTAATAAGAACTAGTGCACCACAGTTCACCCAGACCATAAGACAGGGCACTGCAAACGACTTGGCATGAATCCGTGTAAGAGGAACATGAAATATGTTTCCAAATACATAAGTGATGAATTCAAACGGAAGGAAATAATCAGATGTTGTGTGTCTGTACTTGGTCAACTTCTCGATCAGATAAGCAGCTGTAGAAACTATGAGAAAAGCTGCGCCACATGCCAGCCATAACTCAGTCTTGAATGGCTTCAATAGTCTCATGTCTTGAAGCGATTCAGGAAAAGGATATTTCGTAATGGGCTGCCTCTTGACGAGAAAAGCCAACGATGTCCCCATGTAAGGTGCGGTAAATGTTACATAGTTATATCTATGGCGCGTGATAGTTAAGGTTGCTAATGCCATGTCTGCTTCTCCTCGATACACATCACCCACCATGCCATTCACTTTTTGTGTTTGTTCATCAAATGAGCCAAATTTTCCGTCTCTTACGATATACAACTCGTATGTGAATCCTGTTTCCTTCTGTATCATAAGCAAGATGTCAATCATGATACCATAGCAACAGAGTAATTCATAAGGTTCGTTACTATGGTAACCATGCATCATTCGATGGGTGGGGATCGTGTTGCGATATCTTTTACATAACACACTGTACTGTGAGTCACAGCTGGTTCCTAAGATATTGCTGTAAAGCGCTTGTTTTACCATAGTAAATGGTGAATGTATGATTGTGACTATCTTAAGATGACGAGGTTTTGGTAAGTCTGCTGTTGTAAAAGCGGTAAACGACTGGGTTCCTATGTTTTTTGATAGGATAGTCGTTGCCCTGCCCAGTGGAGTCCAGTGTCGTGAATGGTCAGTTTGCTGCACAAGTTTGGTGACTATGAAGTCATAACTAACACGTTGACCGACTGGCGAAAACCGGATTAAACCTGATTGACCGGTGAAGCTGTCGTTAAGGATTTCACTAAAAGACATATTGAAACATGATTAGATTTAGCAAATTTCATATATCAACACTATTACAATCCCTGTGACTCTGTAATTTTAGATTTCTGTTATTTTACATCAGATCAGTAGAATGAAAATCTAGGAGGGGGTACAGGGTCTGGTTATTGGGGTACGGAACTCCTTCTTCCTTGGCAGAAGTTGAAATACGAGACTTTGTGAGCCATAAAGGCCATGCGCACGCCCCTGAAATCGCTCTTTTTCAGTGGTTGATTCAGTGATTACCTGTACAGTTTACGCTTTGATGAAGCTGTTAAACCTTGAAGTCCACTCATTTCTTGTAAAACGGCAACATTTCCCTGGACAAGACGATCAACGGCTCTCCCTATCACAGCTATTGCATCATCGATAAGTATTTGATCCATCCCATCGACCAAACCTTGACTTTCATTCCTTGATTGATTGAATGCTTTGGCAATCCCAATAGTACCCGATGGTATTGACAATAAATCACTCGTTGATGACAAGTCCGTTAGCACCCATCTGATGTCCTTTCCTATATCGGTTTGAAGGGATAATTGCTGAGAAATGTTCAGAATACTCGATACATACTTAGATTCTGCATGAACAACAATGATCCTTATTCCACTCGCACGAATAGCTGCTAACAGCGCGCGAAGTTTAGTAACATCACCTTCGTTCTCCAAAACAAGGCATTTTGGGAAGGTATGGGTTCGATTATCATTTCGTACGTATTGAAAGAAATGAATCCAGAATGGGTCGTATTTCTTGGTAAATGTTGTAATGCAAGTAAATCGACCTTTATCAAACTCCATGATGGTATTTTTTGTGGCGGCAGCAAGTAATTCATGTGATGGATTAAGCGACAGCTGAAGATCCTGAAAAACAATGAAAGAAGGGTAAATTAATTGATCAATTATTTTTAGTCATCAAAGTGAGTGACACACAAAGTCTAATGCAAAAAACACGTGATCTTATTGGCCAAAGAAGCGACATTTACAAATACTCTAACACCTTGAGTGTACGATGTGAATTCCAAAAAATAGTGAGTTCATAGCTTTCCGTGCGCAGATAAATCAGCGTGTAACCTTCCTCCGCTCCAAAAATGACTCCTTAATGTAACCCTCCTACCCCCAGGACAGTTCATATTGCCTCAATGCAAAGATGCCGCTATAGAAATACTCACGGTTGACGGAAATTTTCTAATGTGATCGGTGGGTGCTCAGCCCCTTAAAAAAACTAATTTAATGTGTGATTGATTGGCTTTTTGGATTTTTCACAATAAAATACAAATATTAATATAGCGTGGAAGGTAGTTAAGATGACTTTATTAAGCCTACGACTTGATCATAAAACAAACGTTTCAAATAATATTCTTAAGTTGAAGAATAGTTGGTCAAACAAGATGGTGTCAAAATCAATCATCTACTGTATGGATGGCTTTCATTACAACTGTGACTTGAGTATTTATAGTGAGTGGTCTAGACACGCAGAAGGCAGAAGGCCAAATTTCATAACTTTTATCGATTTTTTTTCTAATGAAAAGGATAATGATCTTTATTGATTTTGCTTTGGTGTCGTTTCCTAGGAAACTGCTCTGTAACCGGTTGCATTAATTGGTTGACAATTCTCCAGATGGTGTTGGTTAGTGCGAAATCCTTGAAATCATGGATCACGAGCCGCACAAGACGAGCTGATAATCAGACAAGTATTATATATAGTGGTAAAGCTCTATAAAGATCGCGAAAAACTGGAAAAAAGACTATGACTTTTATGATATATCTGATAGGGTAAAAAAAGAAAAATATCTCGTCTTCTGTTCCTAGTTTTTTTTTACTACTACTACTAATAATCTTCCGTAGTTTTTTTATTATGATGAAAAGCTGAGTGAAATTGTAATCTCTGTTTTCTAATTTTAATCGTGGGGCTGATGTACTTTTTTTACATTTTTTTCATCAATATTTAATTGTTAGTTTCACTTGAATTAATTTGTTAAAACCAATTGACATCTTGTCTGTAGTATTTTTCTCTCTAATACTCTCTCTATATTTACAAATAAAGCTCAAATGCACCAAAAGCGAATTCTGGCTGCAATATGAACCACCTTGACGACATGATGGACATGTTGACAGTGAGCATGTAGAAAGACGTGGATTTTTGCATCAATTAACATTCAATTCACTGCACAAACAAACATGTTAAAAAGAAAAATCGATAAGATGAAGATGAAATTATCAACAAATTCACGAAACTTCTCTCAGTATAGTCCGGATTTTTTTTGATTTATTGAGCGCCCCATAATGCATTGCGATTTACCGTATCACAAAATATTTAGGGTGATATAACAGTTTTAATTCGTCCATCTTTTTGATATCCATCTTTTTCTCTTGGTTTTCTCTTGTTTGTTTGTAGCTTTTTTTATTTCTTACTGTTAATCATCGCAAATACAGGAAAACAAACTTTTTATATATTTACTTCTTATCAAAATGTCCGCACCATCGTCCTTCTGTTTTTTTACTCATGATGGTCTCTATTGACTCGTGTACATGTGAGATTTGACGTTAAATATATTCTAACTTTGCGGCAAAATGATAAGAACAGGAAGTTTGAACAGTTCTCCTGCCTTGCCGTGAAGATTAGTTTGCCAGTTCTTTCAAAGTTAAATGAAAACTACTCTAGTCTTTCCCGGTTCTCAGACGTGTAGTCTAACACAATTTTCATTTCTTTTCTTGTTTCAGTGAAACATGATATTATATTTTCGTTCAAGTTTTACGCAATAACAAAGACAACAGCGGGACTGATGCAAAACAAATAAAATAAAATCGACAAATAATCATGAAAAAGATCTGTCATCTTAAACAATGAAAACGAGAAGGAAATAGCTGGAAGCTTGAAACGAGCAAAAAACGATTTTTTTGGTACTTACATTTGATGTTTGGCTTTCACTCCGTAGATTTATGACAATGACATTTGAATTTGCCATCAAGGAACAAAATATGTCATCAGTATTGGACTGAAGGAAACTGAGAACTATGCTTATATTTGCTTGTATTATACTAGATTGAACGCTGTCGTAGTTATAATGCGGTGGTCTTCTTGTATCCCATTTGAGAATAACATCTTTTATTTCGATGCTTGGGTGTATAGAATAACGATAATTAAAACCAGTAATGGTTTTTGAGAAGTGTGAAGTTAAAGCAGTTGAGCCATCATCGTCAATGATAAGACCAACTTTGATAGTAGATGAAACTGTGAAAAGGATGGAAGCCAAAACTACATAGACGATTAAACGACATAATCTTGGCTCGTTGAGAGTCAGTTTAGGATGGTTTTGTGTTTTTTTTGACCTGCACATTAGTACTTTCTGCAGTTCCCATCAAATAGTAAACATATCATGAAAATCCATTGACAATTGCCTTGACTTATCTTTGCTGGCAAATGTTCGTAGTTCTTTCCACGTCGATAAACAGCTGAAAAAGACGCTGACTCTACTGAAATTCTTCAAAGACGAAACTCGAGTCGATGACTGGAATCAACTCAACATATGAACAAAATGTTCAATTCCGTATTCAAGTACAAAACTCTACAGCGAATAAACATTGAACCGTATTTGTTTTCTTGTTTGGATTATTACAGGTGCATACTAAAGTTGTCGTCATAATTCACAGTCGAGCCACTGTTCCACATATTCACATATTTCAAACACTGAAAGAAGTTATTAGTAAAGTTAATTGTAGCTAAAAGTGGTTCGCGTTTGAAACGATGCAGAATACATTAAAAAAGAACAACGGGATGCCAACGATTAGTGCCTCCGCCAATCTCAAACTGTTTACAACACACGACATATTCACATTTTATTCAAAAAGTTATTACAGCCGCAGTGTAAGCCGAACAGCGCGGCATGTGGAGTAGATATGCAGGGAACGTTTAAAGATTTTCATTCACGGCTTCAGTACTAACTGATATCATAAACTATATAAATGATCAAAACAGGAAACAATTATAACGCTTACAAGAAACAATATTAGCATCGATTAAAAACTGACGAATATATACAAGCATTAAAACATACTATGTACTGTTAGTTTTATCAGTGAATACAAATTAAGATGATCAAAAGTATATAGTTATTCAAAACTGATAAAGCTCTACTTTGATGACATTTCATTTTTTTAATTTAAGATAGTAGAATAGACAAGTAGATAACAAAATGAATTCTTGACTCATATCTTAAGCTGTTAATTGAACACCTTTTTGAATTATATCAGGTTAGTAATTAAAGAGAAAATTAATGACAAAACCGTTCCGAGGATGCGCTAAAATTCAGACGTTGGTCTTTTGTCGAGTCGCCATTTTCAATTATGACGAAATTGTAGTAGTGTCAAGGGGAAAAAACTCATTCAAAAATGAATACTCCAGTTTCGAATTCTCCGTTTTGTGCAAGCTTAGCTTCAATCAAGCATACATTTATATTGTCTTCTTTGTACACAGAGTTTTTGTATTACAACAGGATCTCTGCTGAATATAAGAATATATTACATGATTTCGAATAAGATCTCGAAACTGAAGTATACTATTTCAAACGAAAAAATCACTTATGGGATCCCTGTGTCGCACGATAACATTCATTTCAAAGCCGATATTTTCGAGTTTGAGGCGATGTCCGTATTTCTGAGCCAGAATATCTCTAGATCAGCGGTCCACATTTCTGAGCAAGTGTTGGTGGATACCGCGGTACAGTGACTACGTAATCAGCGGTAATCAAACCTAAAGGGATTGGGGAGGGCCGCTCCGAAGGCTAGCCGCATCTGGCCCAGCCGCATCTAGACCATCTAGCACGAGGTCGCTCATTTTTAGAGAAGTTTATTATGTTGATTGTGAAAAATATTTCTTACAAAGCAACAAGGTAAAAATAAAAAAATCCGGCAATTTTGTATAATCAATAAGCACTATCTTGTGACATCATCAAATTAGCATTTAGAATTTTCTATGATTAGAAATCTGTCCAGTGACACTTTGCCAAGCTGTTATTCTGTTGATATTGATTCTATTTTAGAAATAAAAAAATTCACTTCATAAGCACTTAAAATACTCAAGTAAGTACTTTAACGGTTGTAAGGAAGTTTTGACCAATTTAAAATTCTAGTTCTAAATCACTTTCCCAGGAGAAAAATCGTGTAAGAACAGTTATTTAGAAGAACAGACTTGGTCTTCTTTCTCCTAAAAAGTTGTTCAAAGGCATATTTTTTCATTGCCTTATACTTTTGATCACGTGATAAAAATCCATATATGACGTTACAAAGCTGAGCCTCCCTACGGCACTTGTCTACAGTAGTCAGTCACAATCGCAAGAAGCGATTCAGTGAATAACAAACTGATAGTGTGCTCTTGGAGGAATGGTTTAATGAAACAGAGTAACATGAAAAACATCCTGCGAAAATCTAGTAAGTTTTCTATCTTTTGCATTAAGTAATTTATCCTTTTATGTCGACTATTTAACCGGATCAGAGTTGTTATGGTCATGACCGGGATAGCTTGTCGGCTTACATAGAATACTGACCGTCCGAGAACCTAATAATTGATGCGAATTGTTTATAAACACACGTCGTAATGCATTCAGTATATACCAAAGTAAACAGCTTCATCGCATAACAATTTATCTGCAGTCATCTTGAAAGAATGTCATAGTTTAGTATAGTTTCGACTTGTGGTTGACTCGGGGCCGAATTTGCCCTTCAAAGAAAGAGACAAATCTCAGAAAGTTTTCCTTCTTTTGATTTGTACAATCAAAAAAAAAAACTTGTATAGATTTCCTATAACTCGTGGTTGGGTTGTGACGAGGAATGGAAACTGAAACCACTCGCCCCTGAGGGAATGAAAATCAAGAACCTTTTTGACCTTTTTATATGAGATATTAAAAATACGGTGTATTCTTTGATTTAGTTTCGAATCAGTTTGCGAGTTTTGTGGAAAAATAAAGAAAAAAATAGTTGATATATTGTTCAACGTATTAAACCATGACTCATTTTATTAAATGTGCAAGCGAAGCAAGTTTGTTGTTTATTGTTTTCTCATTTTCTCCAAAAAACCGTGTGGATTTATTTGGTTATTGGAGTAGATTTTTTGCGAGGCTTTTGGTTCGTTAAACACTTCTTAGCCTTTTGAAGAAAATAATCTTTAAATTACCTAGAACAAGGAGAGATTAGAGCAGATGTCTTGTAGATTACCAACGTTGCGGACCAAGGAACGGACAATACTGCACGGGTCACGTAACCTTTTAGAAGTCAAGCACCAGGCAACTGAACAGAGGAGTTGAGAAGACGTTACGACAACAGCGTGACCTCAGCAGGAAAGGCTCTTACATAGTTTTGCACAATCATAAATAACCTTGTTTTGCAAATACAAGTTTTGAGGAGATGCATGTTTTCATCAAGATATAAAATATTTCCTTTGTACATCAGAAAGAAGTGGAATTCATTTTGTTCCAATTTTGATTTGACTCCCTGTCAATAAGTGAGTGAAACTCTGCACACTTCATTTATTGATCATGTAGAATACTGCTTTAAAAAAAACGGAAAAAAGAAAAGAAAGAAATAAACTAACTAACTAACTCCGTTAGGCTAACTAACAAAACAAACCAAACACAAACAAACAAAACCAAAAAACGTCAGTAGGATAGGAAAAAAGGCTCGTGGTTCCCAGACAAGATACTCTTACTTATGGGCTCAAACATTTATGATCTCAGAATTATCTAATATCAACTAAAAATAGACACCGTGGGGTTAATAAAAGTCATGCAAGCCATAACCCACCGTAGCACAACTTTGACCATATCAATTCACGTGCTCATGAAAATCATATGACAAACCTGTTGTACCTTGAACTTTGAAACATTCAAAACATTAGGAAAAACATGCGTAAACATTAGTTAATAATTTATGAAGATTTCTTACATAATAAAAATGGCTTTCAAATATAAAAAAATATGTTGAAATTTTTTAAAACACTTTTTCCGCTAGGTGGGATTGTTGTAAAGCTTTGTATATTATATGTTTGTGCGGTCCGGTGCTAGCTTACTTCTAAATCAAATCCACGCACGCGCCAAGTAAAATGATGAAGTTCTTACAAGAATGAATTTGGAATTACATAAAGTATTTCAATTTCATTTTGTCTAATAATAGGGACAAGGCCAACAACGTCAAGCTTCCGTCCAAAATTTGGAAGACTTCATATTGTAAGACAATCTCGGCAAGTGCTTGATTTTGATAAAGTTGGCCAGTCGACAGACAGACCAAATGCCAACAGGTTTTACCGTGAAAATGGTTTTGGTACCTCTGTAATAGTCCAGTTTATTGTTGGTATTGAGGACATCAGCACAGGTGAATTGTGGGACTGCTCCATCAAGAATAAACAAAGGAAGCTTTTTCTGGTATGTACTGTATCTATCGCTACGCTCACTCGTGAGAGATCTTTCCAACACTCGAAGATAAAATCCGTATCTCCGCGCGCCCATGTAATATCCTCTATATCTCTCTCCTATTAGGAAAATGGCTTGTTTTTCATAGACGTGAAAATCTCTCCAAATGGTCTTGTGTGCTTCCCTGGGAGCGACTTCAAACAAAACCAGCTTCCAGACCACCTGGGAAATGTAAAGTGTGTTTTGCCAGTTGAAGAAGACGAGCCTCTGCGTTACAATATCCAGATCAAACTATACCAAAATAACTGTGACGGTTAGTAAAACCATGATAAATTTATCATAATTGTCTACATGATATATGAATCATATATCTCGTGAGAGTTTCAGAGAGACATAGCAATTCTGTTTTGAGATGTTGACCATCTGTTACAAAATTTGTAAGTGTATTTTAAATATAAATTTCAGTGAAAACATGTTTGGATTGTGTGGAGTTTACTGTTCATACTCACGAAGAAGGTCATGATGTGTATGACTACCAAGAAGGACGAGGAATAGCCGAGGTGGAAAGACCACAACTTAAGATAAAGATGACAGGTATTAAGGAGTTATTTTAATTTAAAAAAAAGTTTTTCCCCCTAAAATTATTGACGCTACAAGATGAAACGGAATACTAATACTCAAAACGAATTCTTAGAGTTTGATGATATATTTAAGATTTAGACATTTGAAGACTTCGATTTGTATCCACGCCATGTTGGTTTCACTAAATCAGTACACTTTCAAGGTCACTACATACACTCTCGCCAAATTATACGGCTCATAATCGATGGGCTGTAACCTGCTAACTCGCCAATCCCTCTAATCATTTCGGAGTACACCAACCAAGAATTGTTAAGTATGTCTTTATTTGCCTATAGGTATTCTTGCTGAAGAGATTGGAAGGGAAATAATTATGCTTTTCCAGAACTTGGGTGATAATGGTAAGAAATTGACAAGGCAGTAAATCAGGGGAATTTGAAATACCAGAAAATATTCCTATATAGTTATGCCTGCACAAGACCCATAACATTGGCCGGCCGTGGACTATCAATTGCAGATTTACCGCAACCAAGTGTTTTAGTTTTCTAGAGACATACAAACAACTCGCCGCACGTGTTTTCAATGGCCAAAATGATTTTTATGAGTCCCTCACAGAACGTTGCTGCACGTGTCGAATATTTAGCGCTAACTTCATCTTGTACACCGTTAGGTTGTTATGATAAGTTCTTTATGGAACAAAGGAAATTACAAGAAGGACTTGCAATGTTAGAGGAGCGATTTGGGAAAAATCATTTTAAGGATGTTGAACTATCGGTGAAACTAGAGGTATGCATATTGCAATGGTTGATATACTACTGCGTAATGTGCCGAGATATTGCTCGTGCAGTTGCTGCTATAATTAAACTCTAAATAGGGGATTATGGCGTTGCAGTCTTTTTAAACCACATTTTTAACCCAAATGAATGACTAATCACATTTGAAATTTAAAATGATTTCCAGCATCTATCGGCGCGGGGATCAAAACTGATTTGCTGAATACACCAGCTACGGAATCCTAAACCTTGTTTAACACAATTGGTCGTAAAATCAAATGCTATCTAAGACAGTTTAAGAGTCCAAAATGTTACCTTACCTGAAACGACTGGAAGCAGAACCCCTTGCTTCACTCTCTTTTTGGTTTATTAAACAAAATGTAATTCTTGAACTTCAGGAAAGCATTCTGCTGTTTGAAAAACATCAAATGGATGACTGTGTAAGAACTGCCACAGAAGTAATCAATGAAATCATAGCCAAAAATATTACAAACGGTCCGTTTTTGATGGCCAAAGCTCATTACATCATATCAGCGGTATACAGACAATGTGGAAACTTTGATATGGCCAAGCAACATATGGAAGAGTCAACTGAGGTATGCACTGCAAAAATACCTCGTCATGTTCGCGCCTGCCATATTTTTGATGAAGAGCTCGCGCATCCACCAAGATCATTTTCGCTATCAATAGCTGCGTTGAGTGTCATTTGTGAACAACTTGACATCTTGCTTATATCTATTAATGGACATATTACCAAAAAAATATCAAAATCTTATTGTGTTAACTGCGAGCAAGGAATTAAGAGGGTATCTACAGGCGATAACTATTGTGCCTTCTCTCAGATACTAGAGTCTGTGGTCGTTTGTGAAGAAACAGCTGTAAACCAATACAACTGGGCGGCGCTGTTGTCTGAGAAGGCTGCCAAATCTTCATTGTCACTGGTCGAACAAAAGGATGCTGAGTTTCGTTTTCAAAATTGTCTTCTCCATTGGAGTGCACAGACACAAAACGACTCGAACCGCTGCCCGATGAGAGCGCTGATTCGAAATATCAATTTCCATTTGCGGACAAGCCGCCAAACCTATCCTGATGAGAGGTAAATATGCCATGTTTATTTTTTATCGACCCCAGACCCCTTGATCCCAGGGCTTTAGTCGGCACATTTTACGAGAGGAAGTCTATGGGTCGATCGCATTCTAAACAAATGATTTTAAGGAATAAGACTCAAATGACCGATGCAATTCAAGCGTACTTTTATGTACGTCTGAACCTTTTAACGTCATCTACGTGCAATGCATTGTGGGATAAGTTTCTGTAAAAAAAAAACAGAAGAAAATCAACCATGTCCTAAACATATCCCACAAAGCATTGCGTATGCTGTATATGACGTAAAAGCTTCAGAGGTCTAGTGTCTGATGATGACATACTTTTCTTATATTCAGGAAATCAGTCAGCGAATATGGACTTATCCGAGCATACCAAACAATCAAAAACGTCGAGCAGAATCTTTTAAAAACTTGTTCAGAAAGACACAAAGTGACATTTCGTGTTGCCAAGTCAGATTATTACATAAGAAAGGCGATGATGTACGAAGAAGACAAAAAACAATGCGCTGAAAAAGGTACGAATTGCATCGAATTTTACTTTGTCTCTCAGATAAGAACGCAAATCAATCTAACGAATGCCACTTTAATTTGCAGCCATTACGATTCTAGAGGATACCCTTAAAACCGCTATTCGTCTTAAGCTTGAAAACGAAATCAACGGCATAAATGACAGAATGAGACATCTTTCAGTACTGCTTGATAGAGAGTGCCACGAAAAACGATACCAAAGTCAGCCTTTTGGAAGGAGAAGAGCAGAGGAGAATGATGGTCGGACAATAATCGATTTACTGGAGGAATTGTGTACAATACAGCTGGACATGACAAAAAATTGATTAATTCAGTACATCTTATATATTATATATAGTTATTACAGTATTATTTTATTATTCGAATCTATTGAGCAATCCCATTCAGTCGATGTGGCACACGTTGCTAACTTTGTAAATAACTCGTGTCGATAAACCGGATAAAAAGGAAAAGTGCTGGAAATAGGAATGAGAATGATAACAATCAGGGACCGCGGAGAGGGAATTTGTTTGGGAGGACTAGCGTCGAGGAGGTACTAGGGAAAGGGGTGCGAAAATTTTGAAATCTTAACTCTCTCGAAAATGTCATTTCCAGCGTTTTGAGGCGATATCCAAGACATATTTACTGCACACACGGTCAGCGATATTATCAATAAAATCCCAAAGACTTCGCAAAATAGCCTCAATTTTAATTATTCACGCTCAGTTTTTACACACTTTTTATAGAATATATAGTGAAATTTCACAAGGAGGCCTGTTCACTTCTTTAAAAAGAAAATTCAAAATGGCGGGAAAAATATTATTGGAGGGGCTACAGCCCCCCTGCTCCGCGGTCCCTGACAATGCCTCACCTCTAGAATCAACCAGCGAAAACCCCCGGGCGTAAATATTGCATCAATCAATCGATGAAACCACGTTCCCAAATTCCCAGGATTTACCGGGGGAATTAACATTTCGACAATGTTAAAGTCCCGGCATTTCCCGGTTCTTAAAGACAAGAAGGAAGGCTAAGATCATGTCGTTTGATTTATTAAACGGTAATTCTCGTTAATTCCCCGTAGATTGATGACATGAAAAGTACCGGCCAGCGTATCTAAACCTATCAGTCCGACCTTTTCGTTTTTAAGCACCCATCAAACTATTTTAGTGGACTGAACTCTCAATTGTTTTTAGTTCATAGTTCTTTTTAATGAACCTAGACAATCGGACGCCAATTATTCTCAGTGTTTAATAGAAATAATGATGCATACCATACCAGATTGTACATGTATTTTATATAAAGCACCGATACACAGTACAGAAAAGTGATTTTAAGCGTCGATTTTGTGATCATCAATTAATTCTATTTTGTATAAATGTTACATGAATAAAGTTAATTAAATTAAAATTATTATAGCAATTTTTTTAACACAACCATGATAACAGATCCCGGATACGAGTATCAAGTTCTAGCTAAGATACAGTCAGTATATACTAAATTATTTGTAAAAGTACATCACTACCAGTATAATGGATAGTGCTATTTATGTAATATTTTCTTCCATGCATGTCCCACGACACCTTGGCTCGGATGAGGGGGGACGAGAGGGAACTATGTGACTCCTTCTAAAAAGTGGTAGGGGTGCTAAACAAACTATTTCGAAAATGATACTAAAAAAATGAACTTACTTCTGAATTATTTTAGACCGTTGAAAAGAAGCCCATAAATGATCCCTAGGGTGAACCCTAAAAAGTCTGTCGAGTATTCCCTACCACTTTTTCAACCTCCGTTCAGGGGGTCTTTGCTGTTCTTGTTTAAAGAGGACACGTTTCTCAATGACCTCTGAATGAGGTAATATCTCATTGATTTAACCCTCTGGCGACTGCCCTATAGGATATCGTTCGAATTCGAACGATGCGTCTAAAATTGATAAGTGACCGAAATAGTAAGCTATATCCCTGAAATTGTTAGTGTGAACTCACTAGTAAATATTGTCGATCTTAAAGTTCAAAGAATTTCCCAATGAGGTAAAAAAAGTCACAAAACAGTACTTTACTGGCAAGTGAATGCCAAAATTTGCGTTTGGAGGACTACAGGAAACACTAATTTCCAGCTCAATTTTTAGCGTCAAAACATGTTTTGTAGCAAAAAGTCCACTTCACTTGCAAACCCCTTTGATAGCACGTCCTCATTTTCCCGTTTTTATTCTGTCAAAGTCACTGCAGACCTCTCAACAGCCCTCTTTTGAGCACCCAGTACAATACACTCCTATGCACGACCGAAATGCATGACGGGAAGAGACAAAATTTCGACATAAATCTTCCAGCGTTCTTCTTTTAAGTGTGAGCTCCCCCGCACCTACAGGCAAAATATTGGTCCAATTGCATTCTTTGGTTGTCAAATATTGCCAAAATTACCTTGGTAGGTTGGAAAATCTACCACAGATGGACCAGGAAAGCGATCTTACAATGGTGTCTCCAGTTCAAAACAAAGCATGACTTGGAGCCATTGTCTTCGAAAAAYCGCTTTCCACCTCTGATTTCTTCCAGAAGATTGTCTCTGCCGACTAGCCAAGCTTAATGATGCAAGCCTAGGGGCTCCTGTGGCAGCAAAAAGCTCAAAAAACACTTATAAACGGGTTTTTGGGTAAATTTAGGCCCAACCGGTCGATAAACAAACGGTCTAACCTAAATTTACAAAACCCTGCATAAATTAACGCTCCCTAGGGAATTCAAATCCGAAATAGTTTTATTGACAGCACCTTATATGGAAGTCAATYATTTTATCAAGATGTTAGKGTCGAAAAAGCTCCAAAATCAACAAAAAAACACCCGTCGTCAAAGGGTTAAAGGCTCAACAAAGTGGCCTTGATTTTCCCTGAAACTGTTTTGGCAAAGCTTTATCCTATCATAACAGAACAGAATTGTTTGCTTAAGGCTATCGACGTTATTTTTTAAGTCATCTTTACCATACCATACTATGAGAACAAAATACATTAAAATAGTCAAGCCGTTCAGCGCTAAGATAAAAAATGGGAGAGGGATGGAGTAGAACTCGGGTGTCTTGCTAATTGTTGTCGCAAATAACGTTAGAATCAGCGTCATAGTACTGGTGAATGCTGCATAGTTGTCGACAGGACGAGAGTACGGCTTAAAGCCAAGAAAAACAGGTAGAAGAACAAGTAACAGCGCCATAACAAAAAACATACTCTCACCACTAACTTTACCTTCAGCTAAACAAAATGCGAGACAGATACGATAGATCATATAAAACACCTCGAAGTAAAACCAAAAGGAATTACGAAGCTTGGATGATGACCGTACTTCTGTAGGTCTGTAAGATCCATACAGATAGCCCAACCAAGCCGTCAAACTGGGATCATCGAGTGACATTCTGTGAGTTTTAAGAAGAATTATAAAACTTAAAAGAGGAAGTAGTATCAAGAAACAGCCAGCGAAAGATGCAGCAATGGCCATGCTTTGCCACTCCGTTGTATTATAACATCGTACAGATCTATAATGCTCACGGTTCATATATTCATACCCAGATGAATCTTTTGAACAGCTAAAAACAGAGATTACCAGGGTTGAGGCATTGAAATATGAAAAATATGCAATAAACACAAGAGAAAATAAGATTTGCGTGCGCATTGAGCCACTGGATGTTTCACGAAGACCTGTTTTTCTACAAATAAAGAGAACTATTTTTTTGAAGACCAAAAAAATTAATACAAACAAAAATATTATGACTGGTGCAAACAAGGATAGAATAAAACGATATAGATGTGCACGCTTAGAAACACCGAGGGTCTGCGGGAAAAGACAATCCAGGCCAATAAAATTCACATTTGAAAAACTTATGCGGCTGAACCAATTGGTCGCCAAGAAATACCAATATGGCGGAAATATTGCCGGTACAGTCTGAAGGTAGAATATCAGGGATTTTACAAGTCCAGAGCTAAGTCCATTACTGGTAGCAGGAATGAGAACGATAAAAACTACTAAAAAGTTGAGGTATAGCCACGATCCAGACTCCAAAGTTAAAGCTAGAGATACCAATATGATAATCAATAGAAGACGAACCAAGGAACTATCGTGAAACAATGCGAATAGAATCAGAATTATGACCAGAGCAGCAAAAAACAGCGCCAGTGATGTTGTGGACATCGTTTTACAGGGAAGACATCGTGTGTGAGAATGATAAAAACATTCGTGTGGTGAGCACGTGCATCTTGAGCAAAGTCTTCCTTCATAGCCTTTCGCACATAGCGTACAGTTTCCTGATTTGGCTTGCAGTCCATTTTTCCCATAAAAACAATCATCTTTTGGATTGCAAGGAGCGAAAGAACCGTTTGCTAGATCAAAACTACATTGCTCAAGTCCTTTCAAAGTTCCTGCATCATCTGTGACTGGATAAAAGTTTAAAGGAATCATCATAGAGCTCTGAACAGTACGTTCATCACCTTGACAGACTCCATTATCAAGACACGTGCGACATCCATTTGGTGGATTCCCAAAGAAACCAGGTTTGCAATTACAAAGAGTATAATTGTAATATTCAGGATCTAGTTGAACTAAAGGAGCTGTGACTTTAAAAACTCGTGAAAGAAGATTAAATCCAGGGCAATCAAAATGTCTCCTCTCATCCACCACTGAACGTGAACTATAATTTGCTTCAATGTACTCTGGCAGCTTATTGCTGATTCCTTTCAAGTTAATATTATTAGAAACGAAAAGATATCGTAAGGGCGCATCCCCAAATGACACGGGCAGTCGTCCAGTCAAATTGTTATTTCGAACATCAAACAAGTTGAGATCCAAAACTGGAGTAGTCTTGAATTCAGGTATCTTCCCCGTTAGTTCATTATCAAGTAACTCTAGGGCTTGAAGTTGTGCTAAATTACCAATTGTGTCAGGAATCCTCCCACCTAAAAGATTTCGATTCATTTGAATGATACGAAGAGAAGAACAATTCCCAATTTCTTTTGGAAGAACACCGGACAAGTTATTCTTATTAAGTTGAAGATCTTGCAAGTTTTTCAGGTTTCCGATACTTTTTGGTAAGCTACCAGATATGCTGTTTGCATTGATGTACATATACATGACATTTGATAGATTCCCAATAGACTCAGGTATGGGTCCACTTAGCTTGTTTCCAGACAAATAAAAGAATTTTACTTTGTTCATTTTACCCAGGCTGGCTGGTAATGCCCCAGTTAGACCGTTTGATTTGATCGATTTTTCACAAAGATCGCGATGAGAGAATGAAAAGTTGACGTGATGATTGACAGATAAGTCAAAGTATTCCATCTTGATTAGATTTCCTAAACTTCCAGGAATCTCCCCGCCCAGGCAGTTCCCAGAAAAGTCCAAATACTTCAAATGAACCAAGTCACCGATGCAAGTTGGTATAGTTCCAGAAAGTCTATTTCCAAATAACTTTAACTCTTCTAGGAATGTTAAATTGCATAACGCCTCAGGAATGCTTCCGCTTAGCAGCTCGGGTTTGGCGAAACCGAAGTCTAGTGAGACCACATTCAGCTTTTCGTTACAGCGTATATGTCGATACCATGCTTTACAATTCGGTTCTCCTGGCAAGTCGGACACGTTCCATTTTGTTTTAATTTTCTTGAGGGCGCTTATTTCTTGTTGGTTGAGCGACAGAGAGAATTTTAAATAAACTGAAAACAGCAGGAATGACCACAGGAAATTCATCTTGGAATAATTTCAAATCCAACTGAAAAAAAAACCCGTCTGTTTTCAAAACATACCATCACCCTATTATTAGCAGGACTACAAGGAATTTTAATTAAAATATCAAACCGCTTACGAACTGATGCATTTCAATAACGAAGAAACAGCAGTTTATGTGTTATGAACTGACCCATGATTGCAAGACAGCATTAAAACATACACTACACGTTTCTTTCATGAAGAATACTTTGTGTCGTTGTGCTTACTATACTTATGTATGGTTATTAGAAGGATATTCGTTAATTCTTACAATGACTTATTAAAATCTTACCTTGAATAGTTTCCTGACCGAGCTGACAGTCGACCGAGCTTCTTTCAACCTTTTGTATGATTTCCGGTTCAATTCTTAGAAATAACGCAATGCTGGTCATGGTCCATAGTCTCATGGTCCACTTTCGAAAAAGAATTAAAGACGAGGCTCACGGGAAAAAAGAGATAAAATCATAATAATTTTGCACTCGCTACTCTCGATGAAAGAAAAAAGAATATGAGAAAGAAAGAAATAACTAAAGGAAATCGGGAAATCGATATTTACAAAAACCACACCACACGAAGTCTACTTGAATTAAAATTTAATAAAATATTTAGAAAACTGTTTTTCGTCGGCGTCCAGTGTACTTTGAATCTTGTCTCACTTCTCTGAAAGAAAAAGGAATCATTATTTCTCTGTGCGTTATACAGCACATATCAAAAGTCGTGAAGTGGGAATTTTCTCTGAGGGGGGAGGGGTGGGAACGGATGTACACAGGTCAGAAGAGCGACTAATACTCACTTTCCCTGTCGTCTTCGCCTGTCTTTTTTTGCTTGTATCCAGTCTTTTGATTTCTTTATGGACTTTCCACGAGGTACTTTAGCATATCTTTCTCTAAATAAAACAAGATAACTAGGGTTGACTTTAGATGTAAACACTGTACTGTTTTATGCACAAATACTGTAAGTGATATTGCATTATTCCCTTCTTAAGGTTTTCCTTTGCTCTTAATCATTCTCCCTTAAATTGGATTCTTTTCTCTAGCTGTAAAAGTACGTACCAAGGATTGTTATTTTCCTATAGAGAAGTTGAGAACCCTTGAAGAATACTAACTCATGATATTTCCCAGCTAAAATCTTGTCATTCCATGCAAAATGCATGTGAATTTGAGCACCAATTTTATTAACTTACAAAATTAATCAACACAAAAGAACTTTTAAGTTGAATATCAACAAGATCAAAGTAAAGACTAAGTAAGACTGTACCTTTTTCCACTGAATTTGACTGTGTCTCCTACATCAGAAGATTCCTCAGCTCCAAGACCCTGCAAAATGACATACTTCCTTTAATATCAAACAAGGTATCAGTTACTCAAATAATTACCTCATTAAGTACAAGATTATGTACAAATTTCCTCTATATCAAATAAGTTATCAATTACTCAAATAATTACTACAGTATGTACATGATTATGTTACGAACAAAAATTCAAGATAACTTTATGTGCTGACCTTTGGTAATTTAGCACTTGGTGCACCAGCAAACAAACATAAAAACATCCTAAAAACAAACATTATTTGGAAAATAATTGTTAAATAGAATCAGTTTTCTACATGTAGAATACTAATGAATTTTAAAATCTCACTTTTTTGCTCTTGTACTGTTTGGATAATCAACAACAATGCCGCCTGTGAATCCTGCTTTCATAGCTTGAGTTGTAATAAGTTCAACCTTAATTCAATGACAAACAATAAAGATACATTGCCTTTTTCCACAGTAATGACATTAAGAAGTTAGTTTTTTCATTAATTATATCATGCTGAAGGGATGCTCCCAACAGACGTTTGCTCCAAATTTATGGAATTGAGGAACACTGTAGTCAGTGTATTAGTAAGGTTCTTATACATCCCTGCAGTGAAACAATGATGAAGCACAGAGAAACAGGAAGTCTCGTTTGATGCATTTATCATCTAAGATATCCTCCCAAATAATTGGGGAGATAATTTGAAAGGCAAGAGACTAAAAGTGTTTGTATTACAATGGTTAGTTGTATGGCAAGTTCTGTGCACCCAAAGTCAAAATCACTGCAAGGCAGGTATTACAGTATTTAAAGTATAAAATATAATAATGATTTCCTTACTTGGTTTGGGCTTTCTGGATAAAATTGAAATACTGCCTTGCCTCCTCTTGCCTTCATAATTCAGACATACAAAACAAACATTATCAAACTTTATGAAATAAACATATTAAATAACAATTCAGATGAAAACTTGAGGTAACACACTTCTAACATTTCAAATTATCTTTTCCAGTTGTATTATCATGTGTATGTATGCTGTTGGTAGCTCTAGACACACACTCTCATACACTCTAATTCCTGCTTAATCAACTTATCAAAGACAAGGGTGAAACAACAAGGTTTTTAATGGACTATTGATCAAGCAAGGGTGTGATTGTTTGATCTACCTTCTCAAATAACTTGATTAATTCAATGAAGTGTTGTTTAAAGTTACTTTAAACCTTCACAGACTTTAGCAGACCTCAACAATGCATGAAAACCTTATCACATGTCAGATAAAAGTATCAATACACTGTCAAGTGATTGCTTTAGTTAAGTATGTATATAATTATTTTAACAATAGAGTTATTAACAAACTTTGAAGTTATTCTCCTACCAAGCAACCATAGAGAGAAGTAAAGAATTTGTAGAGTCGTTTAACTGGATTATGATCTCTTTTGTCTGCATTACATAACCACTGCAAGGCTGAAATACTAACAATGAAAATGCATGTTGCAATGAAAGACCATACTACTGTATTAGAGTGACTTTCATCAGATTGTGAAATAGTTCCTACACTAATAGACGCTAGTAGACTCTACAGCCATTGCTTTCTTTTATTAGAATACAACTATTAGACACTATTAAACACTGACTAGTAGTAAATGTTTCGCAGACGGATGAAAATGACTCTTTTTTCCCTCTAAAACAGAAACTAATTGTATAATAAACCCACTTGCAAGAATAAGATATTTGTTTATATTTTCTTCTCTATTTAATCAAAGTCTGATAAATTCCTTTCATAAGATCTTTTTTATGCTTATTTTTAAATGTGAATAATTGATATAATTATGCACTTTTAGTGAAATGCATTGGATCCTGATTATATAATGCACAATTTGCATACACTGCCATTTCATGAACATTCAATAATTATTAATAATTATTAATATTATTATGTACCTTATGCAATAATCAAATGTTCCTGGCCTGAAGTACAGACCCTGACCCATGTCACCAAGGAAAAGATCACCTTCAACCTCTCTCTCAATAGCAACACCTACAACAATTAAACTACCAGTAAGAACCATAAAAGTCAGCTATACCAACTTAGCATCAATATTAGAAATGGTAACATAAACAGGCTCTAAAGAACTCTAAGGTCCTTTGCATGCTAAGTTGATAGATTGTTTTGCAAATAGGTGAAATTATTCCTTTATATGTATGTACAGTGCAGTACATTTTATGTTGTGAATGAGAAATTGGATGGCTGAATGATTGATTCATATAGGTGGATGGGAAAGTAAATAAATGAAGGGATGGATGGATATCACCTACCTAACATGGCTTCACTAATGTCTACTCCTATCCAATAATGACCTTCATTGGTTAAGACTTCACCACTCAATCCAGACCCACACCTTAATGACACAAATAATAGAAAACGTTTCAAATGTTGTACCTGAATATTTCACAAATGAAGGAACAATGTCAGAAACGCCAGTAAGTTTTCCATCTTTGTATAGTGTTTACATTGGAGAATTCATGAGATTCATCGAGGGTTTTATGAGATTTAATTATATATCTAGATGATTGTTATCAGCAGATTGCTTTACCCTATGTCCAGTATAAAGTACGGTTTTTCATCTGGTATGTTTAGGAGTTCAAGTGCTCTTTCTGTGAGTTTTTCCTGGATCTCTATCATTCTGGAACTGAAAACACATGACATCCCACAAATGATCAATCAATTCAGCATTCTGGATTAGCTTCCAAGTAAATTAAACAAAAATCACCACTGCTACTTTCACAAAAGGCTTTTACAAATCAAGCTAATATTAAATGTTTGAAAAATAAGCAAAATTTGCACCACGTGACTTGATAAATTTCAAAACAAATGACAAAACTCTTACTTTGAAGTGTACTTTTGTGCTTCTGCTTCATTGTAAAACTGTAATTAGACAAAATGTATCAATTGAAATCTAGTTTAAAGAATAATCAGCGTTTATACGTACTACATCAGGCGGTGCTTGATGCTCAGGTCTTCTTGCGGACGCCATTTTGTATCAATTGAGTCTGTTGTTTTTACTTTCAGCGGTTAATGTCCGAAAGTCATGCGTGCGATCATCAAGATGGCGGCGCAGTGAAAATTGTGCAAGATGAACACTTTTTTGAAAAGTTTCAAGAGAATAAGCCCTTATTTGAACGATTGCTATGGCCTACACTATTCCACGCTTGAACACCAAGTTTGATATTTGCGCTTTTGGTAGAAATCTGATCAGAGAACGTGCAATTTTCAGGAGCAAACTGAGAACATTGCCGACCTCGTACCATCGACATTTTTCATCAAAACATTCAAAAAAGAACTTTTATAAGATTCTTGGTGTTTCTCCTAAGGCTACACAAGCACAAATTAAGGCAGCTTATTATGATTTGTCTTTAAAGCATCATCCTGATCGTCACAAAGGATCTCAGAAGTCTCACGGGATATTCCAGGAAATCTCCGAGGCGTATGGTGTCCTCGGCAGTTTAGACTCGCGTAAACAATACGATCGTGCGCTGATTGTAGAAGGTGTTCTAGCTCCAGAGCAGGCTAGACCTTTTCACGCACCACCAAAACCTTCAGCTTCAATTTATGACTTTGATGAATGGACCAGGAAGCACTATTTCCAGGCATTGATAAGAAAACAAAAAGACAAGAAAGAAAGAAGAGATGAAGAAATTGAGAGAAACACTCATAAATTACCTGAAGGATCTTTAAGACTTGTGTGTCTAGCAGTATGTTTAGCTATTTTTGTGATAGGAATTTCCTCTCACCGACATACTCGGCAAATGGGAAATCAAGAAGAACAGCAAGATCAGTAGATCTATGTGCAAGAAACTGTGGACACAAATAAATTTTGCCCCTCGACAATAGTTGAGGTGATGGTTTTGGCACCCTTGCTGAGGAGTAGGCAAAGTATCGCAAAATAACAAGGATTTACATGTAGTAAGAAATCAATGTCAAATAATTCCTGCTGAATTCAAATTCGGAAAGAGTTATCAAGTTCAAACATTAAATACTGCAAAAATGGAGGTTACTTGCCAAATTTGAAGGACATACTTGATCTAGGGAGGGAGTAAACTCATTTTTAGTTCTCCATACATTTCTTTGTAATTTCCTGCATGACACTAATGAAAAATACAAAGAAATGTATTAAAAAACAAAATAGATTTACTCTCTCCCTAGATAATGTTAATCCTTCAAATTTTGCCAGTTAACTCCTTTTTGTAGTATCTAACATTTGAAATTGATAATTCTTTCCAAATTTGAATTCAGCGAGAATTATTTGACATCGTTTCCTGGTCTATCCTCGTTATTTTGCAACACTTTGCCTACTCGTCCAAGATGGCGGCCAAAACCATCACCTCAACTATCTATCTTGATAATCACACAGGTGATGTTCTTTTCATGTTTGGAGCTTTACCAGAGCTGTGACCAGAACAGTTACGAGGGAAGATAAAATATGTGGTGAATTTTCAAAATTGAACAGTGATTATTGACGTAATTATTGTGCTAGTGTGAGGGCAGAATTTTATACCTGATCACTTCATGTGAGCAACATAACAACCAGAAAAATCAGAAATGTTGAAATGTATGTAACAAATTTATATATTAACTTTGCTTAATTTTGATAATATCAATGCGATATATTTGTAATATCATGGATATCTGATAGTCAAAAATGTCCTGGTGTCTGTATGTCAGAACATCTGCTTCTATTACTTGCCATACAAATTCCATATTAAGGGCTACACCTAATTGGAAACACGCTGATAAAAGCAAAAGAACATTATTTTGATCATCTCTTGAATGTTAAAGAAATTCTCTCTCTGGGAGAGGGGCACTCTATCTGCTTTACAAGATGTGCTGCCCTATAGGGTATGTTTTTTCCTTTTTTGAGGGGTTAGGGTATGGATATTTTGTGTGATAGGTTTACAATTTGGTCCTTGTTGCACACCCCTAACCAAGTTGAGGTGGTAGTTTTTTAAACATTTTCAGTGCAAGATGAGATTGGATTACCTGTGGTGACCACAGAACGTGAAGAGGTGGAAATGAGGAATGCAAGTTCCCCACTTCTCCGCACCCAGTGGTGCATAAGGAATGCAAGACTACCCAATTTCCAAAATGCTCCACCGGTTCTGTGACATGTCGAACAACTTGAAAAATCTCGTTAGTAACTTGTTCCAGTCTCCAAGCGTGACAGCTTGTGGGATGATTTCCACAGCGTGACAGCTAGAGTACGTAGGTAGGTATCGCTTGGTCACCCTTGTGTTGTCTGAGCAAATAGTCAATCAGCTTCAGACTCACCTTTCTGTGTTGGTTGTTTTGATCATCAATGATGTAAGTACAGGGTTGAAAGCACTCAAAACATTGTTTTATTAGCGTTATGTTACCCGATAGAAAGGGGAAATACTTATTCTAATGATATTCCCGGAAAGAAATGCGTTACAAAACCCTGAAAACTTTACAAAACATTGTTTACACAAGGTTTACTTCAAGACTGTACGGACTGGATAAATCTCTGCGTAGCAATATTTTTCATGTTTTTCAAGTGATCTTGGTGTAGACTAAATACATGTCGATGTAGAAAGTTGGAAAGCGCATCGAAAACATAATGGAAATTTCAAAGGGAAAATTCCCTGCCCTTCAGTTAGTTCTGTAGGTTTTATATCTATGAACCTGCACTAATATCATCAATGTCGATCAAAGCTTCTAACTGGAATTCCGGGAACGTTCAGTGCACGCTATCGGTTGTAATCAGATCGCGCTTTGTTCAGACCTCATATAATGAATGGTATACCATAGCGTCTGTGGCAAAACTTTCCCAAGAAAGTCAATGAGGGTCGTCAATATTTTCCAGAGGTTTGGTATCAAAATCATTCCCAAGGCTCACGCTCGGTCGAAAAAAAAAATATTGTCGGAGTGGGTTTTACTGTGCTTGGACTGAGAATGGAGAGAGAGAGAGAGGTTGATTGACAATGAAGTAAAGGAAAAGACAGCGATGGACAAAATGGTGATAAATTCTCTCAGAGCCACGGCCAGTTTCGATGAAAGATAATCAAGCAATTCAAAACTGCTGTCAGTTATTCTGCACAGATCTCAACAAAAGACTTAACAACCGCTGTTTCAGAAATAATTTCGATTACATTGAAAAAATAAGATGGGGGGAAGCAAATTGGGAAGATAAGATCTTAATTTTAAAAAGTCGCACACTTTTTTAGCCAATCAATTCACAGTGATTCAAAAATCGCAGGAAATCACTTGCAAACCTCCGAAATCTGATTGGTTACTGAAAAATTGAACGCTGCAATAATCAAATCACAAATCGCACCTTTTTGAGTGGAATCGGTTAAATTGCATCGTTTTGAAACAGCGGCATCCTATTCAGACATGAATTTAAAAACCGCACATTCCAGACTCCCAGTGATTCTGCAATTGCGAAGAATCAAAGCAATATAGAATTAAACATACATATATCAATATTAAGAAAATCATGATCAATATGTTGGCAGATCACAGTTTAAGAACTATGGTAGATAACCGTAGGACCGAGAACAGTGGGCGCGAGTATGATGATGTCTTCGATCACGTGAAATCATTTGGTCGATATCAGGTGATACTCTATGTTCTTGTAAGCCTCTACATTTTTCCCATCACAAGCCAGTTTGCAATGCTCATATTCGCTACAGGGACACCTGGATTTCATTGCGTGACGTCTAATGTCACGTGTCCTAAGAAGCAATGCTGTGACGGATGTACGTCATATGTTTTTGATGGACCTTTTGACAGTGTTGTTTCTGAGGTAAGATAAACTAAAAAGAGAGTTAATATAATTGATGATGATGATAATTAAATCAATTCACAAAGAACCGATAAATCATAATACTTATGATGATCGGGTACTCGGTTGGTTTATGATGACAATGATGACAGCGACATGATTATGATATATAATATGTTGATGATTAAAGATGAATATATGATACTGATAATCTATCATTGCAGTGGAAGCTAATCTGTGACCGAGCATACCTTGGTGCAACCATCCAGGCATGCTTTTTTGGGGGAATGTGTGTTGGTTCGTTTTTAACGGGGATGTTGTCAGACGCCTGGGGGCGAAAGAACTGCATATTTTTTTGTAATGCTATTTTGGTATGTAGACATGATGTTCAGTGTACTTCATTTTTCGCTTTCACGTTATTGCTCATTTATAGAATTTCTTACATAGCTTTGAAGTGTTTCCTCAGACATACAACTGTTTCAATTATAACATTGATGAAAATGATCGATTTGAGACCAACCGATGATGAAGCAACTAGCAGTATTTCTCAGTGTTTCCATCTTAACTAATTTGTTGCAATTTTCGTATGGTAACATTAGCATGCAAAAGACGTACTTACATCATATAGACTGTTCACTGTAAATCCAACGTTTGATGGCTAAAAAGCTTCTTTCTTGATTTTATCCCTGTCTTCAACAGCTTCTTTCAGGCGTTGGTTCGGCTCTAGTGGACTGCATCTCATTTTTTGCTTTTCTTCGTTTTCTGGTTGGGTTTGGCACGGCCGGCACCATGTTGACACTATACGTTTATGGCATGGAGCTTGTTGGACCAAAGTTCAGGACCGCTGTGGGGAATGCTGTTTACATTTACTTTAATGTCCTGGCGATGATTACTGCGCTCATTTCGTATCTTATTCCATCATGGAGAATATTGATAATCGTCACTACTTCCCCTGCTGTACTCTTATTCGTATTTTGGAAGTAAGTTATATTCTGACATGAATCCATCAACACGCCCACGGACACCAATCCTAAAGGAGAGATTCGATTCCTCTGCTAGAACAACTTATTCGTCAACCTGCATCAATACTACTTCACTCAATCACCTTTACCAATTGAATTAAAGACACATCATATTGATATTATTAATCAAACACATTCATATGTTCCGATATTTTCAGCCCCCAAGCCTCCCCCAAACACATAAAGGCATCGGATACGCTCAAAACATGAAATCAATCATTTTTTTTTTCTAATAGCAGGGCTCCTGGTAATTAGCAAAATGCATTTGCAAAAGTTGATGTGACGTCATCACTATAAGTCTATGATTGTGCCCCCCTCCCCTCAAGTCATTTATTGTTCCGCCGCTCCTCATTTCACTGATATCTACATCTACATATCTCCAGCACTTGGCAACGTTCATTGGGTTACTAGCTGTATATTAGTATGAGGTCTCATTGACTAGTAACCTTTATACGAACACTACGCCAAGCCGACCTCAATGCTGGTGAGATAAGCCCAGGCCACACCACCGGGAACTCCGTGCCCTACTCTTAGTCGAATAGTGGTGTGGGTTCTTTAACGTCCCTCTGATGCTAATGAGAAGTTTAGAGAGACGGGACCTCCGATTTAACGTCGTTTTCCGAGAGGACGTGAAGATCTTACCATTTGCAGATTGAGAAACAAAGGCAGCAACTTCTACTCAATTTTAAAACACTGAGTATTGGTCCGTCCATGGTTTGAACCCACAACCTCCCACATTGTAATCTATTAGAATTTGTTTTTTAATCTATGAAAATTAAACTACAGGTGCATCCCTGAATCACCACGATGGCTTGTCGCTCACGGTCAGCTTGAACAAGGTGCAAATGAAATACGAAAATACGGAGCCAAAGATGGTGGTCCTGTCGACGATACGATACTAAGGAGTCTTCTTGAAGAAGTCAGATCTGAGCAGATCAAGGCAAATGAAGAAAACAAGAAGTATACGTCGATTGATCTTTTACGCACTCCTAAGATTAGAAAATGGTCTGTCATCGTTTGTTATGAATGGTAATACTTGATTTTTCTTGTCATGTTCTTAGTGTAATTTTTTCTCCAGGTTGAAATTTATTTTGACTCATCTATTTATCCATGCTGTTCACAATTTTCGACTTTGTTTCTGACAATTCTTTTTTTTTTTTGCATGGTAGGTTTGCTGTTTCCTTAGTCAGCTTTGGCATTTTGCTCTTCATGACGCAACTTTCTGGAGACATCTACTTGAATTACATCGTCACTAGGATAGCGGCCACAATCCGCGTACCGTTCACATATATCATATACCTAAAGTATGTCATCCATCGTTTTTTATTAAATACCAGGCTGTGGAGATATATACACTTTCGTAAAGTCCCTTTTATTCCCCTTCTCGCGCTACGCGAACAGTTTCCCATTTCTGCTTTTTTCTAGTCTTTTTTTTTTGTGTTTGCAAAGAGAGTCCGATTTGAACCGAGTCTTTTGACAGATCCATGGCGGGTTTTTGGTTTCTTACCCACGTAACATTTTGTCCAGTGCAAGCTAAAACCAAAATAGTGCAGTCATGGTGTTGTTTTATATTTCGCTTAGGTTTGGTCGTCGAGTTCCTAATGGTGTCATAATGATTGTCATTGGTGTTTCTCTCTTGCTTGTGCTGCCGGTATATAAAGGTACTATCACGTAACAACTCGTAGCTCACTCAGTTAGTTTGACAAATATAGATATACAGTTATATAGGTCATGCCTACCCATTAAGAGTTTTTTTAGAAATTTGGAATACTTTTGTTCTCAATTTACTCCTTGACAAGCAATTTGATGCTAATATTTGTCCTAATCATTAGGAAAAATGAATTGAAAAATTGAATAGTGATTTTTCGTAAACACCGACAAATAGTGCTCAATACAAATTTGTGTAGAGCGGTAGACTTAGTAAAGTATTCAGGAGACGACACACATATTCGCTGCAACTCTGAGTTTCGTGCTCACGCACTCGTCAGGCAGATTTAATATTTGTCCTATATTTTTAATGTAGATGTTCCCACTGCAACAACTGCTCTTACTCTTATTGGTATCATTCTGTGTGACTTCAGCTGGACGGGGATTTATTTAATCACTGCCGAGTTATTTCCTACTATTCTAAGGTATTTTATTTAACAAAGGTATTTAATGTTATTTTTCAAAAGTATCTAACAGTCATCTTGATGACATTTAACCCGGGAAAGGACATCAAGTTGCATAATCAAATAGACAAAACTTATATCTTGTTTTTTTCCAGGAACACAGCACAGGGCACAGGCTCAACGGCAGCTCGTATTGGTGGGATTATAGCACCTTATATTGCAATGATGGTCAGTAAACCTCAGTCAAGTACGCATACCACTTTGTCAGTCTCATCTCTCAATATAGTATACTTAAACTGTGCAACTGTAAAAACTAAATAGTGCTATTTAGTTATTTTTAGTAAATTGTGCATGCGGTACGCAACTTAAATTGAATTGATACAAATGAAGCATTCAATACCGTCTTGCTTCAAGTCTACTTTTAGTACAAATTAGTACTACTTAGATTTTGTACAGTTGCATGGTTTAAGTGCGATCACTTTAGTTATACAACGAGTGAAAAGAGGTTAACACTGTTTCTAATTTGTTTACATCAACAGGGGCAGTTACCAGGACTTAGCATTGCTTTCCCAACCACCATACTTGGCTGTGTTGCAATACTTGGTGGGATATTGATGTACTGGATTCCTGAGACACTATTTTCTCCAATGCATCAAACAGTACAGCAGACTGAAGATGCCAAGGAAGATTTTGACATACCATGCTGTGGCAGGAAACTACCATTAGACCATAATGATAACACAGAATACAGGATAGTGACAAGAATGTAAACCACATGTCATTCATGAAATTTCATAAATTTTCATAAATTGAAAATGTCTTAATATTATTATCATTTTTTACATTCAAAACCATGTCATTACAATTACATCAGTTATTACAATTAATACTACCTTTCTTGCTAAGTATAATCTAATTTACCTACTGTTCCTAAAGCAAGATTAAATTGTTAAAAGTATAATGTCATGTAGCATTGTCATACACTGACATAATGAGATTCTCTTGAAGCTGGTGTCTGACAAACCTTGAAATGCCAAAGACATCATACTTCGTTATAACTTTAAGATTTGCTTGTTTTAGAACCGGTAGTTCTGTGAAGGTGTCCTTTTCTGTAATAGCTCATTTAGTTTCTCTGATTTTACTCTTCGTAAGTGGTGTAAAGTTTTCTGTTGTTGGAAAGTCTGAATAAATGTTTCAACATCCATGTCTCCTTCCAAATACTTGTCAACTGTTTTCTGAAAAATAAAAAAAATCAACTCGTAAAAAGAAAAAACAACAACAACAGTTTATCCAGAGTTGTAATCACTATTTCGTTAATGCTTATGATACAAGTCATTTGTGCTAGCCTCCATTCTTAAGAGAAATTCAAGCAATTGTCCATAAAAAACATTAGACAATTCACTTTATTAAGGACCAGCTAAAATTCAATAAACTAATTTGCTTGTCCATAAAAAAAAATTAACTCAAATAAAAACACCAAATGGATTTTGTACAATAACTTTGCTGTCAAAGTCAAACAGTAAACAAGACACCTTACTGTCTTGCTGTCAATCAGGCCACAAAACAATAATTATAATGGAAAGCCTTGAAGAATTCACTTAAAACTTATTAAAAAGAAATACTCCAGTTTCGAATTCTCTTCTGTGCAAGCTTAGCTTCAATCAAGCATAAATTGTTTATTGTCATCTTTGTACACAGAATGTTTGCATTACAATACATTCTCTGCTGAATAAAAGAATATATTACATGCTTTCGAGGTTAAGACTGCAGAAATTAAGTCTCGAGACTGGAGTATTAGACATGTTATATTTATTTTATAAACTTTGTTGTTTTTATATTTGGAAGTTGATCACACACCTGTCACATTTGTATGTTATTTTACAGACATTACCACCTTAATAAATGTATTTTATGATTAAAAATGTTTATTAATGGCTTTATGTTAAAATCTGTGATAACAACTGACTGATTTTACAGGCTTATCATCACAATAACACAAACCTCTGCTTCTTCTTCTGCTTGTGCAGTTGCGGTTTGAAGGAGAGCCATGGTAGTATCCATTGAGTACTGGCCAGATAGTTCCTCTGAAACACAAATTCATTAATAATTTACAGTATTGCATACAATTTTCATTGCAATGTAAAGAATTCATTTATTTGTTAATGAAATGAAGAAATATCACTCCATTCAATGAGGAACTATTTTTTTAATCAACCATACCTATTTTCTTTTTATTTCTCTCAAACTGGGCTTCTAAGGTTTCTCTGTTTTGATATGATTCAAACAGCTTTTCTCTGCCTTGATTGAGTTTGGGTTCCATATTCAAATTGTATTCAGCTAGAGTTCGAATGCAAGTAGTCAGCTGTTCTCGCATTGATTGGATATCCTTGATCTACAAAAAAGCCACATTAAAAACAACAACAAAATATTTTGACAATCTAATGCTATGTGCCTGTACTGTAAGTTTATTTTATTATTGAAATCCCCCTCATGCTGTCTCCCTCAATAAGCATACACAAGGCATATAAGCTTAACTTTCATAGAAACAGTGTCATAACTTATAATATTTAAGCTTATTTCAGTTATATTTGTCTCAAAAATAACATGACCTAGCTACATTTAAAAGTTATGATAAAAAAAAGATGCCATAAAAAACAACTTATTAATTACATTTAAATTATTACTTATAATGCAGAATTCTAACTGTATTATCAACCTACCACTGCAAGGTTTTGTACAAAGGTATCAAGTCGAACTTCATCGCCTTCCAACTCCTGCAACTCGCCTTTATCAGCACGACCGAGAAGTGCAGGTCCCATTACTTCACGGATAACTTTCTCAGTATCAAACTGATGCACTCTCACCAATTCCGGCAGATTATTAGACATTATTATATAAATACTAATATTTCACATTGACTGTTGAGATATCTTTAGTTTTTTAAGCAACAAGCGGCTGTCAAACGTACCAGATTTCGATCGACTCTTCTCCCAGTTGCTGTATTTTTCGAATGACGTCATTTGTGCTTTGTAACCTTACATTTGTCTACACAGGCAACCCATGCCATGACAATGCTCTCTCTGCTGCTTTAAATCCCAATTTAAAATGATTACGATCATATTAAAAGGAGGAAAATGTCGGAAGAAAAGTAACTACCACAACAAAAAAGGAAAAGAAGAAATAAACAAATAAAAAAATAAACATGAAAAAAAAAGCAAAAGAAAAATCATCTGATAAGTATCAGGACTCGAACTCTCGCATCTCACCTTAGTGGAACTTGCACCCCCCGGACATCTAATAAAAGAAATAACTGAAAGAGAAAAAAAATGAAAAAGATGGGGCGATTCCCCCGAGACATTCTATGAAGCTGAGGCGTCGAATCGGCTTACGTTACGGTTAGAGATTTCGGCTCTTCCACGCTATCCCGAGTGAACATAAAACTTAGTCTTAACCAAAAGGCCAGGGAGTGAGGGGGTAGCCGCCCACTAGAGCATACCTTTAGCTACCCTCTTAGACCATCGTACTATGAAGTCACTGATAGATATCTAATACCTAATCGGGATAGTCTATTCGGCGACGTTCTATGTTAATATATGACGTCATCACAATCCTTAGGGAGCAGCGAACCAATCAGAACACAGATGCAAAATTAGCATTTACAGCGTTACCACCGATTATTAATATCAGTGATTTATTATTTGATGGGGGGTGGGGTGATGCTTACTGACTTGCATACTCGTGGAATGTCATAGTTTTCACACCCGCAATTGTTGTTGAGTTTCAAATTATCGCATCGACGAGATGCAGTTTTTCATAGTGATGTAAACTCTTGAAACCCTAAACTCATGCAGTTCAAAGCACCGCGGACGGATTTATTTAGGGATCAACCGCTACGACATTGAATCGCAAGGAAACTTCAAGATGATAACTAAATTATTCGTCGCCAAGTCAAAATTTAAAGACTAGGGTACAATAAAACAACAACGCACTTTCAGTGAAACAACAAATCTTTATTGATTTATTGATATTAGCTTTTACTAATCAACTATCGAAGTTCTATTAAGTATCAAAAATATTTTCATCTTGTATTTGTGCTATTTCATCTGAGAAACGCAATTATTCTAATGTATAAAAATAATTTTACAAATTTCTACTTTGTGCATCAAAAGAAAATATTGTAGAGTGGCGATTATGTTTTGTTATTCCAAAGATGATCTGCTCTGCCATAAAACATTACATCGCAGTGCTGCGTCAAGCGTAACTCTGGTCATTTGGAGGATAACTTTGCTGAATCAGTCGAAAACCTATGGATTTTAAAGTTCAGATTTCATACACAAAGCAAACCTTGAAATAAAACAAACACTACTAAATTAAACCAAACATATAAATAAATAAACAGAACAAACAAAAAGCAGAGAAACAAACCAATTTCAAAAAAGAAATGAAAAAATACATAAAACAATCAAAATGCCCTCAACAAACAAACCAGACGTTAAGATGGTACAAACCTCGGGTTTTCATCCTCCTTTTCCTCTCGAATTCTTTGATAAAATTTGGTATCTCACGAACTTCATCATCACTGTCAAAAGAAGTCTTGCTTGATCTTTTTTCAAGTCGTTCAATAGCTTCCATTCGATCAGCCTGGGAAGCAAAACCCTTCGATCAAAATGTATTCGGTGAGTGATGTATGGCATGTTGAGAAGTTTTCAGTTTTGAAGATGAAACTATATGGAGACCTTCAACTTGCAAACATTGTTCATAAAAGATACTATTGTAGCATATGTTTTTTATAAATGGTCACCCTCGGGTAACGGGATCCCGAAGATGGCTCAGTGTTGATACGATCGAGAAGACTATGCTTTGCATCGTCCATGTATGTTTACGGCGTTATTAGTCAAGAATTGCCAATGTTTTTAAATAGCACAAGGTCCTGACAAGGGCAATGTGTTGCGTCATTCGTTTAACAATTTCACTTCATGTTGTTGTTGTGCATTCGCTAAAATGTGGCACTTTGTATAAAAAGCTATACTCTGACGTCATAGTGAAAGAGGGGTAATCACTGACCTGGATATCACCATACGATGAATCATAATCAGCAAATGTCCTGTCAGGCAACTCTCTCATCCACCTTGGTTCCATCTGTGTCACTATTCTGGGTTCATTCTCCTTGTTAGATATCGATCCTCTGGGCCGTACGAAGAAATCTAAAAACCAACAACAAATGATTCGTTAAGTTAATCAGGTGGAGCAGTGAAGAGACTAAACAAGTAAATAAGCGTTACCTTGTTCACTTATTGACGAACTAAGCTTTCTCCTGTCAAATAAATCCTGTTTTGCTGTAGGAAAGCTCTCCACTGAGGTCGTGTATCGAGGGCTGTACGTCTGTTCTGTTGCCAACATTGTCCTGGCTTTTTGAGGGAGACTGGAAGCCTTTGATCATAAATAGACAGACATCGTAAGAAATAAACAAAGGGCAATGTCTATAGCAGCATGCGCTGGTTATGACGATGATATTGCAGTCAATAATAATGATAAAGGTGATGATATTGCAGTCAATAATACCACATATGATAAAGGTGATGATATTGCAGTCAATAATACCACATATGATAAAGGTG